AACCAACTCCCACCCTGCGCGGCCGCACGCCCTCGACGTCAACAAAATTGGCAAGACGCAAACAAAAAAAAGAGAGAAAAGAGATTGCGTGATCAATCACATGGCACAGTTGGAAAAAAAAAAAAATTGAAACCCGAGACCCAACAGGCAGCGCGTGGTGTAACAAGCAAAAGAGCAATGAGGTGCCATGAGGGCCGAATCCAGCCAATCAGAGACTGGCCTGAAATGGTCAAAATCGGTGAGTGTCCCCCTCCTCCATTGGCCCAAAACAGCGGGGCGCGAGGGCAACTGGCCAATCAGACAGGCCTGCCACACCGAAAATGCACTTTTCTGACGATGGTGTAAGTCGAGCGGCGGCCATGGCAGCGGGACGAGCGTTGAATGATGGATGGGAAACTAAAAAGAAGGGCCCCTAGAGGGTACCCGGCCTTTTGGCCTTTGGGGTGTTCTGGTACATCTACCTTCTCCTCTTCTCAAAAGTATTTCTTTCTTGAGAATCGTACTTCAATTGACCTTCACTTTCAATAAACAAAGAACACCGATAAGGCAAAAGAAGAACCCATCACCAACATACAAAACCCAACAGCCATCACATACACACACACACACACCTCCACACACCCTCCCACACTTTCAAGGTTGTTGTCCTTGTGCCCATACCACCAATTCACTATAGCCACCCTGCAAGGCTTGCCCTTTTCCCCAATTTGCAAAGAGGCAAGGATTCCTGGTTGTGTCGTTCTCGGTGAGAGCGGTCCTCCCCCCCCCCTTCCCCTACTCAGCAGCAAAAAAAAGCAAGGCTACTGCAAGGAGCAGCACCACTTTCTGTCCCAAAGAAGAAAGACACGACGGGAACCAAAGCAGAAGCGGCAGCTAAGACGCGGCTGCGGCGCAATCGAAGACACAGAGTTCCACCGGAATTGCACGCACGCCCCCCCCCCCCCCCTCCCCCCTCCCCCCCCCCGTGACTTACACGGCTTCCCCCGGGTCCTAGCTCTCTGAAGAAAATGGAGTCGTATAGAGGTAGCAGATCTGTTTCCCGCATCCCTTCCTCTCCTCCCGTTTCATCGGAGGACGAGCTCTTCCACCAAGTCTTTGACTGGAACTCCTACTACCAGGACACCCAGGACACTGGCACCTTTCCCTCTGCCTCCGCCGTCATCCAGTCCAACTGGGGGCTGTCTGACGACTACTACCAGTTGTCCAAGGGGTTTGACGGTGCCGAGTCGTACCCCATTGATGGCCATTCCCTCGAGTCCCTGGAATCCGACTTTTGGAGGATGAATGCCAACCTTCGCGCGTCCGACGACGAGGAGGCCCCGTCCCCGCCGTCCGACTACACCGGTGGCCACTCCCCGCCCGGTCTCGTCCCCGCCGGCAGTACCTCGCCATCGGAGCACTCTGGCTCGTCCTCGTCGGTGCTCGACGCCGCCGACCATGATCACTATGCCAGGCTTGCGCTGAGTGAGGCCAAGTCGTACGACGATGAGTGGACTTACCCCCAGGGTGAGCCGTCTCCTAAGCAGCTGCCTGTTGGGTACCCAAGCCACATCCAGTTGCATGATGCAAAGTCGCCAGAGGCTGCCGGTCTCAAGCGTCGTCGTTCCAGTAATGCGGTTGAGAAGAGGCACCGTCAGCTTCAGGATCCCATGCAGACGGCGGATGTGCGCAAAACTGGTGCATGTGTGCCCTGTCGTGTCTCCAAGATTCGTGTAAGTCATTGGTCGCCACCGTTCCCGCATGCATGCAAGCCATCTGCTTCGCTGCCCAAACCGATTGTGTGCCGCTTTTGCTGACTTGCACGCCCGTTGCACCCAATGCAGTGTCACGAAAATGGTGTGTGTCCCACGTGCCGGAAGGCCTTCCCCGAACATTCCCACCTCGTATGCACCCGTGTCACTCCCGGTATGACATGGCCCGTGATTGGAAGGATCCCAGGTACGGATCGGCTCCGCCACCCCTGCTACCGATGTGCACCCCACAGCTAACCCGTCCCGCTTATAGACATCTGGTCCGAGGACGCTGCCGAGGAAGACATGATGTGCAACGGCCCGCGCTTTCACACTGGCAATCCCAAAAAAATCCTCCTCTACCTGAGCAAGGACTCCTCCTCCAACCCCCTCAAAGTCACTGTCCAGGCATACCGCATGCAGGAAGATTCCAATGAGACAGGAGGCCTCCGCCTGGCCGACTTTCCCCGCGATGAAGTCCCGAGCCACGGGCAGCTGCAGGGGTGGGTCGAGGAAGAGATCAAGCGCGAGCACATTACCAAGTTCAGGTATGCTCTCCAAAGCTTCATGCTCGCCTACCACCAGGATGGCGAGGGGCTCCCAAGAGTAAGTGAATTCTTTCCCCAAGTTGTTGCGAGGAAATAACTGACACCTGGTAGCACCGCCTCGTGAGCAATGTACACAGGCTCAACTGCTTCTTCCGCATCTGGAAGACTGACGCATTTTGGTGCCGTGACCCGACCAACAAGTTTGTCAGCCTGCCCCTCTCCGTGCAGGCGCGCTTGAGAAACATTGCCCGACAGGGTGCTCGTTTCATCGAGCACGATATCCTCAGGGAATTGGACGAGATTCTCGCACAGCAAGGCGCCATCAAGTCCGAGGAGCGTCTCGCCGTCTGGGCCAGCTTGTGGCAGCTTATCCTCATTTACCGTGAGACACTGGCTACCTTCAAGAAGCACATGGGCAGACTTGCCAAGGAGTATGATGCGTTCGACCCCATCGGTAAGCAGCATCCAGCCGAGCACGCTCTGAGAATAACCACTGACGTTTCGCAGCTGCTGAGCACGGTAAACTTTACCGATGGATGTTAGACCTGGTCTTTCCTCTCATGACCACGTTCTACCACTATCAGTTCCGCACCAAGAAGAGCCTTGAAGTGTCTCTCGATTGGCTTTCCTCTTCCAAGTACCCCAGCAAGGCGTGCAAGAGCAAGACTCTTCATTCGACTAGCAAGCACCTGTTTGAGTCCCGCAAGGAGTTTTACTCCCGTGTTCAGGGATCTTCCAATGAGATTGACAAGTTGTTGGCCTCTCTCGTTGTCAACCATGAGCTTAAGAAGCTCAATGCCCGTCGCCGAAACCCCAAGTCCAGCAAGTCCAAGGGCTCACGACATGATGACGAATGTGATGATGATGATGATGAATAGGAAGATATTCTTCTTCCGTGAATGATTCGACGATTTGATGATTTCAGTTTCAATGATTGCCGTTTCAACGATTTCTGTTTTGATGATTGTGGTTCGCATTTCAATGATGACAAGAATGAAAAACGATAGCATGCTTGCATAGTTAGTGGCCTTACCAGCGGTCTAATGAAATGTTGATTTTTGTTTCACCATCAATCGCGTTGATAAATCGTGACGGAAACCTTTTTCGGACTTCCCTCTTCCTTGTTCTTGGTAGCCGACTTGATATTGTCCACAAGTGCTTCTTCGTCCAGGCGTCGTGTGTAGTCCCTAGCAATGCCGATGGATAGTTTGACCACGCGGCTGTTTTCTTTTTGCACAATTTCTGATTTAAATTCCACTGCCCGTTTGAGTTCGCCGGCAGAGGCAGGCGAAAATGGCAGGATCTCGGCGATTGCACCGGCAACAGCACCCAGGTACCGAGTCCAGAAAAGAGCCTCGCTACCGTATCGTTTGATGATGGCGATGAGACCTTGCTCGAGCTGCGCGTCAGCGGGCGAAAGAAACGAGCCCCATCTTGTCGCGAGCGCGATACCGAGCAGAGCGCGCGACAGGTGCGTCAGACCAGGGCATCCTGGATCGCGAATGACGGAGGCGTGGAGGGAAATGGAGGCGTTGACGTCTGCTTCGTGGCCAGCTCGTGTCCACAGCTCCTTGATGAAGAGGTACCCGAGGCCTGGCGCGAGGATTGTGGGCATCTTGGAGATGATGGATGGATCCGGCAGACTGGATAGCAGGAGTTCCAAGCCGGCATCAAAAATGGGCTTGTCGATGGGATCAATGTTGGCCAGTACTTCCAAGGGATTACTCTCCCGAATCTCTGGCGGCAGCATCATCTGCAGAGCACCTTGTCGGTTGGAGCCGCCGCTGAATGTGACACGACCAATGTTCGGCACCGCGCTGGTAAAGGCCTCGACAACATGGACGATGGCGGGAAACTGCCTGCGGCGGCGCTTCGAGAGACCATAAATCTTGCCCGCGTACTCGGTATTGATGTTGAGCATGCGCTGCGTCTCCTTGAACTTGGTGCCGTCAACGGTGTACGTCGATATCGAGGGAATGGGGTAGGGCTTGATGGCCTCGTCGTGCATGAGCATTGTGCCATAGCCACGGAATCCACCGCCGCACATGTACACATCGACGGTCGCCTCCTCGCCCCTCTCATACGCCTCTCTGATGGCCCTGAGCGCCGGAAACTTGACACAGAGGCCGTCGTACACAGCCTTGATGCCCGCCCGCAGCGTGTCAATCTCGATCGTCTGCGTTTCCACCGACTGCTGCTCCAGCACACGCACCAGCTTGGCGGCACCGTACGGCATGCTCGCACCCGCTGTTGCCGCGGCGATCATGTAGTCGGGCACCGCGGTGTCGACCCAGGTCATCTGGACGCTGCCGCCGCCGAGGTCGAGGAAGAGCGCACCGCCGGGCACGCCGACGAGGCTGCTGCGGGTGCCCATGACGGCGCCGCACAGCGTCTCGACCGCCGGCGCGAGGATCTGCACACCAAGCCCGCCCGTCGCCGCGCGAATGGCGGCGAGCATGTCGCCGGCGTTGTCGGCGCGGCGCATGGCCTCGGTGGCAAAGATGTACATCTGGGACTGCGGCACGCCGTGCGCGACGGCAACGTGGTGGAAGCTGGCCACGGCCTCGGCCACGTCGGTCACGGTCTGCGCGGGAAAGACGAGACTGCCGTCGCCAGAGGTAGACGGAGTGAGCGCGTCAAAGAGCGAAATGGCTGCGCGCGTGGAGAAGAGCGGATTGAGCAGCCGCGAGAAGGGAGGGGCCAGCGACGTGATGGAGAAGCGGACGCCGTTACTGCGAAGGAAATTAATACCGGAATAGACAAGCACAGAGAGGAATATATGGGTAGAAACGCACCTTCCCATATCAACAATGGCGTATAGATGGTTGGCTGCGTCAGGACGCCATTGCGGCAGTTTTGTCGACAGGTTCTCGATGGTGACAATGTCGGGGACAGCCATTGCGGCGGGAGCTTAGAGCCGGGTATTTGGCAGCAGGAGAAACGAATACAATTCAAATGCACAGCATCAGAAGTCTCTGTACGAGGCCGAGTATATGGTCGAGATCGGATGCTATCGCTAAGCCATGATGAAGCGTCCGTTTGAGGTCGGTGAAAAATTGCGGGTCGCGCAGATATCTCCAGATGGCCCGCACCAAAATGGCGCGCTTATTAAAGTTGGCAACGCCAATTCCAGCTCACAACATGTATAACGGGACAATGACCGGATTGCAACTTTGCGGAGAGTATAATCTGCCCAACTTATTACTAGGACTTTTCCCAGCAGATACCCGCGTTACTGTAGTTCATGCTTCGCTCAGGCGGTAAACCATCGGCGGGGGTCGGGTGCTGGCTCCGAAAGTGGGCAGCATAAATGAACGTCGACATTCTTCTTCTGCAGAACAGAAATCCTACATATTAGGGAATATTCGAATATTCTCTAAACAGCATCCTTCTCTCAGCTGGCGCTTGTAATTCTTTGCGATTTCATGAAAGAAACATTCTCCTCTTACTTTCGTGGGCGGGGCACAGTAAGTAAACGGTCATGTTGCCCGTACCACGGTGACCGGAAAGGCAACCCGGTGCGCCTTTGTTTGTTTAATTACGGAGCGATTCTTCACTCTGATCTCCCTTGGTAATTTGTAGTATATTGTTCATTCATGCTCAAGACGGGCGCGCCATTCGGCGCACCACATGTATTGTATACTGTTCTCTGCATTCACTGGCCTGATGCTCAGTCGCAGCCTTTTTTTCTTTTACAGCCGCTGCGCCCCGGCGCGTAGGCATCCGTGATAGCTGTCGGGGGCCGTGCCGCGTTGATGGGTCGGGCGGTCGTCCGGGTCCCGTCTGGAGCCGGACAAAGAGGAGACCAGACGGCGGTTCGCCCAGAGAGGGGGATCTGTGTTTCGCGAAGCATTTCCACTACGCCGCACTCAGCCACGCCAACAGCAAGGCAGCGCCAAAAGAAAAGGACGGAACCTGAGAATAGCCCTGTCCTGCCGCAGGCCACTCCTGCTCGGGCTTGCAGTGGTTGAAGCGAGACGTGGCTCAACACAGAGCTTGCAATTCGGCGTGGGTTCTCTTCCCCGATCTCAAACTTGCTTTCGTACCTTGCCGCCGACCAGGTGAGGATATGGCCAGATCACATCTTGGTCCGAGCTTCGGGCTCCAAGAAAGAGCAAGCCCGCGCCCCATTCTCTCATGCATGTCTTGTTCGAATACTCGGGCCAACAACTACGTGGGCCGACGCTGCCAGTCGAACAAGCCCCGTCGCCTCCCCTGTCACAAAGAAACGAGGCCACCTTGATATTTGGCCAACCAGGCCAGGCAAAACGTGCTCGCATAGCCACGCAGGGGCAGCAGCGAGGAACGCGTCGCGTGTCACAATATTGTGTTTGCTCTCTCTTGTTGTTGTTTTCAACGCTTTCAATCGCACCTGGCAACCGTCGAATCGATGGTACATACATTGTGCAACCTGTGTAACTGGTTTGAGTCTGTCGGTGAGACCATGATTGCTCAGTATTAGTGGTAGGGCGCATTTTGCGTTTTCATTTGCCAATTGACCATGCCAAGCTGTATACTTTTTTTTTTGAAACGTATAGAGACTGACTGGTCAGGGTTGCTTCATTTTTTCCGTTGCGAGGACTCGAAAACAGATTCAGGTGCAACTATTCTTTGTAAAGCCAAAGCCAAAGCCTCGGGAGTAGTGGTTTCGTGGCTAGTCACTTCTCGACGTCACTGCGTCATGCAATGGACTAGCGATAGGCTGACAAAAGTTGCTCAAGAGACTCGAACTGTTAGGCAATCGGGCTGGAGCTCGCAATTGGGATAGCGCATCCCCGCGATGCTCGGTGTGGAATGCATGACGCAACGGTCGGCGGGCAGACATATCCGGCCATCGACTGCCTAGCGCTGCGCACCACCAGAAACGTACAATTGTGTCATAGATATTCCTATTCATTCCGCATTGGAAGAGAGGCCGGTTCATCAGTCACAACGCATCTGCGCCCCGAGTTGCAAACGACGGCGAGCGAAACAAACCTTGCCATCTGTGGTTTCCGACTGCAACCTCGCGGCATCACGCATACATGCCTGAGAGCGGGACTATCGGACACAGCCCCCCGAACCCAACATGGAGCTAGACAATAATAGTTCACATCTATCACTTCTCTTTTGTTCGGCACCCCATGTTTCTTACCAGCCAATCGTGTATTGCGACGGCCAGCCTGCATTGTCACGCGGGGAAGAGGTGGATGGGAAAGGCTTAACTAGTATTGTTGCTACCGGCGTGCTCACGCCACAGGGTCGAGGATGGCTGCGAAGCACTCGATAGTCGGCGTGATGCATCCCCCACAACAGATAGATGTAGGCGCCGCATGGACGAGAAGCGAGGTATGAATGGCTGGCAGGGGATGCTTCTGTCACTTTGTGACGGGAGGAGGCGTGGCGGGTATCCAATCACCTTGGCGGCGAGGTGCACAACACGAAGCCGGCAGCAGTTCGTGGAGCGACGGTGTGGTGCGGCAGTTTGACGGAATCACATAAGCCGAGCTCAAACCACTTTGAAGCAGCAGGTATCCGTACAAGTGCTATTAATTAGTTAGTTGGACAGTTGGAAAGCGGTTGCCAGCCAAGGCCAACCGGGCGGTCGTTGAACTCGGCCATTGAGCCGGTTTCTTTTTATAGCGCTCGGTCTATTATGCCATGTGTCTGGGACCACTGTCGACGAAAATCTCGGCGTGTTTCAACGGCAGAAGACAGTTCTGCAAGCCAATGCCAGCCTCATAAATGGTTTTTGACAGAGGAATAGTAAAGGAGCAGCGTCGTACTGTGGCTGGGCACCTACGCCATACTCGGTTTAGCGAGGCGTCGCCAGGCACGGCCCGGGTTGGTCAAGATGGTGTCGGGCCCCATTTTCTTTAGTGGATCTCACACCCCACCTTTCTCACGAACCGCGTTAATGACGCGTTCCTTTCGCGCCAGACGCGTTTCACGGCAACCTTCAGAGACCAGCAAATGCCCACTTCGGTTTTCTGTCTGCCGTGCAGACTTCTCCTACTTCTCCTCTCTCTTGGGGGCGCCAATGCAATCATGATGCACCATTTCTCACGCAACCCGTGACGAGTCTGCACCATCCACCCAATATCCGATCATGTCTTGAGTCTTTAGTGATTTCCACCGCTCGCCCATCTCACCAAGCCAGGCATTGCAACGAGAAAAGAGAATCCAAGTTGCAAATGGTGCGTCTCAGCGGCGCAATTGGAATCACGCATGACAGCCATTGATTCGCTGCCATCATTGTCTTGCATATCTTGCTACAGAACTTGTTGGGGCGCATCGTGTGGGTTGCTTACCATTCGAGCAGCAGCCACCTCTGCGGTTTTTAATTTGTGCTAGGTCTGCACACATAGACACTGACTGCAACCTTCTTTTTTCCAACAATGGTGGCGCTGGCCCGCTGCCCGGGATGAGATAGGTCGATAGGCTGGGATGCAACGGTGTGCCAGAAGCGCAGCAACGAGGGAAAAAGCAACGACGAGGGACAGACAATATTGCCTGCGAGACAACTGACACCATCTGCCGAACTGTCAGGATACTTACTGGTCATAACACTTAGCTGGGTGGGTATCCGTGACGGATTCGCACGCATAATCAATTACAACTTCTGTTCTGTCGCTTGACAACTTGACACGACTGGTTTCAGTGCGCGTGTTATGGTTGTAGACAATCGAGGTCAAAGAGTTGGTCAAGTTGCGCAGATTGGCCTGGCGCCGGTATCCGTACACCAGGTTGACTTTCGAGCTGATTTGATTCATGTTTGCATGACGAGGACCCCGTGAGCAGCGGAATGAAAGTAGTCAGATTCAAGTGTTGCTATTGTCACTTGATGTCTGGTGGTGGTGTGGCGCACGTTCCGGGCGGGCGCCATGCGGCATGAACGGTGGGATATGGGGCGGGAAGGACGGGAGCGCATCCCAAGGGGTTCATGAGTTATTGAATAATGGACTGAGGATTGGGGGGGTGTAATTTGGCGGTGAAATTAAGTAATGAAAGCACATTGGGAACAGGTGATGGTAGTGTTGTCAACTGGTCACCGAAGCTGTGAGCATAGTTGGTAGGTAGCGAGCCATTGTGCCATGATACGACCCTACGAGTATTCTCTGTGTACTTTGTATGGAGTGTCAGTATGGACAGAAACAAAACAAAAGGTCTCGGTATTTAAGCACAATGTCTCTGGGGATCAGTTGAATCCTTGCTTTGGGGCTCTCAGGGTCCCCGCGAAAAGAAGGGGACTTTGTGGCCCTCGGAGGCGGATCTTCTGTGAGCGGCAACTCCCCGGAGCGAATGCAGCATGCACGTTGGGCTGGGGGTGGCCCCCTGGGTGGACAATGGTTGGCCGGAAGACATGTCTCTGCTCAATCGTCCATTGCAGTTCATCAGAGGAAGAGTCCGAAGAGAGAGGCTTGCAGGCGGCCGGGACCCGGTTCACCGCATTTACAGAAGAGCGCTAACGAACGAGAGGACCCTAGCGGCGGGTGGTTCCTGGTCTGCTGGGCGAAGCCGGTATTACGGAGTACGGATTAGTTGGGGAGACAATGTGGTGTTTGCATGAGTACTGGACCGAGACGGGGTACCTGTTTAGAGTTGGTGTCGGGTGAGGAAAAGCCAACGATGGGCCGGTCGTTCGGTTGTCGTCAATACTTTGGTATACTTTGGTGAGGCAAAGCGGTGGGCTTGGGCTGTGGACCGGCGCCCTTGCTAGCGCGGGTCGCGACACTGGTAGCGCTGTCTGGGCACAGTCGAGCAGAACTTGCAGCGAGCTTGGCCACTGAAGCGGTGGCCGGCGCTGGCCCTGGTGGGTGCCCGTCAGCCAGTGAGAAAGCGAGCGCATAGTGGACTCGTGCTAGTTTTACAGTGGATAGGACCCGCAGGTAGGACTCTGCAGGCAGAACGTTCCCCCCTGGCCGCCCCTGGTTGCTGTTGCAAGTGCTAACTGCTAACGAGACCGCTTGTGCTGTGTACCGGTACTCTGCCCATCGAAAACAAGTACCTGCGAGACCAGCGAGAGATACCTCCCCCTCTCTCCGGTTCACCAGCTGCCCCACCGCCCAGCAGCCTATCTTGGGCTCGGCAAAGTCGGTGCTGAGGTCACTCTCGGATACCGCACAAGTAGGTACTCTTTGAGCCCAGACAAGTTCCTCCCCATTCCCCCATCAGCCCAAGGTATCCTCGCCCATGCCCGCTCGCCTGCGCTTGCGACCGACCCATCATCCATCCCTCCTTCCATCCTTCTCCCCTCCCCCCCCCCGATTCACACACCCATTCCAGTCCTTCTTTTTTTGCGCCCATTCCATCACCACGACTTCTCCAACGCTGCAAAGTGCTTCTTTGCTTCCTTCTTCCGATCCAGAGACACTTGCGACTGTGGCGATTTTATTCTCGCTGCCTTTTCCGACGCCCGGTCGACTCTGCGACGACGCCGCACCGCCAGCCAGCGCAAACGCTCACCATTGCCTCACTCGCTCGCGACATACCCAACCACCGACCTTGGACCTGCGCACCTCTTTTGTCGCCTTGCGCCTCTCTTTGCGCTCTCCAACGACACTGAATCTGCTTCGCCCAGCATTGCGACACCCGTTTCCGACGTTATAAATACGTGCGCATGTGTGCCAGGCTTCGCGCCGCTGCTTAGGCTCACCGGAGAGCTGCGCTCGCTATCTTGTCCGTGCCTGTCAACCGCTCCAGCCACGACTCGGTCGCTGTCGCTCGGCCCTCTCTGATCCAAGCCGACTCTTGCTGCACTGCAGACTGAATCACTGCGTATTTTGAGACACTTTTTCTTCTTCGCCCACTTCCACAACCAATTGTCGGGCTCGTTCGCCTTGCTTTTTTCTCCGACATCTGCGTCAGACTTGCTTGTTTTTGGCCTGGTTTTGTGACAACTAGCGCCTCCGCTCCATACTTGACTAGGACCCCGAAAGCCTCTTGCGTCGCTTGCATACCATCCCGCCTTGATCGCCGCCATGCATCGCTCCCTACGCTCGTCTGCGGCCCAGGCGGCGCGCTCAAATAACCCAACCACCCCAGAGCCCTCGACCATCGCAGACCCTGCAACCTCTGCGCCGCATCCTCCCAAGTCGCCCGGAAGACCACGATTGCGCCTCCGCAAACGAACCGCTTCTAATCTCGCCGCGCCGACTAAGGACTTCCTCGCCTCAGTCGCGGCTGCAGACGTCCCCATCCCGAGTATTGAGGAGCCTGGCGTCGTCGACGAAGACATGATCGACTCTGCTTACCCCTCCATCTCTGGCGACATCGAACAAATCGACTTTTACCATTCCGCGCGACAATCCTGGGCTGGGCGCACCTTTTCGCCGCCCAAGACGCCCGCACCCGGCGTCGTACCCCTTCTCGAACCCCATCAGTTCCCGGATTGGTCTCTCGACAGCACTCTGAGCAGCCTAGAATCCAGTCCTGACTACGAATCCAGCCGCCCCTCGACAGCGCGATCAACACAGACGAGCTCCTCGCTATTCAGCAGATACTCGGTGGCCTCGGAGGAGCTGAGCCAATGTGTCAGCCCCGAGTCTGAGTATACCGACCGCTTCGGTAGCTTCCTTTCTGCAGAGGACGCGCATCGTGCCTCCAAACCCCGTACCGCCTCCCTCAGAACCAGAAAAGCGCCTTGGACTAGATCCATGGGCCAACATCTTTGGGCGACTTATATAATGTATCTACAAGACCCCAAGGTGACCCCATTCCGCATCGGCAAGAGTGGAATCCCACCCCATGGCGTCTGCCTCAGGGTCGCTCGTGAAGCCAAGCGAAGTTGGCGACGGTCAAAGCCTTCCACACAACCCCAAGAAAGTCGCAATACCACCCCCACGGCGGAGTCGCTCCGTCCCGCTTCCCAGTGGCCTCATACGTGCGCCGCCACCCGTGGTTATCTCCGCGAGCTCTGCAAGACTAGCACCGGCTCCGCTGCCCGCAACAACCGGTACAACGCCAACAGCCCAACGCCGTTTGGCAAGACCGCCAGCCGCTATAGGAATCGACGCTCAGCGCCGCCCAAGCAGCAACACTCTGTATTTTCAGCCTCCGAGATGTCCATGTCTCTGAGCATGAGCACAAGCGAGTCTATGCAACCGCATGGGCCATTGGCTCGACTAAGCACGTCGCGTCACGAGCCCAGCTCCATCACCGCGCCAGCCTCTCTCCGCACAGGATCCGGGCCTCTTCTTGAAGAGAGCGCACCGCTGGGCTCTCCCTTTGTTATCAAGAGCTGCGGTCCCAGTGTGTCCACGACACTCGAGGACCCTTTTGGCCTCTCCGGGGCGCCCATGCGCCAGAACCAGACAGCGGGGGGCCGGAACCGAAGTTTAGGGTCCCCGGCGAGACTGGTCCAGAGTCGGCCGAGCTCCCAGAAGCGGCGCCAGGCGGTGCCCGAGTCGCGCCGGCGCAAGCGTCCCAGTCTCGGCACCGACTTTTGGACGGACCCGTCTAACAAGAGTGACGGCAGCCTACAAGGCTCGCACTCCTTTAGCGAGTTTTGCTCAACGTCGGCGCGCGACCGCGACACCCTGTTTGTGCCGCGCACCAACATCCAGCAGCTCTTTGAAGCCGCCGCGCAGCCGTCCCGGGGAGGCCCAACGGCGGCGCTCACGGGCCCCATGACGGCGCAGCAGCAGCCCACGCTCCGCGCCACCCCTGCGCGGCTGGGCTCGCCGTTTGTCGTGGCCAGCACGAGCCAGTCGTTTCCCAATCGCTTTTCCAGCCCGGGCCGCATCGAAATGAGCGCCCTCCGCCGGCCCTACGCAACGGTCCAGCAAGGGACCGCCGCCGAGAGCAGCAGCGCGAACAATGCCTCGCTGGCCAACCGTTTGGCGTACATTGATGACCGTCTCCGGTCCATCAACCGCCCAGAAGAGGAGCTCCGCCGCTCCCAGTCGCCGCAGTAAACAACCCGTTGCGCCAGTGACCAAATACACACATACATGACCGACAGATCACTCACATCTACCCTTGAACATGACGACTACAGACCTGCAGAAAACAAAGCAAACATCTACCCTTGAACATGACGACTACAGACCTGCAGAAAACAAAGCAATCTGCACTGTACCTACACCTTCCTTCTTACCATCTCGACACATGCGAGCCAGCTGCCACACTGGCTCTTGTTCTCTTGACTGACGGTGAAGAACCGACGTCTTGGTATGACCAACTTTTCGGACTACTGGCCGCTGCAGTGGACAGCGGCAAGGAGGAATATCCCACAATTTTGCGACTTTTTACGACTTTGAATGATGATTCCCTTTTCTTTTCAATATAAGAGCGATGGTTTTTTTATCGCTAGTTATTTTTTGCTTGTTATTTTTTTTCTGCTAATGTACAGCCTCTGCCATGACCAGGTTCGACCAGCTAGCAACTGGACATACTTGAGTCATGGTGGATGTTGAAATTTTCTTATCTTCTATGGTTGAAACTTTTTTTTCTTTTTCTTATATACTGGGATTGGACTACTATACCAAGACAAGACGCTGGCAAAAAATATTGCTTGAATGAGGATTATGATGTTTACGAGGTTTGCTGTCTTCTTTATCTTTTCTATTCTACTTTTATTACATTGGCTTGGCAAAGAGCCCAGAAAACAACCACAAATAAACACGGGAAAGTTTGACAAGAGCCGTCTCGGTCTCATTGTGAAGTGATGTTTGAATTCGTCTACATTGTGCTGATTCGCTAACCCGCCGTCACAACGGCAGCACCACCACTTACTCATGTCGACGTCGGAGACACGCCGTCGACGGACGGACTACGGGCGTGGTTGCCAAACTTGGACAGCAACGGCCTGACACTCGCCGCCGTGAGCGTCCTCCTTAGCGGCGGCGGCCGCAAGCTCGTGGTGCACGTGTACTCGTCCTCGAGCCCCCAAAACTCATCCGCCCACTCCTTTTCCCACTGCCTCGTGGCGTCATCGTCGCCGTCCACCACTTCCTCCTCCTCCTCCTCCTCCGGCTGCTGCTGGGCCAGATCCAGCATGGACCCCGTGTCGGCCGCGCCCCAGCCGCTCGCGGCATGCGGACACGGACCCTGGCCGACGGCGGCGCGGTGCGAGTGAAACGAGCACTCGCGGAAGCCAAACGCGCGGTCGTCGTTGCGCAGGGCGTTGGCGGGGATGCGCAGCTGCGGGTTCTTCCAGCGCATGTCGAGCCCGGCGGCGCGCATGCTGCGCACGTGCGCGGCGTAGTCGGCGGCGAGTTCGGGCAGCGCGGCGAGCATGCTGCGCAGGCGCGGCGCGGGGTGGTGGTGGTGGTCCTCCTCCTGGTGGCTGCTGCTGCTGGCCGACTCGCCGGCGACGGCGAGGGAAAAGGCCACCATGGCCACGGCCCAGCGCCGCAGACGGCCCGCGGGCCGCGCCTCGCACCGCGTGTACAGGTACGTGACCACGGCCGGCGCCATGTCCCAGTCGCGCCGCAGGTACAGGTCCTGCACGGCATCCATGGCCAGGTCCTGCAGCGCCGCGAGCCCCAGGTGCGCGGCAAACAGGTGCAGCCGCACGAGCGCCCAGTGCAGCACGGCGGCCGCCGCCGCCGTGCTGCGCCCCGTGGCCGCCGCCGCCGCCGCTGCGTCGTCCACGTGCGACCGGAACGAGCGCGGCGCCCGCAGCCACTCGACAAACAGGCCAAACATGGACGCCGACTCGCCCGGCAGCCACAGCGTCACGGGCCGGTCGTCCGTGTTGTTGTTGGCGGAGCACGAGCCGCGCTGCAGCTGGTCCCGGAAAAAGGGACTCGCGCTGCACAATAGACGTCGGGACACGACAAAGGGCTGTCGCCGACGCCCGACGAGCACTGTCGTCGTCGCCGCCGCCCCGACGGACGAGGTGCTGTGGCTGCGGGCGCGCGGGGGCGGCCGCGGCGCCGCGTGTGACACGGAACTGGTGGTTCGGTGGTGGTGGTGGGTGCCGCGTACGAGCGGCGGCGTCGAGGAAGAAGACGTCGCGGGCCGGTGGTCCCGGAGGCTGCTGCCGTTGAGTCGGGGTCCCATGCCGGCGGCGGCGGCGGCCGGTGGCGGTTTCTTCCCGGGGAGGTAGGCTGCTTGCAGGACTGTTTCCGGCTGCATTTCTATAAAAAGAAGAAGATGATATACTTGGCGAAATCTTTTTTTTTTTTGTAAGCCTCGTCGCCGACAGGGGAGAGACTGGGCCCCAGGGTCATATATAGCTGGGATAGATGATTGTTCCGCGCCCCCGTGCGGAAAAAGGGTCGTCGGGGTCGCCGGCGGCGGCACGAACAAGGGCAAACAGCCCACCGACTCGAGATATGTAATAAACCTTGTATCTTTCAATGATCCCCCATGGGGTATGGTGATCATGCGAGACCCGGGCCGGGCGGCGGGCGGCGGGGGGGGTCGAAATCACGGCTGTCGTTTTGGAGCGGAAAGTGCGGAAACCTGTTGGGTGAGAGTGAGTGAGACAAATGCCCAGCAACCGCAAATGAGAGGCAAGAGGAGAGAAAGGGCAGATAGTTAACAGAAACGTTTTCCCGGGGAAGGGGGGGGGGGGTTCCGCACGGAAAACTTATTTTTATAAATCCAGAGGGAGAGAAGCAAGGGTACCCATGCTGACCACTCTGTCCTGCATATTATATGGGGGATGGGGGCAACACTTTATTGCAATCTACATCAAGCTTGGACTCTTGAAGCAAAAAAAAAAGGACGCAGCAGCAGCGCAGGGATCAAAACCCGCTGGACTGGTTGACTGAGCGCCTCTGCTTTGTCATTTGACTCACAGCCTCTCGCGTGCTTCAGAAGCCCGTCCAAACTAACACGCTGAAGCGGGCCAAGGGGTAAAAGGGAAAGGGCCCGGGAGGATGGGCGTTGGAGCTGACAAAGGGCCCTCTGACAAAAGCGGTTGACTCTCGTGGGAAAGGAGGAGGGGGTTGCCGATGTGGCCATGTCAGTCGAGCTTGGCAGATCAACGACATGTTCATGGGGTCAACAAGTCATGTATGTCGACAGGGGGGGTTCCTGAATGCATTGCTGTGGGAAAACGCGGCATATGGGCTCCGTCGTCGACGTTCTTCTGCATGGCCCAATCTTGTTTCCCTGAGCGTGTGTGTGTGTGCGAGACCAAAGCGGGCTTTTTTTCTCTCTCAAGTTGCAACCCTACCACATACGTATCCGTATCGCTGGAGGAGGGAGGACAAGTGTGCTCCATCGAGGCTGCGACCCTATGCCGAAACTTTGTATTTCCTGTTCCCATCGCCACGGGCCGCTGTGTGTGTGGGCTTGATGAGTGTGTGTGGTCTCAATCTCTTCGGAACGGTGGTTTCATTCCCACATCTTGCCAGCTGTCAAGGTTTTCCAGAATGCACAGAGAAGCTGAAAACGAAACAAAGCTAATCAATGGACAACTAGATAACGGAAAACGACAAAAAAACCGGACGCCATGATGCCGTTCGTTCCATAGAGTAACCACCCCCCGCCGCGTCATTGTTGGTGCCAGACCAATGCCCTCGTGCTCGCCTTACAAGCCATTTTCAAAAGCAAGCAAGGAACATGCCTGTGCGTTCATGTACGTCACAGATAAAAAAGAACTCGCGTTGTGACGTGTTACCTTTGTTTTCGTTGGCCAGGATAAAATGAGCACAGGGAGCGTTGGTTGTTTCATCGCCAATGACTAGCGCAGAGGGGGGGGGTGGTTTTGCTGCCGCTTCGACCCGAACACGTCTTCTACATCGTACATCGCTCTCTGTTTAAAACTCTTTTCCACACTTTATTAACGAATGACTAAATAACTCAAAATAAACGCCCAACTATACATGGACAACGTGGCGGTGGCGTACTTTCTTCAAGACGGGTTTAGAAACAAGGGAGGGGGGGGCGTTGATGGTTGGTTGGTTATGCGGGGGCCTTTTCTGTCTCGGCAGTCGTTGCGCGCGGACGTTGAAGTGTGGGAACTGGTATCTTGCCTTTCTTCTCTGCTAATTGGACTATATCATCGGGAATGCCATTGGTTATTAATGCATTTTATGCACTTTATGCGCTCTCATGACTTGTTGAAGCGGTGCGTTGGCAAGTGTCACTTACAGCCCCATGAACTATATGTGCCTGTTTGCAATCTATAATACCGGCATTGTGCATTAGCATCTCACTAGTTAGTAGTTAGTTTAGTCTTTTTTGTTTCTGTTTGATGTAGATTTCGACTCTTTTTGTGCACACATGATGCGAAGTTGGGCCAGCATGTCTTCCTTTAATTATTATTCCTACACCACCACTCATTTGCTACTCACAATCCATCCGTCTCTATTGCATGTGAGACTTGTTCAAACTCCCTTGGCAAAAGTGGCCCCTACATCAGGGCTGAAATGTCTTGGGCGTTCTCGGAGAAAAGATTTTGACTTGCTCCTCTTCATCTTGTCAGCCCCGAAATCCTTCCCCACATCAATCACATCCATCACATCACCATCACCAATCCCGACCTGGTCCGGAAAGCCGCTAACGTGTTTCACATCCGCCCGCCTGACGACTTTCTGGTCAACCTCTCTCTAGTCTGCCGCAACCTTGGCCCTTCATCTCAACAACATTACCCTCCTAGTTAGCAAATGTCTCGCAGAAGACCATCGAGTAGTTCTCGCCCTGGCCCGGACCATCCAGGCTGAGAGTGGCGCACTTTGTGAGATGTGATACGGCCACACGCCTTGCTCCCGACATGGGACGGAGGTTGGCGTCATGCGAAGAGTGTGCACGGTTCCAGAGGCTTTTTGTTGCAAAATGATGAAATAAAACCAATAGTTTCTGTGCTAGTAGTTCCTTGTAGCAATCACCCAATGTGACCAGGCACAGCCCTGATAAAGATAGTAAACCCGCTTCATCCCATTCCGATGCTGTAAAATGCCCATTATGCGCCAGCCAGACTTTTCAAGTAATAAAAGTATAAAAGTACACAACGAATGAATGAAAAAGAAGTCCCAGTCACATGTGTCGGGAAGAGCGCTGCCACCCCTGCAGTATGCGAAAATGCCTTCGAGTAAAACAACTAAACGACGCCCACGCTCCCCCCCCCCTCCTCTTGGTGGGTTGCATGGTACAACTCAGCCCCGTCGGATGCCGTCAAGGTATCGTAAAGAGACCGAGCAAAGTTCTTCAAATCCATCCAGTGCGCTGCATAAGCAATCCGCCACGCAGTCGGACTTGCATAGCTGCCGCGGGCCGTGTTAACATGGCATCTCGCGGATTGGCTCCGTCGCAAATTCGCAGCTATCCAAGTCAACAACTGCCCCTTTTAGGTGGTGGTGGGCGCCGCGTACGAGCGGCGACGGCGTCGAGGAAGAAGATGCCGCGGGCCGGTTAGTGGTCCTGATTCGGCGACTGCTCAGCCTCATCAATATCCATTCCAGTTGGCGACTTTTCGGCGTTGGCATCCTCGTCCACGCTCTCCTCCACATCCACTTCCTCATACTCGTCGTCGTCAATCTCAATTGGCTCCGGGTCGATTGCTTTGCTCGTCGCCGCCTCCGGCGGCGCCCGAACCGGCGCCGTGTGCGATCCAGCAATCGACATGGGCAGCGGCGGCGGTCGCGCCCCCGTCCCCGCACTCTCCGGCGCTGGGGCCACCACCGCCGTCGACGCCGAAGCTGTGCGCTCCCTGTTGCCCATTTCCGTGAGAAGCACCGTTTTCGGTGTCCCTTGCCTGCTCGCGCTGCCCATCGACCGCGGCGTGCCCGTCGCCTCCGAGTGCGTCCGGTAGCCCGGCGTGACGGGCGTTTGGGGGTCCGTGCTGAGCATGCGACTGCGCTCCTCGTCAATCTCCGACTTGGAGCGGCGCTCCCGCAGCCGAATACCAAACTTTTTCCGCGTCATGCTCTGCTTGTTGTTGTATAGGTTCTTCAGGCGAGCCATCTCGGCCTTTTGCGCGTCCGGGTGCAGCTGCTTCGCCTTCTCAATGCCCTCAGCGTACTGGTGCTCGACACGCGTCAGCGCCACGTCGAGCGCGAGCCGCAGGGTGGGTGTCAGCTTCGCGTACGGGTCCTTGGATTCCGCCGCCCGCTGCGGCGTCATCGACTGGCTGCTCGCGGCCGGCCCTGGCTTGGGTGTCGTCGCGGCCTTGACTTGCGGCGGCGGCGGCGGCGGCGGCGGCTGCCTGCTATTCAAGATACGTTCGGCATCCGCAAGGAGCGCTATCAGGACCTGCGCGTGCTCGTCCATATAAATGCCGCAGACGTTGTTGCTGCGGTGGTACGCCAGCCCGCCTTGGCCGAGAAAGCGCTGCCCGCAGAACAAGCAATACTCTTTACCGAGCTTGTGGAGCGGTACGGGCGCCGTGCCACAGAGCCCGCTGCGTCGGTGAGAGAGCAGTGCCTTGATCCCGCCGCACGGCCGGTTGCAGCTGTCGCAGTGGGCGATGCCGAGCCTCGCCAAGTCGGCGGCAGACGGGAGACGAAGGGTATTACCAGTTGGCGCTGGCTGCTGCTGCTGCGCCGGTAACATAGACGGCGAGGGGGGCGGGATCGGATTCGCCGTGGGAATCACCCTCTCCTGCCGGGCCGCGGGGCCGCGGCTACCAGACTGGCTACCACCAACACCCCCATCCGTCACCACGTCGCGAGTGTCGTAGCCCAAGCGCTCCGCCCGGCCGAGCGCGTTAACGAGCGGCTGCGCCCCGATGGACTCGAGGCGCAGCGCGAGCGCCTTATCCAGAAACGTGTTGCTAAGCTTGGACATGAGGCTCGGCGCCATCATGTCGAGGTCCTCCCGCCTCAGGTGCCTGGCCAGCGGGCCGGCCGAATTCCGGACCAGGCGAGCACCATGCTGCTCAATGGTGCGGCTCAAGATGGCCGGGGGCGCTCTGTGAAACAGTGTGCTGCACTATATAGTTTTTGGTAGCGTACCATTTCGTTAGCCATCTGAAAGTTGAAGACTGTTATTTATAAAAAGAATTGTTTGATTTTTGGCTTACAAGAAAGGAGCTGTGGTATTCGGATCCGACAAGCGTCAACTCCCACAGCTCACGGACGGCCTGACGCAGCACCGCCGGGTCGAAGCTCCTCATTGTCGCCTTGGCATGGGCCACGGCGTCGTTGAAGCTGTGCTGGTTTGCGGGCATCAGGTTGGGCGACGGAAAGCTAAACGGCGGCAGCGCAGTTTGCGCATGCCCTGGGGCCGGCCGTTGCTGAGCCATGGCTGCGGCGGCGGCAGCGGTGCGTGGGAAAGAGTGAAGTTGCAACGGGTTTCGCTTGCGACTTGATCAACTTGAGGCGCAACATTCATGGGCTGTAACTGGTGTGAGATGCGGGCGGAGCGGCGCAGCAGGAACAAGTGTACCCTAGTAGGAAAGTGAGTGCCGCTTGCTTTGGATGAAGGGTAAGATGTCGTCGCCGTGTCTAGGTAGCAGTGAATGAGCGATCTTGCTCTCGTGTTCGGCAGTGAATGAAGCTATCTTGCTCTCGTGCTGAGACGCGGTTTGTGGTGAATGTTGTGGTGGACGAGCACGTGCAACAGGTTTCCGTCGTTTGGCAGGCACGCCCAAGTATTTCAGCGCGACACCTCTGGTAATTCAAAAACAGATGCAGAGAAAATGGCGGCCTCGAACTGTCTCTCAATATTCGACACGCCTGATGAGAAAGCCCCTGGTGATGCGTACCGCGTTCCTTGCCCAAGTTAAGCCGGGCAGACAGGCGGTATTCAGATGTTAGCGTGTTTCGCCAACAGCCAATCACAACCGTCCAAATATTATCTCTGCCTGGTTAATTAGGCATCAGGCATCAATAAAGGGTCCGCTCGATGGCGCGAAAATTCTTACTAATTTCTGCGGGGCCCGCATGACTAGCCAATTAAAACTCCTGTTTTATGAAGCTATTTTTGCGGATTCTTATATTGCTATATCAGCCCTTGTAACCCCTTGTAACCTTGTACCTTACTTGATGCTATTTTCATCCGACTTTTATGTCGTTATTGACTAGTAACTACCTAGGTAGTTACTAGTCGTTACTAGCCCAAGCCAATCTTGATCTCAAACTTTTGACGTTTTGCAGCTTTCAATTTCGCCATTTCAAGCACCACCCACCAACTTCGGCTCAGACTCTACTTCCAATGCCGCTTTCAACGTAGTCGACATGCTTGGCTTCTGCCTCTTCCTCACATTTCCTCTTGATATCGCTCCTCGTACCCGGGTTGCCCGCCGGCGCGCCGCCAGTCCCCCAAAACTCCTGGCGAAGCGTCTCCACGTCTAGGTTTCCGCCCGATTCCGTCGCCATACGCGCGAGGCAGCAGTCGAGCGGCTCGTACCAGCGATCCCGCAGGCGCGCCGGGTACTTGGACTGCACCGTGCGCACAGTCTCCCGCGGATACGCCCACCCGAGTCCAAAAAAGTTCTTCTTGTCCGCCAGCCGGCCGCTCGCCATGCTCTGCAGCCTGCATTTGGCAATCACGTCGCGCTGGTGGACCAGAAAGCTGTACCGGCGGACCCAGACCTCGTCCCGCCACTTCCTCTTGCCGCCCTGTTCTGCGTACAGCTTGGGCCACGTCGGCGTCTCGACCAGCCCAATCTCCATGGCGAGCTGGTGACGCTTGACCCACGACCGGAAGCCGATGTCGCTGTGCTCAATGTAGTTGTCGAACCGCGAAATCACGTAGTCGAGCTCAATCAGCAGCCCGGTTTCAGTAGCCGCATCCTGGAGGGGGAGACTGTCCCACGCTTGGAATAGTTTGGTATAAAAGGTATCCTGGTCCGACCAGGGAAAGCTTTCGACGCACTCGAGGATCGTACCCGAACAAGGCTTGTCGAAACATTCGTCCGCCGCGCACGCCCGTGGTTGACTGGGCTTCTTGGCTAAAGTCATACTGGTAAAGTGACAAATGCTAGACCAAACTGCTTCTCATATCTTTCAAAAGAGGTATAAATGACGGTGCATAATAGTGCATGTCGCAGAGAGGAGACTCCCAAGTCTATCGTGGTGTTGGGTGCTGCTTCGTCCCTATGTGAATGCAGGTGCGAGCTGCCGAGTCACTTCGTGTTCAGCACCTGCCTCAACCAAGGCGCAGCTTTGCAAATGCGTCAGTCACTGGGCCAAAATAGGCTGCAGCAGTCACCATATATGTTTTCCAAGGCATCACGCACGCTGTTCATCAAAATAGGAAGCAAAGCGGGCAGTTGCTGCTCAGTGAATGCATCTCTGATATTCGCATGTGTTGGCCGTAGTCTCGGCCGCTGTACAAATCGTAAAGTGCTACCAAAAATTATCAAAATACTCAATAGCATACAAGTAACGTAAATCATAAAACTGGTTGTCAGTTGCTTCCCCTCTTTTCGAGCTGTACCTAGGTACCCGTGTCCGCCTTTACTCGCCAATACAAGCGACCATCAGCCGGCCATAGTCGCCCGACGTCTCGCCCTTGATGCGACTAGCCAGGCTGCGATGGAAGCGCTGCTGATAAGCGCCCTTGATATTCGCCAGCTCATGGCGGTCCCAGTGGTATCGCACGACGCGACCGACGAGAAGCTGGTCCTTGGTGCCCATGCCCGCCATGGCATCTTCAAAGAGCGTGGCGGCATGCATGTATTTGTCGACGGCGTGGCCGAGCTGGAAGAGGAGAGCGTCCTTCATATGGCCAGAAAATTCCTGCTGCAGTTGTCAGTAGTCAGCGAACACGACAACCTATAAATACAACTCGCTGTTACGTACGGATTTGACAACGGCTTCGAGATCCTTGTTGAAGCGCTGCTTGTAGGCGTGGGCAATGGCACGCAGCTGGTTGTCGTTGCTTCTGGTAAAAATGCTGCAGACGAGGATTTCGTCGGTGCCCATCTTGCCCTCGGTCGCCTTGTACAGCTCCATGACATCGCCATCGACCTGCTGGGGGATGACGGGCGCCGAGTCCTCGGCGCGGTTGGCGGCCAGGACCATCATGAAGTGGCGCTCCGTCTTCATGCTCAAGTCGCCCTTGACCGTGTCCTCGAGGCTGCGGTGAAAGGTCTTGTAGTAGGCCTGCTTGATGGCGTTGAGATCGGCATTGGAGCGCGACAGCAGGATATCATTGAGCACGAGCTCCTTGGTGCCCGGGCCCGACATGGCGTCAAACAGGCCGTACACGTCGGCGAGGAGCGGCCCGCGCGCGAGCTGCAGCAGGCCGCGCTCAAAGTAGCCGCTCGTCTCCGACTTGAGGTCGTCGATCAAGTTGCGCCGCACGTGCCGGGCGTACGCCTCGCGGATGGCGTCGGCCTGCAGCGGGTCCTTGTTGGCAAGGACCTGGATCAGCGCCTTTTCGTCGGTGCCGAAGCCCTTCATGGCGCTGCGGAGCGCCTGCGCGTCACCCGTCCCGTCCCAGTTGATGTGTTGCGGCGGGCCGTAGCCGAGTGAGGGCGGCGTCGGAGGCCCCGCGGCGGGCGGCGGCGCGCCATACTGGGCAGGCGGCGGCGCGCCGTACGCGGGTGCTTGGTGGTGGCCGCCGTACGGGGCAGGCGGTGGCTGGCCATAGTTCTGGGGAGGCGGCGGCGGCTGGCCGTAGCCCTGCTGGTGAGGGGGCGGGTATTGGGCGGGCGGCGGCTGGTTGTAGCCCCCGTGCTGTGGAGGATATTGCTGATGCTGAGGCGGATATTGGCCAAGCTGGGGAGGATAGCCGCCATGCTGGGGAGGCGGCGGACCGTAGCCCTGAGGAGGCGGCGGTTCTGCGAAGCGCACCGGCCGTCAGTTTATTTGTAGAAAATTTCACCATAAATTTGCAACTCACGGCCATAGCTTTGGCCCCCATAGCCTTGGCCACCGTAGCCTTGGCCACCGTAGCCTTGTTGGTACGCCATAAGAAAGTGAGGGGTAGAAAACTAGGTGTCTTGAAGTGGTTTGTTCGGCGACGGCGCGCAGAGAGTGTAGCAATGCTCCCTCAAAGGATGGGTTGTAGGGAGCGTCTGCGATGATTTTGACAAGTCGCGTGAATGAGGAAAAAAACGGCCAAGGAAAAGTTATGGCGACGTGGGGGATGACGACGATGACGGCGTGCACAGCTTACATAGGGCCCCTCCAGCTTGCTGCGGCTCACAGTGACCCGCCGTGTTAGCAGGCACAAGACGACGAGGGCCCGTCAGTCGAGGCTGTCCAATGGCGGTTTCGATCGGCGACGCCACTGGCAGCTTGGCAGTATAATTTCTGGCACTAGATTTGCCTGGGCTGATTTCTGGTCGGTTTTGCGTAGCAAAGTAGGTTTGGGCGGATATGCCGAGGCGGAGCTGGAGCTCGAGGGCCCACCGAGGGCAGCCTTGGCTTTGTAGTGGTGTAGGTAGGAGTGAGGCGAAAGAGCCAAGTTGCGAAAGATAAAACAGCTTGAACAAGAGACAGGAATAGATTGACTATATCCCAATACTTACTCTGTAGTGCGATTTCCCATGGAAGCTCCAGTGGTGGTCTCCCACGATATGTAGACTATCCCGGAGAGCAGCCTACCAGGTCGTGGGCCAGCGCCATCCCGGTAGCAATAGCAATAGTGAACAGTACCGCAACAACCGCGAAATAGACATACATCAAGATGGTGATTCGATTACTTCCTCAAGACACTCCCTCCTCAGTCTACCACCTTTGCACAATGAAATTAGTTATGCTGAGCGTGATGCCTCCCTTGGCCAGGGCGACGCATTGTCTGAGAAATCAATGGCGGGGCACAACCAGCCGAGCCACCCACCTGACGGGCGCGACGCCACCTGCAGCACCGCCACAAGAACCGTTGAAACAAAGTTGTGGCAGAGCTCGCCACTTACACGACGCAACCGAACTAGCTATCAGATGCTACAAAAAAAAAGACAGGGGGCTGCGACGGCGACAAGAGACAATGGAGACAATCCGAAGAGTGTGAAAAAGGATCGGAGGATGACATTCCATCGGAAATGTCGTGCATGAAGCTATGCAAGCGCGGACATGGGAAGCAAAGCAATATTCAATATTAACTTCCTGGTGGCTGGTGGCTGGTGGCCGCGTCCGTTCACTGCAAGGACCCCACTGAAAAGCTAGCGCAGGGACTGCTGTTCACTTGAAAGAGATGGCACCTGCAGCGCTCGATGCTCCCCACTGCAACCGCTGAAAGCACTTGCGCTAGCGTTGCTCAGCTGGTTCGCCCCACTGTCGCCCGCTGTAGACTTTCCCTTTCCAGCCATGCAGTGAGCAAAGCGCACGCCAACCACCCAAGTAAATTTCGCGACTGTCTTTCCCAGCCACCGATTTCACACGATACTTTTTGGCATCGTGTTTGCCAGCCCCCATCATGGGCGGCGAGGAAAAAGGGCCTCGCGCCCATGCATGTGCGACTCATGACACTTCACTTCTTCTGCATATCCGATCTTCCTTTTCCCCTCGCTGATCATCTTGCCATTCCGCGATCGATCAACGTTGCCTCCCAACAGCTCTCAACTACTTGATCTAGCTTCGTTTTTTTTCTCATTGCCGATACAACACTCGGGTCGCTACCCATTGAAGCCTCTGCGGCATTGAGCTGCTTTCTCTCTCTCTTACTTGTTGCAACTCCCAAGTTCTCTCACAATGCGCACCTCTGCCACCCTCCTGGTTGGCCTTTCGAGCTGCATCGCCAGCACGGCTGCCTTTCCTCGGATCCGCATATACAACTCGGCTCGCGACGCCGCCATCGCCGACTACGCTAAAGTTAACCAAAAAGTGCCCACGTACTCGGTCGTTCCCTTGGAACCCGGCCCTGCCACGCAGTCGGGCGCCAACCCCGGCGGTGATGCTGGCGGCAGCACCAGCGGCGCGAGCAATCCGACCTCAACCGGCCGCGGCGGCTATCCCTCGTCGCAGAGCGCTGCGACTGTGACGGTGACGGTGACGGACACTGTGACGCAGGCGCAAGATGCCGTCACCCAATATGTGACGGTGACGGCGGAGGTGCAGACGGTGACGTTGCCGGCTGTTGTTGTCACGAGCACTTTAAACGATACCAAGACTGTGACTGTTCCGACGACGGTTATTGAAGCTACGACTATCGTGTCTACCACCATTATCGAGCCCATTACTGTTACTGTCTCGGGCTCGTCCACAACGCTGCAGACTAGCACCGAGACTAGCAGCTCATCGACCACTCCCGGGACGACGTCCACGAGCGAGAAGGCCTATTCTACAGAATCAAGCTCTGTTCCGACAACATCGGAGTCCACCACCGAGGCCAAAATCCCCTCGACATTCTCTTCCCAAGCCATCGACACACCAACTACTCCCACAGCAGCGTCCGGTACGCAACCCAATGTGCAATACCCCACCGCTGTCCCGACCGGCACTCTGTCAACGACTGCCACGCCATCCTCGTCTTCCGCGAAACCGTACGACGACGGGCAATGGACGCACTCTTTTGACAATGGGCGGTGGCACCCCCCGTATCCTTCGACCAACGCCACCGGCCGCCATTAATGATGAGTGACGACTTGAAACGAGGGATTTACGAATACGCAGAGTGAAGGTCTCACGACATGTACCAAACTGGTGAAATGAGGGGTGATACGAGGCGCGCACCAAGGCATTTTTTCCCTGCCCATCTTCTACTTCTACAACGGGCTGTTTTCGCCAGGTTTCATTTCGTCTGGTTTCATTTATCCGGCGACAAGCTGGCAATTTTTTCAAGGCACTGCCGAGAGCAGTGGTGGCTAATGTGCCTCGGCCGTGAGTGCCATTGCCATTTTGATATTTCTTTTGTCGTTGTATAGACACCATATTCTTTCTTCTTGCATATTAGACAACTACTTACTTAATACGACCATCGTTCAGATTGATCAAACCATGTGGGATGCAGAAAGTGGATGGCGGCCGGCCTGCTCAGCAGCAAGTGACACAATATGCGGTGCCGCACCGACGGCCTGCTGCATTGCCAACCAACGCTGCAAACGGGCCGGTTTCCGATTGTTCTTTCATCAGCGTGCTGCATCGCGCCGAACCATGTCGTGAACAATGGCAAGACGAAAGCCATGTAGCACCCGATTCCCTGCCACGCGGGATTCCCCCCCGTATCGCAATGAATGTGAATCGGCTGGCCCTTCTTATCAACACGGCGAGCCAACCCATCGTCCGCCAACTTTTCCTCTCTCCTAACTTGAACTCTCACAAAGCACATGGCAGCAAGCGTTCGCTCTCTCTTATTTTGAAAAGATACACCTCACAGACATACATCTACAGCCATGATGGAACTGGGCTTCATCGGCCAGGAGCTCCACGCATCATCCTCCACCGCACAAGAATCTACCACGACGCCTCCCACCACCAGCACCGCACCGCAGCAGCAACTACCGACGTACGTGCCCGTCGACAGCCGCCTCTCCGACGCCGACGCCGCGCACAAGACCATCCTCGTCGGCCTGCTGATTGCGCTCGTCGCCGCCAGCGTCGCGCTCGGCGGGCTGGCCATGTACTGCCTGCGGCGGCGCGCCCAGAGGAGGCTGCAGAGCGAGTACCAGGCGGAGCTGCGCGCGGTGCAGCAGCAGCAGCGCGATGACAAAGACGACGAGGGGAGGGCGTGAGGGAGAAGGCGGGACTCTTTCTGGGGGGGGAAGGCGGCTTTTTTGTAGTTATTTCGTCTTTTTTTTTTTATGGTAGAGGGAATGGGCGGTGACGGGACGGCCGGCGGGTGGCTCCACCCCGGCGGGAGCGGAATGCGAGGAATGTCGATGCGCATTTGCTCTTGAAGATGCCACTCTACGATTTTTACAGATTTGATTTTTTGCTAGCTTTGGAGTGAACAAGGACGGTTGAATTGATTCAGAATTACACAATATATAGAAACTTCCTCGCCGTGACATCGGGTACCTGAATCTCAGGCACCCAGCCCATGCCCAAGATGCAAGCCAGCCTCCGCATGATACCACTCTTTGCCCACCCACCACACCGACTTTCCGCTAATAAGCTGCATTTATTCTCCCCCGTCGATGCACCTTTCCAATCGGAAGTCCATCCACCTCGTCTCCATACCGGAGCCGTTGTGGGGAAATCTCGCTGCTGGCAAAAAGTCTTGGGCACCAATACGCCGAACCATGCAGAGGGGGTCTGTGTGGCTACACCGAGTCATGCCCGTATAAGAGGTCCCCGTTGTGCAACAGTTCTTCACCTACAAATACCTGCTCCGGCCGTGTATTCTGGCATTGTACATGAATGCTGGTTCGCATGTGCAAGACTACACAACAGCACTTCTTCCCTGTCCTTTCATGAAAGCCGACACCGGGCCACATACCCGACCTAAAAACAACATAACCCAGCTCAGGCAGCACCAAGAACAAAACCATGCTCCTGTGAATATCAGGACCAAAAACCCAAACAAATGCACAGGTTTCTTCAGCTGTCCTGCCTAGTGTGGATGCTCCTCGTGGCCCAGGTTGCTCTCGCCGTCCACGGGCAAGCACCCGCCACCGCCCTCGCGGCCCGGCAGCAGCAGCAGCGGAACGCGGCCGGCTCGTCGTGCTCGGACGAGGGCCAGTGGAACTGCATGACGACCAGCTGGCAGCGCTGCGCCGCCGGCCGCTGGAGCGTCGTCATGCCCTGCGCCAAGGGCACGACGTGCGCGCCCGCCGGGCTCACGCGGGATTTCCGCATACAGCACGACGGCAGCGTGGATAAGAATGGCGGGCCGCCGACGACGAGCGCGGGGGTCCGCCGCTGGGCTTCGAGGGGGGGGGTATTCGGGGCCGTGTTGGGATGGATGTGGTGGTTGGGGTAAGAGGAAGGAGGAATGGGGATCGGGCTTGAGGAGGACTACGGACGAATGGCAACACATGCCGCATTTTCCTTTTTTTTTGTCATGATTGAAACGAGTTATGAATAGTACCAAATGTGCTTTATGTTTCTGAAGATACAACAAATTTACGTCGTCTTCATTTTCACGTCTATATCTTGGCTCGGGTACTGCCGACTTACATGCTTGCTCCAGGCATCAGTTGTGTACATGTGGTTGGTCCATGAATTTCCGAGCACAGAACCATGTGCAGAACGCCATTCACTATCTGATTTACTTTGACACTCCGTCACTTCGGGTCCGCTACCCCGACTTGTCCGCCAGCCAGCACAGCCTGCAGCAAAGGCTCATCCTTCCACTCCCGGAGGGCCTGCGCCTTCCACTGCTCCCACTCCTCTTCCTCCTGTCCCAACCTCTCCTCGCCCTTCCCATCCAGCGCGCGCTTCATGCCCATAAACAGGCTAGCCCACGTCTTGGTCGCCTCATGTGCGGCGGCGACCGGGCCGAGCGCAAACAGCAGCCTCTGGACGGCGCGCCCGCGCAAGACGCAGTCGGCAAGGTCCGCGCGGCCCTTTTCGCGCAGCGCGCCGGCCAGCAGCCGCTCCTCGTCGGCGAGCGCGTTGGAGCCGTCGTAAAAGGCGGCGACCGGCCACATCATGCACGGCGAGGCAAACGCCTCCGCCTTGGACGCCGTGGCGCACCACTCCCAGTCGATGATGCCCACAATGTCAAAGTCGGCGCTCACCAGGATGTGGTCGCCCTTGTCGTCGGCGTGCTTGAGATAGAAGCGCTCGCTGGCGGGGTTCGCGTCGTGGCCCCAGACTCGGTCCTCCGCCGCGTTGTCGAGCCGGAACCGGTGGGCGAGGAATACGTCGACCGCGTTGCCGGCGGTGCCAATCTCCCCTCTGTATATCATGCCGAGGTAGGCTTCGACTTGGGCGCGAAAGGCTAAAGCCGAGGAGCGGAAGGGTCCGAGAGGGCCGCCGTTGATGCCGGACTTGGACGTGGAGTGCTTCGCCAGACCACGGACCTGGATCGCGGATTGGGTGGACGTGGCGCCGGTCTCGCCTCCTGAAGTGGCTTGTGAATCGATGAGCGATCCTAGCTGACTAAAGGGGTGTCTCTCTATTTCAAGCATAATATCCGCCAGTTGCTGCACGATTTTGCTCCTCTGCGCCGCCGTCGCGCCCTGCCAGTTCAGCGGCGTGCCCGGGAGCTTCTCCATCAAGATGTACCCGATGCCGACTTCATTAGCAGGGTCAGACGCCAACGCCCAGTCATACACACGGGGTGAGGGGATTCTGGTATGAAGCTGCAGATACTTCATAGTGTCGGCCTCGCTTTGGAGCACGTAGTCGCGTACGTGCGGCGGCGGTGCCCTTGGGGCAACGAGTCGAAAGCGCACAATCCACACCACGCCGTCGGCAAACACAACGTCTGCGTGGCAGTTTTGGCCCCCCATCATCTTTGATAACGTTTTGGGAGAGAGATCGACTTGGCACGGTATTGGCGGCTCGCCACGGAGGCGTGACGCGCGCGCGCAGAGCTTCTCGCCATTGATCTGGCGGCACAGCGCGTCTAGGCGCTGTGCCTCGCCGGCGGCGTACTGGTCGGCGTACTCTTTCCAATTTAACTAGAGCAAGGTGTGAATAGGAATTCCCTGAATTTAGAGAGTATGGAAAATTCACAGTACCTCTGGACTGGGGCACTTGTGCCACTGGTGCTGGATATGAAGACGGCAAAGATGCTTGCCGCAGAGTTCACAATTCCCTTGGTTCTGGACGGCAGGGCGTTGGCAGCCTCCAACATCACAAGGCCACAGGGATGGCATGGTACAGAAGTTGCACTTGTCAACCGAGTGTTGGTATTTCTTCTCAGAAATCTGAAAAAGAGAATGATGTTCAGCCTTGAAGACCAAAGGCTGTCGAGGCAGACAAGCAAGCAGGGGTATTCAGACAGCCAGTGATACACTGTACATGATCAGATATATAGGTACATTTAAGCGGCCTGGCAGCCTCGAATGGGACGGAGAATAACTTGTAGCTATCTACCCTGGATAAAACTGGTAGTAAGCGCTGAGCCTTGTTGGCGCATATACATCACGCGCCTGTGAATGAGAGCTGGCCTGGAATCATGCGGCAAATAATATTCACGGTACCGTTACTCAAAATGTACTTGTCAAGAGAGGGTATTGCATAAACGATTGACTGTATCTAACTAGAACTAGAGCCAGCTTGACAAGGCTGCCATGAGAATAAATTCACTAGCATGAACTAGGCCCAAGCTTCTACCTAGCAACCTCGGCAGTAACAAGTCACCACAGAGGTTAACGTCGTGACTGTGCTGATGCTTGGTAACCCTAAGGGAATCACATTGCTTATATAGCCAGCATTCACGATGGGATTGCCTTGGGCCGGCCAAATGGTCCTCGTGGGCAAGCAAAGACCTATTGAGTCCCAAATCACAAGTCCGAGTCTGGCGTCAAGGTATGCAGTATCAAATAGGATGGACATTATTCTGCTGAATTGTTACATGAAATGGCATAGGCCCATTGCTTCTTACATAGATCATATCCTTCTTCTGCGTCATTATACGAAAAACCCCATTCTAGTTGATACAGGCAGCATGGTAGAAAGAATGCCACGTACAAAAAATTCAATCATTCCCGTCCCAACGCCTATTCTATCATGGTGGCAGCGCTTTCTCCGCCTACGTTCAGCCCGCATCGCTTCTCCGTCTCCCGTACTCTCACACATCCTTCTTCACAGCTGCTACCCAGTCATCGAGGGGTAGGCGCCATCAAAACCCGCTGCGCTCATGCTGCTGACGATCCATCTCGTCGCGGAACACGTTGCGGCCGCCCGTGATGCCCTGCTGCTGGAAGCTGTCACGCACCGGCGAGGCGTCCAGGCTGTCGAGGCTATCTCTGTCCGCGCGGTGGCGGTAGCCAGCCTGCGGCGGCGGCGCGTCGCGGTACACGGGGCCGTCGTCGGGAAAGCCGTTGCCGAGCTGGATATCATGATCGGCGTCGGTGGCGCCGGGGGCGGCGGCGCCAAACATGCGGCGACGACGCGCCGAGCGGCCCGAGTAGCCGCGGGCGCTCTTGCGGGGCAGGATGGCGCCGAGGTGGATGCGGCGCGTCTTGCGGTTCCACAGCGCGAGGCCGACGACGAGCAGCAGGATGGTGCCGAAGACGACGGGCAGGGCAATGGTGAGGGAGTGGCCGACGGCGCCGTTGTTGGGCGCCGTGGCCGGGAACTTGAACCGGGTGACGGTGAGCGGGTACGCGGCCGTGACGTCGTCCGGGTCGCCAATGGTGCTGTTGAGCCGCCGCTGGAGCGTCACCGTGATGTTGTTGCTGTCGTGCCCGTCGAGCAGCTTGTCGCCGACGGCAAAGGGGAAGTAGCCCTGCTTGGCGGGCACGTGTGTCTGGTCAAAGTCGGTGAGGAACACCCATTCCTTGGTGGTGCGGTTCTGCTGCTTGACCTGCACGGTGAGCGAGTACGACTCGTTGAGCTTGCTGGCGTAGTGTTCGGGGTCCCAAGTGACTGCGGTTTGGTTAGCTGCGGGTCAACGGGTAAACAGAAACGATTCGGGGGGGGTTGCTGCGCACGGTAGTAGACGTTGCCGGGCTCCAGGGTCGAGTTTACGCGCGGACGGCAAAACGGATCGAGGCTGCTGTCCTTTTTCGAGCACAGGGTAAAGGCGCCGGTGCCCTTGTTGTTGGTCGCCGTCGGGTTGGGCGGGTCGCCGGTGGTGGTGGTGGGCTCGCCGAGCGTGGTGAAGGAGAAGACGGAGCCGGTGAGGCTCGACGGCGCCGCGTCCTTGAGCGTCGACTTGCCCTCGCCGTCGGTCGTCCACTGCGGCGTGAGCGTCGTCGCCGACGGGTCCTCGTTGACGCTGACCCACGGATCGAGCTCGCCGGCCGGGTCGCGACGGTCGAGCACGGCCGCCGGCGTCATGACCGCGGCGGGAGGCGGCGCGGCCACGGCGGCGCCGCAGAGGGCCACGGCGCCGACGAGCAGAGAGAAGAGCATGGCGATGGTGGTGGTGGGGGATGGAAGGCGGCAAGAAGAGCTGACGCGAAGGGAGAGAAAGAAGGGGGGAGAAAGGAAGAAGAAAAGGGTTTCTGGTTGATGATGATGCGCAATGGCGCACTTTTTTGCTGACGCTTTTTTTTATGGGGCGCTTTGACTTGCTTTCTGTAGCTAATACGGGGATGAAACGGAACTCTGACCCTGAATTGTTTTGCCAAGCTGGTAGGTTTCTGTCAGGAATGAGGGTAGAAAGATGACAGATGCAAGGAATTGAATTGAGCGGCGAGAAGGAAGAACATTCCCCCCCTCGTCAAATCCCGGAATGAGTAAAAAGGAAGAGCCAATCCCGCGTGTCCCGGTGCAAGCGGCTTTTTTTTCCCATGGACTTTTTTCCCTGCCCATCCGCATCCACCACTGCTTACCTGACACGCTAGAGAAGGACACATTAGTAACTGTGATTGGGCTCCTTGTTCTTTTCGTTGACTTGTTTCAACTAGTGGGTGGACCGTCGTCGCCCTGCCAGATCGGGGGCCGTCGCCAAGTGACGTCGTCGGGCTTGATCCCGATGGTCCCGTCAGCTACCCTATAGAGATCTGCCATTGGGCGTTGCGTGCGCGGTTAAGCGTCTTGTAGCATGAGTGAATCGGGGTTTAGGAGCCAACATCTTCTAGTGAGCAATTCTCTGTTTCTATACATGCGCTTATGATATGCATTGCAGTGTATGTAGCAAAGTTGGACCCCATGCCAAGGTCATATCAACCCGCGCTGACTGCAACCAACTTGGTGTCGTACAGAATCTTGCAAGCGCAAACCAAAAATTGAAGAAATCCATCTTATTCTTTTATTTACATCTGCTGGTTCACCGGGACTAGGCACAGGTTCAAGTCCACATCCGCTGGTGCCTTTACGTATTCTCTATCCAAAAAAAAAAGGAGTACGGGAAATTACAAGCTTTCATTATTTCTAGCGCTCTGTATTACAAATCCAGGCATTCTCTGCATCATCAACGTCTCAATGCTCCCGACGAATATCACCAAGGCTCGCTGTCTCTTCCGTATCGCGCATGAGCGCCCCCGTCCTCACAGCTCAACCACGCGCCATCCAACCATCAACATCAAGCCAACGAGCCCTCGGTATTTCTCCCATCTCCGTAGATATTCCATTGTAACCCTGTCATGGGTCTCCGACTTGCTTGCCATTGATGCACTTGGCTATCATGATTTCGCACAAACGGCCTACCAACCACTGCCCATCATGGTTGGTGTCTGTAAAAAGCCTACACCGAAATCGCTGGCGTCGCAGGATTTAAAACGATGGAAAGTCTTCTCTTGTGCATTCCCGACGTTGTACAACAGTATGAGAAATGTCTCGGGAGCCCACCAGGAGTGTTACTCAGACCGACTGTGCGGGAGAAATCTTGTGCACCAAGAGTCGCTTGTATTGCTCGTTCCAGTCGACGCTGTCCATCTCGGAACCAGACTCGATTTCCGTGCTTTCGGAGCCCTCTGAGAGCCCGTGGCCGGGCATCAACCGCCCCGACGGCGCAAACACCTCTGGCGCGGAGAACGTCTGCCGTCGCGACTGCTCCTTTGCAGACTCCATGCTTGACGTATCCTCTTCGCTCCTCTCATCGTCCGCATCGTCCACGATCTTGACGCTGGGCGACCTCGGCCGGACCTGTACCTGAATCTTTCGAAAGTACCGCGCCGCAAACTCCTTTCGTCGCGCCTCCTCCTCCGACTCATTGCACACCATCACCGGCGTTGTGGGGAAATAGTGTCTTCTCTGCATGTGCGCATGCCGGCCGCTGCCGCCGCCGCCTCGCGGTGGCTTTTGCTGCGACGACGACTGCTGGTTCTGCTGAGCGGCGAGTCGCTGGGCATGGATCCGCATCGACGGGCAGTACGGCAGCCGCGGGCACCCCCCCAAACGCCAGAGTTGCTCGCGGGGCTCGAGCAACGGACGGCCGCACGCTGGCGGCTCGTCCTCGCGGCGGCTCAGCCGCGGCCGCAGCTCAAAGCTGTTCTGGTCAATGACGATGAACATGTAGCGCGCCCAGAACAGGCCGCACTCCTCCCACATGAAGAAGCGCCGAAATTGGCAGTACGGGCAGAACAAGTACACGGCTCTGCACATGGGGGGCGGAGCCGAAAGCCCGGGGGGCCCGGAATGGGGGTTTTTGTTGTGTCAAACGGAGATTGGATGCCAGGGGCAAGAGCGCCCTTCGAAGCTCGCGAGGGGGGGGGGGGGCTCTGATTGGTAGGTACGAGTTTGTCGTTGGTTTGTCGTGGGCTGTTTGTTCAAGTCTCCGCTGGTCGGTTTGTCTAATGGGCCACGTCTCGGGAGTCCGCCAAGCGAGGAGAGAATCAGTAAACCAATAGGACTATTCTGAAGATATGATTTTGAGAATAAGCAGAGAATGCCTGATTGGACGGGAGAGTGTGAAGTGGTGAAGATGATGCAAGGTGGCAGCGCAAACACAACCAACCGACAAACCGCCTCTGCACCTTCTCAGCACCTGACAGCTGCCAGAAGAGGCACGACCTTGGCTCAACAACAACGCCCACCGAGTGAGCACAAGCTGAGAAGCAGCGCCGTGTCCTGCCTAAATTTCGTCGCCGCTTCATCAAGAGAGAGATGCAAGCTCCCGGATTTACCGCTTCGTCACACATTCTGGCCGTAATGAACGACAAAAACAGCAATGGAGGGTGCGGGCGTCGCTAGGGTCGTACAGAGTCAAGGCAACCCTCTCCAGGCCCAGATCCTATTGGCACTGGATTGTCTCAAATTAAACAGTCGCACAGGCAAAGGGGTGTCGCAGACGCTGCACTCTGACACCCAATCAACACTCTTGACCACGGCGACTGCTCAAACATGCTTTCTTTTGATCGTGTCTATATACAACAGTGCTCACATCAACAGATGGACACGCAAACAAGGAAACACAAAACGCCTATAGTGTAAATAAGTGTAGATGAAGCAGGCACATATATCCCCTTTTCCGACCAGTCTTGCTCGCTTATGCCTTCTTGGCCTTCTTGGCCTTCTTCTTCGACGACTTGTCGCCAAACGTCTCCTCGTATACCTCGCCGGCCGTCACGACTGCCTTGCGTTTCGTCTTGCCCGACTTGACGCTCACGACGCCCGCCCCCTTGCCGCCCTTGGTGGCGCTCTGGAGCTGCTTCTCGGCCTGCTCCCACCCGGGTGCGTCGCCGTCAATGGCGTACTGGTCCAGCGGCAGCGAGTCAATCATTTCGCGCTGCTTCTTCCGTAGCTCCGCCAGCGCCTCGTGGCCGCCCTCGGCCAGCTCGTCGTCCAGCGACAGCGTCAGCGGCGCGTACTTGTCGTGGACCGCCTCGTCGTCGTGCGCCCCGTCGGCTTCGGCGCGGCTGACGCCGACCTGCGCCGCCGTGGGCATCTCCGCGTCCACGGCCGCGGCGACGAGGCTGGCAAAGTGCGTAGTCACCTTGCGCAGGACCTTGATGAACATGGCCATCAGCTGCGGCGCGGGCACCGTCAGGTCCCGCGAGGCCGCATCAAAGTCCTTGCGCTGCAGGCCCATGGCCATGACGATGCCCTTTTGGATGCCCGTCAGATTGACGCCCTGCTTCAGCTTGCCGTTGAAGTAGAGGTTGGCAATGGTGGGTAGCAGGTCCAGAATGACGTGGTAGTCGAGCATGTTGTTGGCATACGACTCTAGGCGCTTCAGATCAAAGGGCGTCATGTGCCTATCCAGCTCCTCTTTGGTGAGGGGCGCAACCTCTGTGTTGTCGAGCTTGGCGCCAGCAGAGGCAGCTTCATCAATGCTGAGAGCCATTTGGACGTTGAACGTACGGAACTGGTAGGAAAGAAGTGAGATAAATCGCCGTTGGAAGTCACGCGAGAACTCGCCGAGCCAGCTCGGGTCGTCGCCCGTCTCCAGAGGCCGCAGCATGACGCAGGTGTGCTCGCCGGTCAAATCATTGGCAGTTTGGCGCAGGTATACGGGAGCAAACGAAGACCGCTTCCAAAACTTTTGCAGCTCCTTGGTTAGGCCGTAGCTAACGCCAATATAGTCCAGCTTGTCGGGTCGCTTATGTGACAGGCTGTTGAGCAGCGGCGGCAGCGCGTCACGCACAACAATGTTGTCGTCCAGCAGCGACGTCTTTGACAGCTCTGCATTGGTAGATCGGCTGACTCGGTCGTCCATGACCTGGTCCTCATCCTCCGACAGGTTGGCAAATTTGCCCTCGTAGTAGGCGATGAGGAGCTCTACGGCCTTGGAACCGTAGCCTTGGGACATGTACTCGGGGTTGGTGGCAATTCGCACGACACGAGCGCCAGAGAGTGTAGCGAAATTCTCGTCTTGGAACTGCTGGCTCACAAGCCAGGGGATTAGATCACCAGTGGGCCTTTGTCCGCGGCTCAAGCTGTTCAATACACTTTCTCGGCTAATCTTACCCTCGAGAGCGACCTGAATCACACACAAGGGCTCTGGGAGTCTGCTAGTTTGATCCGATTGAGGACCAGTCAGGACAAAGAGCTCATGCGCGGGGGCATCACTCATCAGCTGCAGATCGTCGGGCGTGTTCTTGTAGTGGCTCGCCACGTACAGCGCAACCATTTGCTGGAGGAAAGCCTCGGATACTTGATGAAAAGAAAAGAGGGTATCGCGGTTAAGTTTCCAGAGCTCGCACTGAGAAGGGTCCGGGGATCCGGCCTTGACCTTGGGCAGCTGGGCGTCGAGGCACAGCAGCTTGTTGAGCCACTTCTCGACACCATCGCCCTGCGCATAACGGATAGGCTCGGAGAGAGTAATCTCTCGCAACCTGCGACCAGCCTGGAACTCTTCGCCCTTGGCCGCACGTCCGGTAGAGCGATCTGTAATTTCGGTATTAGCACCACCAGCAGAAGCGCTGCGCGACTGCTCGCGTAGCTGCTTGATGAGCTTGAGCGATAGCGAGCGGCCAGTGCCTTCGTAACCGTTAATCGTCGAAGCCATGAAGACGAGATACGGGCCCATCAGCTTGCGCACAAGCGGCAGAGGGATAGCCGCCGCCTCATCAATAACAACCAACTCAGCCTGCCCGAGAACGTGGGCGTCCTGTGGACGAATGTATTGAATCGTCTGACGATGCTGACGGTGAATGTTGACGCGAACAATGGCCTTGTTGAAGTCGGGATTCGTGCTCTGAATAATGGAGTAGTCGGCGTGGTCGGCGTAGCCCAGAGCGTCGAAGCCCTTGAACACAAACTCAAACAACGTCTTCAAGTTTTCAGGCGAGGGCGACGTGATGAAGATGTTGCTGTAGCCGTAGGCCACCGCGGCCGCAACCGCGACACCAAGCGCGGCCGACTTGCCGCGTCCTCTGGCGGCGGTCAGCGCCACCGTGCTGCGCAGCGTCTTCTCGGCAATGGCGTCGGTGAAGGTGAGCAGAGCCTTGGCCTGGTCGACGGTGCGCGCGAGCTTGACGAGGGCGCCGACGGGCTGGCGGTCCTGCGTGTCGTCCTTGATGGCCTCGAGCTCGCGCTGCGCGGGCGTCGTGTTCTCGTCGAGGTCCGGGGGCGGGAGCGCCGTGACGTCCTTGCCGCCCGAGATGGGCAGCACGTTGAGCTCGTCGTCGATGACGAGGCACGACTCGCAGCCGCCCAGCGAGAGCAGGAAGCGCTCGTTGAAGCGGGCGACGACGTCGGCGTGGGCCTCGGTGCGGTACCGCGCGTGCACGTCCATGGACAGGTTGTAGAGCTGGCGCAGCGAGTTCATGCCCTTGAGCAGCAGGATGACCAGGCCGCCGCCCTCGACCGTCTCAATGGTGCGCGCGAGAATATTGGGCGTCACGGCCTCGAAGTCCTGCAGAATGCACATGCCATAGGTGTTGCCGAGAATCTTGTCCGTCTCCTTGTAGTAGGTGTAGCGGATGTTGTGCAGCGAAATGAACAGCTCGAACGGGTCTTCGTCGTTGACTTCGCGGATGCCCTTTTTTATTTCCTTTTTAATCTTGGCCTCGCGCTTCTTTCGGTGACTGTAATCGGCATACACGTTAGCGACAAGGAAAGCCTTGTGGGCTCGAACCGGTGTGGTCGATTGCTTACCTGGTAAAGTTGAGAAGCTTGTTCTTGTACGCCCATAGAACCGACTTGTTCTGCTTGATATCGACGCGCGACATGATGTAATGCAGGCGCACAATCACATCCTTGCTGTGGTCGCCGACAACAACGAAGAAGCTTCTCTTCTTTTCTTGTAGGCCATTGCGAATCAAGGCGCCGATACGGGGATCGCTGCGAAGGTTAGCTCAAGCTCTGAGAAGTGACCAAAATGTTTGTGACTTATTTCAACAGTCATTGACTTGACTTACACTTGCTTTCGAGAAGACATGTTGCTGGGCTCTGTCAATCTCGCGGTTGAATTCGATCAAGCAATGGCAGAAAAATTGCCTACCTACTTTGGCCTAGAATTTGGTTGCGGGCAAATCCAAAATTCTGGCGGGCTGTTGGTTTCTGCCAGGCGGTGTGGTGTGTTGCACCGGCTCGACAGCTTTGTGGGGCATTTGAAGGTCGATTATAAGTCTTTCCTAATTATTACTATCTTTTGTGTCTTTATGACTTTATTGATCTTTCTTATTTTGCTTACTTCATTGTATTAATTTTTTGTTTCTCGCTTCATTTTTAATACAGTGCGTAGACCGTCGTTGAATAGTGTTCGTTGACTTTGGTACCGGAAATTAGTTACATCCCAGCCGTCCCTTGTAGCTTTCGAAAGTCCAAGCATGCAAAGCAAGTGGCCACGCAAAAAGTTTCAAATCGGTTCTATGTTGGCGAATTGCTGCTGCAATGTCTATGGATGCTATACTGTGCAAAAAAAAAAGCAAAGTCGAAAGAACAGCTCTTGGCAGCACTACCGGGCTCCAGCGCAACCAGAAGCTGCCGCCTCCGGTCGGCCGACCTCGTTCCATCAGCCCTCCTTTCCACCCGATGAAAAACGTGCCAGCATGAAGGAGTCAAACAAAGGGAATTGAATCTAATATACACGCGCCCCAGCCAGGATGCAACCCCCATGAAAGAAATCGCCGTTTTACGTGCGGTCAAGCTTGCGGCGCAGGTTCCTCGTGCGCTTCATAAACTTCTTATACTTGTGCTTCTTCATGCGGAGCTTGCGCTGGCGCTTGACACTAATGGCTTCCATAGTCTCGCCCGCTGCGTGCTGCATGATGCCGGCTGCCGCGCGGCGGGCGGCGCGTGCCTCGTCGAAGCGCAGCTGGCGCTGGGCGAGGCGCTCGAGGAAGCTGCGAGGCTGGTCGTCGTTGACGATGCGGGGGCTGTGGGCGACGATGCGGATCTGGCCGTCGGCCTCGGTCGACTCTTCAATCGTGAACATGGCCTTGTAGACGCGGTGCTGGGGGTTCTCCTCGGCGGCTGCTTCAGCCTGGGCGCTCAGGCTGCTGCTTCCGGCCTCACCCTCGGCGCCGGCCAGCTGGGCCTGAGGCAGGGGTGGCGGACGGAACGGCAAAAAGTCGCCCGACATGGTGTCGACTTGCAGGTACACGCTGGACTCGCTGCCGTCGGCGTTGCGCACCTCGAGGCGCTGCATGCCGCCGCCGTTTTGCATCTGTTCCTCCGGCCCGCCAATCGTCATCTGGGCCATTGGGCCTTCGAGCTGGTCGATGGTCTCGGACAGCGTCGTCATGGTCTCGGAGATGCGGCTGGCCTTGGAGCGGGCCGCAAAGATGGAGGCAAAGTGCTCCTCGGACACGGTGCGCGGCATCGTCTGCGTGATGGAAATGGGACGGTGGAGCGAGAAGAAGCTCGAGAGACCGAGGGCTAACAGAAAAAAAGCAATGTCAGCATGTTACATCCGGCACGACAGCAATGGGCGGGTTGCCAGATTGGGAGGGGTGTGGGACAAAAGGAGCCCGAGTGTTTCTCGCCTTCTCCTCCGTCATCATGATTCGCGGCATACCTTCGTGGGACATGTGGTGGGTGGCGGGGACGCTGGGCAGCTTCTTGAACGAGGCGTCGCGGGCCGACGCCTCCTTGCTCTTTCGTTTGCGCTTGTCACCCGCGGTCTTGCCGTCAGGCCGCGACGACGAGGACGACGACGGGACCGACTGGCCGGCCGACAAGTCGCTGGGGCCGCCGCCGTTGTCGGGGCGCGAGGGCTTGGACGAGGAGAACCGGCGCTGGTGGCCGCGCATGACGACGGGCACCGAGGCGCACGCCGCCGCACGAGTAGCCGCCGGGGGCGCCGAGGAGACGACGCGACGCACCGAGGACGGCAACATCGTGATGGGGGGATTTGTGAGATGAGTCGATCGTTCGGCTGGATACGGGGATGGCGGTTGCGTTTGTCGGGAGAGGAGGAGAAGGAGGGGCGAGATGAAGCGAGTTGTGACAGGATAGATCCTGATGTTAGTAAGACGCGGGGTTCGACAGTACGCGGTACGGTGCACTTTGCCGTCGAAAACCTGGATCAAAGAAGACGGTAATCAGTCATCAAAGGTGGTTGCACAGGCTAGCGGTCAAAAAGTCGGGTGAGGGGGTGGCCTAAGGCAGCGACCGAGTGTGGGCCAAATCGACAATCAGCAATCAGCTCATGTCAAACTCACGCAGTTTTGTAAGCCAGCACGGATGAGAAGAGATACTATTTGCTTCCCTTCTTCCAAATACCTAAAGATTCCGAAGCGAAAGAGAAAAATGAAAAAAAAAACCGAGGTGAATTGAATGCCGTATAACTGAGATCATATCCAACAGACGCAGCTGGCCCGTGGCCTCATTGGCTGCAGTGACAAAGACCCATTAAAGATTACTGACTGCCGTTTCACTCAGCTTCATGCTTCCACTACATAGCTTCACCATGTTAGGCGCAAATCCAGCCTCGTCGCAAAGCGAAATAGAATGGCGCGTCTTCATTTCATCAATCTCAATCTAACGCATAACTCTTAACTATAGAGGATCTGAGCGGTCATAGGTTCTAGTTAGGTAGGTCAAGTCCTCAAGAGAGGCGACAAACAGCAAAGCACTTGTTTCCAGCACCACAAATAGGGTATTCGACAACTCAACACACAAAGACAAGGCTCACAGGGTATCGTAAACAGAGCAATCTCTGATCAAACAACTGCAGCGCGTGAAGTCAAATGGCGACACGAGCCGATTTCTTCCGACATTACTCCAACAGAGCCGAAGTCTCGTCAACGACTGTCGGCGCCTTTTTGCATTTCTTCTTGGGCAAAACTTCAATGGCCTCGGGCCCAATACCGTAACCCTGCATTCCATGGTCGTCTTCGTCCTCCGAGTGGTATGACTGGGCTCCGTCCGTAAAGACGGGGGCGTACGAGACTGAGGTCTTCTTCTGGAAGAATCGCGACCAGGGCATCGTCGGGCGTTCGGGCCAGAGACCGTGGCTGCAGTTGGGGCAGTCCGAGTCAATGGCACGCGCGGCGGCCCATTTTATGTGGCCGTGGATGGCGAGGCCGTCCCAGAGCGCGGCGAAAGCGAGGGCAACATGCGAGATACTACAGTGGATTAGCGTCCCGACTGCATCCGCGGCCGCCGGCGTACTCACAAGCTCAGAATCAGGGGAATCGTCGCATATGCGGCGAGCATGCTAAGCGCCGCCGATGTGCTCGATGACTTCCACGTATACACCAGGACAACCATAATGCCCGCAGCAATCGCTATGTCAAAGGCAAACACAAGAAACGGGTGGGACAACTTCTCACTAAGAGAATCGACCTCCTCGAGGCCGTCCTCGACGGCATGTTCGACAGAGCTCATGAGGCGGTCGCCGCCGCCGCCCTCCCCGCCGGTCTCGCCGGGGGCCTTGCTCTTGCGGCGGAGGAGCCATATTCCCGCGACGGTGGAGAGCGACTGCGGAACGAGGCCGGCGACCGGCACGGCATTCTTGGACATGAAGCCGTGGGCAAGTAGCATGGGGACGGCGGGGATAAAGGCCACCCAGGTGAGCGTCCGGAAGAGCTTTCCGTAGCGCGCCTCGAGGGACGCCCAGCTGTTGGCGCCCGTCATGTCGGTGAGCGTGTTGGCTGTGACTGTTTCAGTGTACGTGAATGGTGCTGGTTGACGTTTCTGCGTGACGGTGTAGGAATACGATGGCGCGCGGCCGAATAATAAGACGGGTTGTGGTGATGAGGGAGGCCGGGCAGTGTACGCTGAGACGGCTCACCGTCGATCCTACTCTATGTGAAAAGTCACGAAAATGCTGGCTGCCTAATAAGATCGTTGGTAGCTTCCCAGACTCGAGCCATGGGAAGAAAGGGCAAGAGCTTGGGCCACGCATAACTTCCCCTGACAGCCGGCGGAGCGGCAGGGGTGGTGCCGAGTTACCTAGGGGCAACACGTGCTGAGGATTGATAGCAAGGATGGGAATGGCTAGTCAAAAGTCATTCAAGAACCAGGTGGGTGAATAAGCAACACTTCCTCTCGGGAGTCCATTTCAGGCAATCCTTTCAAAGACGGGTTGTTGGCCCCAAGATTGGTGGGCGACGCTCCCGCGCGGAGGCGGAGCTACGAGATCGGGAAGGGCGAGCCAAGTGCCGGGCGGGCGCAAGCTTGCTGCATCGATGCCTGCGAAACAGAGGAATGGATTGCAAAATGAAGGAAAATAACACAAGAATCAGTGTAGTACTGTTTTTTTTTCTCACTATTTTCTTATTCTCTTTTCATTTTTATAATTATTCTAGCTCTCTTCCGGAATACCTGTATCAGTACTTGTTGGTGGCCAAGTTTTTTTTAAATATGGGGAACCCCAGGTGTTGGGCATGTTTGACAAGGAAGAGGTCGAAAAAGGGTCAAAATCATCTGTCCCTTTGAATTCTCCTCTCATCATTCCCGTCGCTGACAACTTAATTCTGCCCTCATTTGCTGTCCTTTCGTTGCACGGCATCCTCACCTCTCACAGCGTCTACATTCATTTTCTCCTTGTCCCTTTTCTCCCCTTGATTTCTTCCTTCATCTATCCCGCCGATATCGCCGCCAACCCCCCCCCCCTCATATCAAACAAAGAATTCTTTTCGTCTCCTTCTTCCTTCTCTTTTCACACATACTCACACTTCATAATGGTTGTCTCATTTCTCCGCTGGTATGTTTGACCTCGCCGTTTTTGTGCCTTCCCCCTCCCCTCTTCATCATGAGCTGAACAAACGGCCTCTTTTCAAACAACAGGTACAATGGCCGCCTCGCCGCGCGCCCGCTCCTCACGCAGAGCATAACCACCGCCGTGCTCTTCGCTACCGGTGACATTACCGCCCAGCAGCTCGTCGACCAGCGCGGTCTCGACAAGCACGACTTTTCCCGTACCGGTCGCATGGCCCTCTACGGCGGTGGTACGTTTTTTTTTTGCATCATGTCCCCCCTCCCCCAAGCTCTCATCAGGCTTTGGAGAGAGGGAGAGAGAGAGGGAAGGAAAATACTAACGTCAAAACGAAAAGTCGTCTTTGGGCCCGCCGCCACAACCTGGTTCAACTTTCTCTCCCGCCGCATCACCTTGCCCAACAAGCGCGCCGAGATCCTTGCGCGCGTCGCCGTCGACCAGTCCGTCTTTGCGCCGACCATGATTGGCCTCTTCCTCAGCAGCATGGCCACCATGGAGGGCGCCTCGGCCCAGGAGCGCCTCGAAAAGACGTGGTGGCCCGCTCTCCAGACCAACTGGATGGTCTGGCCCTTTGTCCAGACCATCAACTTTGCCTTTCTCCCCCTCCAGTACCGCGTCCTCTTTGCCAATGTCGTTTCCATTGGCTGGAACAGCTATCTCAGCTGGGTCAACAGCAAATAATTGCTCTGCCCTCTTTCCCATTCCCCGGCCTTTTTACTTTTCTAGAACCCGGTAGAGACGGCGTAATAAATACCTACGATGCTAGGCTGTCAAAAGCGAGACGTATGTCGGGCGGCACAAACGATAGACTATTATAATCATTAAAAGCATATAGATTTAGAATCTCACATGCACTGCTCACCATGTCAAAAAAGTTTGGCATCCAAGCTACTTCAAACAACAGGAATCAGTGTCATCTGTTGGTCTATCCATTCTATCTATTAATTTGCATACAAACGCTGCTCGTTTTGGCTCATTTTCCACCCGTCGCCGAATATGCAAAGTACCCCCTTCAAGCTTGAAGAAAGAGAAAACATTTCGTGTGCATCATTAAAAAAAAGGACCTAGTCTTGACAACATGGAAACAGGATTAGACTTCCGTCTCAATTTCCGCCCTTTGCTTCACATCATGCTCAAAAATACCCGACACGCCGTCTTCCACCCGGCCCAGCTTGTTCTTTACCCACTTGGCCGTGCGCGGAATCTTCCACTGCATGATGCCCCGGTGCTGACGGTGCAGCGTCTTGGCCTTTTTCTTGTAGTCGCGCACCTGGTCCAGCATGCTCTGCTTGTCGGCGGTGCTGCCGTCGGGCAGCTCCGCGTCCCGGCCGGCGCCGGGGCTCCCGTGGCGCGTGTGCCGGTGGTTGTGGTGCTGGCTCTTTGCGTCGTCATTGTCCGCGTTATTGTCGGGGCCGTCGTCATCCGACGAGTCCGCCGCAGTGTCCGCGTCCACGATGCCGGCGCTCCTCTCAAAGTCGTCCGTCTGGAGAATGTCGCGCGCCGTGTCAATCACCTCCACCACTTGCCGCAAGTGCTCGCTGCCGCTGGCCCAGCTCGTGTGCGCGCTGCCCATGCCCGCCCACAGCGTCAGCCGGAGCTTCAAGGTGCCCATTTTGTCGCCGCACGTCTCCAGGCAGTTGGACGTGGCGCGTTTATAGTCGCCTTTCCAAATGGGGAGATCAATCTCCTGCTCCTCCTCGTCGGGCACGTCCTTGAGCCAGAGCACGCAAAACGCGGAAATGCTCTCGCCCAGGAGACGTCGGCCATCGACAAAGGTGAGAGACAAGCAGCTGCTATAGCGCTGGTGCAGCGCCAGAGCAACATGCTTGCTCGACTTGGTCGCCCAAACAGCGTGGCCGTCTTCTGTAGCGGAGGGATACATCTTACCCGTGCTGATATTGGTTTGTAGACGAATCTTACAGCTGCGCAGCTCTTCCGGCACGTCTGTGCCAATAGCCTTGTGGCGGATATCGAGCGTGCCGTACTGCCAGCCGAGCAGGTTCCGTGGCGCTTGGAGCGACACGCTGCGCCACACGAGAGAGATGCGGATACGGCCATTGCCGATGCCGCCCGAGATGGGCCACCACCCCATGACCTGAGACCGTTGCTTGAATACTTGAGCCAGAGGTAGGTGCACGATTCCCAGCAGAGGATCATCTTCATGCAAACGGGCGTCGCGGACGGACACGTAGACCTCACAGTCGCGCCAATCTCTAATGAAGCGCTCGCAGCCCGCGTTAAAGAACGGCTTGCTATTCTGAGGCTTGACACGAGACTTGAAGGTTTTTCGATGGTTAATAACAATGGTGCAGTACGACGAGGGCAGGCCTTCACCAGTCTCCTCCTCATCGTCGCTGGCACTTCCAAACTTGGACTTGTGCTCTTTGCTGAGCTTCTTAATTTCGAGACCTGTCAGGTTGTGAATCTGGATGCTGAGCAGACCGCTCGGATAATCTTCTGGAGGCGGCGCCGAAATGATCATTTCGTCGTGCTCCGTCTTGAACTCGAGCACGCGCTTCTTCTCCATATCCTCTTCGTGGCGCTCTAGCGTGGTGTCTTTGAGCATAGCCTCGCGCAGCTTGCGTTCGCAGGTGCGCTCAACCTTTTTATTGAGTTGTTCCATGTTACGCACGCGCGGGTCCCGCGTCTGTAGCTGGAACTGGCTGTCGAGAATCTTCGTCTTGGAAAAGTATCCGACGCTCCATTCCAGCTTCCCCGGCATGTTGTCTCCCGACTTGAGCGCTCTGAAGCCGTCGGCGCGATGAGACATCTTGCCGTTCGACTCTGGGTTTTCCATGATTTCCTTTAGACTGACTTCGATGCGGCCCAGGTCATCGTCGGCCGTGAATCGGTCCGAGTCCCACAGCTGGACGCGGAGACGCTCGTCAATGTTGAGCTCTTCCGGCGTGACCAGGACAAAACAGGTCTCGTCCCAGCAAGGTGACATTTCTTTAAACATGATGCGGGTGCTCCAAACAACCTTGCCAAACTTGGCCCAGCCGACAGATACGTAGGGGTCCGAGCCGCCTTCCCTGAAGAAGGGAATGGCGGCGTCGCCCATTTTGAAATCGTAGCCACGCTTGATGGTGACCATCAAGACACCCTTGGCCAAGGTGTTCTTCTTAAAGTCTTCGCCCACCAGAATCTTCTGCAAATCAATAGTCAAGCTCTTGGGCGCAACGTACTGCGCCACAGCAGCGTCGACGGCCGCCTGCACAAAATTGCTAATCAGCGGGACATCCATGATGTTCAGGCCCCGCTGCACCAGAGGCACACAGCTCATGGCCACCTTGGGCTGGCCCATAAGCGTCACAGTGCAGAGAGAGATGAACGGTGGGTCTGCGATGAGCTGAAGTCGGGCTCGGACAGTACCAATCATACCGTGTAGGTTCACCCATACCGGGATCTTGATGTTTCCTGGCAGGTAGAATGCCACAAAGAGATGCAGGTCATTGTTGCGCTGCTTGGCCATTCTCGAGCTGGCCCGGGTTCGGTACGCAAATGAGATTTCCAAGTTGACAAAGGAGCCTTCTTCATCATCCATGACGTGAGGACCAAAGGGGTTACTGGCCGCCGCGTCTTTCGCTCGGGTTTTGTCGCCTTCGTCTTTCCCGGTGCCGTCTTTGGGGCGCAGCGTCTCTGAAGTGGCGCCACTCGGCAGCCAGCGGATGCCGAGGATGCGCAGCGGCTCGCTGCCCTGGCCGATATCCTCAATGCTGACCATGCGGACAATTTTGGGAATCGAGGCCTGCATGACATCTTCGAGGATATCGGTAAAGCTGGCGAAGAGATCGGGGTTGATAATAGGCCACAATGTCCGCAGGACAGAGTTGAGCCAGACGGTGCGCTCATGAGTGCTCTCGTCGGCCTCGGCCTTCATCTTTTCGCGGTGCGCATGCCAGACCTCGTCTTCGAAGAGCTGTCTCGTCTGCCTGGAGCTAAAGTCGCGTACAAAAATGGCAAGATAGGCCATGAGGAAGAAGCCGCCATAGAACAAAAACCAGGGGATGTTGCCCTGCTTGGTCGAGGTGGGAAGCAGCTTGTATATCTCGTAGGCGGCGATGAGGATGATGGCGGCGCCGAAAACGCCGACGGTGGCGCCCTGACGGCTAATTTGCTCAATCTCGTCGCGCAAGCCTCCAAAATCGGGAACGGGGAATTCTCGATAGAGTGCTGCCGGGTCAGAGGGTTTCTTGGTGCCGGTCGGCTCGTCGCGTGACGAGGACGTCGACTTTCTGGGGGCAAGCGTGGCCGCATCGTTAAACGTCACGTTTTCGAGCGCGTCGTCGTCAAAATCCCGGATAATGATAGTCTGGTGTGTGACGGGGTCGGTGACTTCCCGTTCGGCGCGTTGCCGGCGCTTCTCTTTGCCCTTGGAGCCGAGTTCCTTGCGACGCTGGCGGGGATCGGTCAGGGCCGGGTCCGTTTGGGACGTGTCGATCATGGGCAGATTCTGGGGTCTGTCATCCTCCTCATCCGGGCCGCGGCTGCGGCTTCGGGATCGGCTCCTACCCCTGACACTGAGCGCGCGCCGTATTCCCAGAGACGACGAAGGACGCGGGCCCGGAGACAGCATCGAGCGGCTGGGGCGCAGCTCGGCGAGGTCCTCATCAGTGACGATGACGGCAGGGGCTGCTACCTCGTCGTGCTGCATGGCTTCTTGCTGCCGCAGTGCCAGCTCCTCGCGGTATTTTGTGATTGTCGGAACAGGTCGGTGGCCGCTGTAGGGTTCCTGGTAGCGGCGCACATCGTCGGTGGAAATGCTGCCGGACATGCTGCTCGGTCAAAAAGTAGCTGGGGGGGCCGTGGGCTCGTGGGGAAGCTTGAAGGAGCTCATGAGCTAGAGCGAGGGCGAGCGAAGGCGTTGCGAGCTGGACCGAGGTACTGAAAGCACGCCGTGGGAGAGGATTGGGGGAGGAATGAAGCAGCAGGGAAAAATCATGAAGCTTGGCGACATACTTTCTCTGCCGTTGAAAGAAAATTCAGTGGTGCAGCGAATATGCATGCTGCCTATTGGTACGTCATGAAGCAGGCGTAGCCTTGGCACAGCCACACCCAGGCAGCAAAAGGCAAAAATGTCGCTGAATGACTGCGCTGAAGACAGGTTGTTTTGCAAACGTCTGCGACATTATCCCTGATTTCTTCGACTCACATTTTTCGCCTCCTTTTCTGCCTTTTTTTCTCTCTTCATGTGAATTGAAGTTTTGGAGTTTCCATCGTCGGCGAACCTTGTCCAGATCGGCGGGGTCATCACGGCTCAGCCCTCTTGGCCGACAGCCAGCCACCGGGCCAACCTCGCTTCCTGGATAAACCAAGTCTCCCCGTCGAACCGTGTTTTGTCCTTCCATTTGCTGTTTTTTCTTGTTCAATTTCTTCTTACTCGTCCTTCTCTGTTACCAGAGCCATCTATTAAACATCTCCGAATAGTAGCACCTGTCTGTGCGCTGTATGCCAACGCACGTCTTCAAGTGCCGGCGCACTGCACTCGGTAACAATGGCAATACCTGTATTCTCGCAAACTGGGCACTGATCATGTGTGGTATTGTTACCACATTGCCACGGCCATACAGGTTTTCAATTATGACTATGTTCATGTACGTTGACACGGCCGGACAACTCTCCATCAAGAAGAGGCAGGCAAACATGGCCCACTACTCGTACCAGCGTTTATTGAAGCTTCACAATAGATTGTGTATGCCAAGCCCACTTACAGTGGTTCTGAGCCCAGTTACAATTGTTCTAAACAGTGCCCAAGCTTCATCAGTGGTGTGCTGACAAGTATTGGCAATCATGAGTAACCAAAAGTTCCAAGTACTCTATGCCAACAGGGGGATCATGTCGCCAACAATCATGCGCCCGCACCGCTACTATTATTCCAGATAATTGATGGATAAACATGACCGCCAGTCCTCACGCCCTTAATAAGGGATATACCTTACAGCTCACCCGCGGGCTGAAGCAGCATTCAAGCGTCATTGATGCATCGCGGGTTGTGCCACGGGCCAACGAGTCGTCCTTCGAGATCTCCTTGTGCGCGCGCGAAGCGGCCCATTGTTCGAGTAGCTTTTAATAGCCGTTAGTTGTGACACCACACCTTGTTCTTCTATTGTAACTAGAACTACTGGCCGATGCTTGTCTCCTTTAAGCGCCCAGCGCCCGCCACCAAACTCCGGGCCCACGTGGAATGTTTGTACGAATCGATTACCTGACGCACGGTAGCCGGCGGGTAGGACAACAAGATAGGAGGGGGGGGGCTTGGCTTCTTTTGCACAGTGAATCGCTGCGCCTCTCTTATTTGGACGATCGGGCGCCAGATATATTGCCGCCGCTTTTCAGATGGTAATGAGGGTGACGGAGGAACGGATGATCAGACGTGACAAAACGTGCATGAGATGGATTCTGTACAGGAGCATGTTCGCTGCTGTCTCCGATACGCCTGAAACAGGCCGGGTGGAGCACTATAGTGCGGAAGTGGGAGCAAGACAATGGCACCAGGGGGACAGGAACATTAAGCTCTTCCTTATTATTCTTACTACTCTATATTTTCTTATTATTTGTTAACTTCTTTCTCTTTTCAATTTTCTTTATTTTACTATCCCTCTTATTTTACTCATCTTGCTTATCTTGCTTATCTTACTTATCTTACTTATACTTAAATTATTCTCCCAAGTCCTAACAGAAGGACCACCCAAGTAACTACACCTGGAATCACGGGCGTCGAATCGTAGGTGGGTCCCGAGTACAGTTGAAAGAAAAGAGGCTGGCTAGCTGAGCGGCCACTCTATTAGTAGGTTTGCTTGGCGAATGTCCACGATATTCGTACCTTGATACCTTGATACCTTGGGTCGGTCGGTAAACTACTCAGGTGCCTGTAAACGGTAAACGGCCATTTCTGCCGGCGCCCCTCTGACCGCTTTGCCAGCTGCCAACCCGCCAGCTGCCAGTCCTCGTCAACAAACGCTCGAGACTCTCGATAGCATCATTTCTCCCTCCGTCAGCTCACTTTGCATCAACATCATCACCATCACCATCACCACCATCCATCCACCCTGCCAGCACTTCTCCCCCTCTGATTCACTCATTCCTCCTCTGCCGAACCCACACAACCACACACCCCGTCCTCGACCCAGACACTAGCCCCGTCACACTGCAGCCTCAGCCGTCGCTCAATGGCCACGTTCAATTCTCTAAGCGCCGGGCCCGCTCGGTGCCAAATTTATGCAGCCACTGAGAGCACAAGCAGTCTCGATTGCCTCCCCATCGCCGCTGCCTCTTTGGCCAATTTCCTTGCCCCAGGATGCCGCTAGTCTTCCGCGGCGGGGACCGTCTCTCCTCACATCCTCGCAGTGTCCCACTGCCGTTGAGACTCGTCAACTCGATAGTACTACAAGTCACTCTGCCCAGCCGCACGGCTTCGCTCTTCTCGTGTCTTGTCCTTTATCCTTTGCACAATAGATTTTTTTGCTCACGCGCCGTCCGCTTCTGATACTCGTCGACCCGAATCGCCCTGAATCCCCATCTTCTGCGGCTTTTGTTCTGCATAGTGACTCGCTGCCATCTCAAAACACCCTAGCCACCTTCGAAACACCTGCGTCCACCACCTCCAACCGCCTCTCTCACACTCAGCGTCGCATCTTTGCGGCTCCCTTCGTCGCAACCTCTGTGATCCGGTTCCCTGGGCTCTCATCTTGCCTTCCGCCAATTTTACTTGCTCAGACGAAAATTCGCCCTCTCACCCGTCTACACCTTCTTGCACGCCTTCCCCAGTGCCACTGCTGACAGTTCAGGCGGCGCCGAAGTCTTGGTTTCAAAAGTCTTGGAAGTTTACTTATCCGGACGAATTGAAGCAGTGGTCCTGCACCACCAACACACCGGGTTTCCCTTTGCTCTGTGACACACCTAGGGTCTGTTCCCGTTTCTGAGCCCGGCTTTCTCCTGCTTCTCCCCCGGCATTTATCATCTTAATTCAGCCCATATCGCCTCTCTTCTTCTCGTCCCATTTCTCACCTTTTCTCCGACTCATCCTCTCAACTTGGGGCCACCGGTGTCTGTTCACTCTTTCTCCTGCTGGCTCAGATTAATTCCTTCATTTCACCACGTCTAATCTTACATTTTGGTTTCTTTCCTTCTCTGTTCGAGCCTTTGAGCGACGGCGCTTGCATTCTTTCACGTCACGACCTGGGTATATACGTCACCTGCCGACACTCTTGGATATCTTGTCATCCCAGCTTCCTGTCGCCGGTCGACACATGAACAGTCTCTCTCACCTCCCTATGCTTAACTAAATCCCTTTTCAAAATGGCTGGACAATTAGGCTACCGTGAGCTCTTTCTAAAGCAGTTCACTGCTAGAAAACTCACATTTCATATTCTTTTCTGGGTATTCCACTGGGCCATCTTTGCCTACGGCTGGTAAGGCACATGCGCTCATACACTCGAGATTTTTGCTCACGTAAACTAGGTGGAAACAAGCGGCGGATGAGCGACTGGCTGGTCTCAACACACTCAAGTTCTCGGTTTGGATTTCACGTGGTGCTGGTCTCGTCCTGAGCGTCGATGGAATGCTCATTCTCCTTCCGGTTTGCCGCACAATTATGCGATGGGTTCGTCCGAAACTTCGATTTCTACCACTCGACGAAAACATCTGGCTGCACAGACAACTCGCCTACTCTCTCCTGGTATTCAGCATTGCCCACGTTGGCGCCCACTATGTCAACTTTTACAATGTCGAAAAGACGCAGATTCGACCCGTCTCGGCTCTTCAGATTCATTATGGCCAGCCTGGTGGCATCACTGGCCACGTCATGCTGCTCTGCATGATGCTCATGTACACTACTGCCCACGCCCGCATCCGCCAACAGTCTTTTGAGACGTTTTGGTACACGCACCACCTTTTCATTCCCTTTTTCCTGGCACTGTACACGCACACGACCGGCTGCTTTGTCCGTGACTCTGTCGACGCATTCTCGCCTTTTGCTGGCGAACAATACTGGACGCACTGCATCGGTTATCTGGGTTGGCGATGGGAGCTGTGGACTGGCGGTTTCTATCTTATGGAGCGTCTTTACCGTGAGATTCGTGCTCGCCGCGAGACCAAGATCACCCGAGTCGTTCGCCACCCCTACGATGTCGTCGAGATTCAGTTCGCCAAGCCTTCCTTCCGATACAAGGCTGGCCAGTGGCTTTTCCTCCAGATCCCTTCCATCTCCAAGTACCAGTGGCACCCCTTTACCATTACTTCGTGCCCGTTTGACCCGTACGTGTCCGTTCACGTTCGCCAAGTCGGTGACTTTACCCAGGCTCTCGGTGACGCTCTCGGTGCCGGTAACGCGCAAGCGAAGCTGTACGACGGCGTGGATCCGATGGGCATGTACGAAGTAGCCCTGCAAAACGGCCAGCAGATGCCCGCTCTCCGCATCGACGGTCCCTATGGAGCGCCCGCCGAGGACGTCTTTGAGAATGAAATCGCCGTCCTCATCGGTACCGGCATCGGTGTCACGCCTTGGGCCTCGATCCTCAAGAACATCTGGCACCTGCGCAACTCGCCCAACCCGCCCACGCGCCTGCGCCGTGTCGAGTTCATCTGGGTCTGCAAGGACACGGGCTCGTTTGAGTGGTTTCAAACGCTACTGTCCTCGCTCGAGGAGCAGTCCAACGAGGCGGCCCGCCTGCCCGGCAGCAACGGCGTCGAGTTCCTCAAGATTCACACGTACCTGACGCAGAAGCTCGACATGGACACGACGCAAAACATTGTCCTCAACAGCGTCGGCGCCACCGCCGATCCCCTAACGGAACTCAAGGCCCGCACGCAGTTTGGCCGCCCGGATTTCCGCCGCCTCTTCACCACGATGCGTGATGGCATCCTCGACCGCTCCTACATGAACGGCCTCGAGGGAAGTATGCGCACCACCGTCGGTGTTTACTTTTGCGGCCCCTCGGCAGCTGGTATGTTTTTTCCCCTCCACACCCATGATTTTCGTCGACTAACAATCCTTCCCTAGCTCGCGACATTAAGACTGCTTGCAAGAGCGCTACGGCCCGCGAAGTCCAGTTCCGCTTCTGGAAGGAACACTTTTAAAGCAACACGACAACTTTTTTGTATTCAGCAGAGACGGGAGTCTAGGGTCTTTTTTTGATTTCTTTGGATGGAAATGGGTTGTGTAGGCTTTCATGTCTTCTTTTATTTATCACGTGTATGCATTTATTGACGACTTGGACTTTTGTTTCAGCGGAGAAAAAAAATCGAAATAGCAGAGCACATCATTATTGGTCATCTTGATACCCCAAAGTCTCGACATTCATTTTTTTTCCACGTATTGACTAATCATGTTTCATTGAAGAGGGCGACTTGCAAATAGCAAAGCATAGAATTCCCCAAACGTCTTCACATTTCATTCACTTGCATTGAAATGGAAGATGCGGAATGCCAAAATCACCTCATTATTCATCACCTCATTTCTCACCTCATTTCCAACCATCTTGTCATGGCCATGTGCGTCACGAGTCACGCTGCATTCCCGCATTTCCAAACATCGTCTTGGCACAGTATCATGTAGCATCGTTTTTTATGTGTGTTGTTGGCATTACATTTCATCATGTACAGACAAGACCCCCCAACCATGCATCCCTGAACCTGTTTTTCCTTGTAGCCGTGTATTTTAATACCCAGTCCCTTCCATTCTAAAACAAAAACAAAGATCTTCCTCCTTTTGCACTGATAAAATCAACGAAAAAAAGCATCCCCCCTGCCCCCCACGATCCACCCCCCGCACTTATTCTCATCACGCGACAGCATGCCTGAAAGAGAAGAAAAATGATGAGACAGTATCTGCGCCAGAAACCCCTGCCTGTCATCCATGAATAAGAATAGAAAAGGCACACGAGGAAACAATGCCAAGAGACCGAACAAGGGTGGCAGATGGACGGCAATAACCCAAAATGCAAAATGCTCAACTCCCCAGCAAAAAGATGAATAAAGTATATAAAATCCGTACTGATATCTCCAAAGCCCGGAATGTTTGAAACAGAAAATTGCGCCGTACCGTAAAGGTTCCCAAGCGACCACTTTCGTAGAAAGTGGCCGTGAAAAAAAAATCGCTTTCGCTCATTGTTGCTTTCATGTATTAAGAAGTCGTAAGATATGTTTGCGTACGGTTGTCATGGTGCGGTTATAAGGTGATACGGCTTCGGCCGTTAGCTGTGCGGTTGCTTGTTCTCAATATCAAGCTTGTTGACATTGGCTTCCGTCAGCGCCTCCCCAGAGCCTTGTTGTTCCTGGAAGCTATTGCTGCGCAGATTGGCGGTCGGTCCACCTGCGGCGTCAATGAGCTTCGTCTCCTGCAGCAAGCTGGAGAACTCCTTGTCTCGTTCGGGACGAGGCACGCGCGGCGGCATGTTGACCACCGACGGTGAATCAAAGGGCGACAGCTCCTCGCGGCCACGCATCGTGGCTGGTGTCGGCGTCACGGGCCCACACATAGAGTCGTCTTGCATTTCGTTGCCAGAATCGAGGCTCGTTTTGGAGAAGGCCGCGTTATTGGCCACGGCAATCTGAGGAACGTTGGACGTGTCACAGTGTTCACTTTGCTCCGAGCAGTCTGATGTCGCGTGGTCCGGAAGAGGAGTCTCTCGACGGCGTGAAATACACCAACGAATCAACATGCGCTCGAGAATGGACATTGTCACGGGCTTGGCTAAATAGTCATCCATGCCAGCTTTCTTGCATTTTTCCCGATCTCCTTGGATGGCAGAGGCCGTCATGGCAACAATAGGGACGTCGTGGATGAGCCCTTTGTACGGGCGGTGATGACGCATCAGGTGCGTGCACTTGTAGCCATCGATGATGGGCATCTGCACGTCCATGAGAATGATGTCAGGTTTGGCGTTTCGACCCTCGCTCGCTCCGAGCACATACTCCAGAGCCTCTCTGCCATTCCATGTCGCAGTCACTTGGAAGCCTAGTTTCCGAATAGTCCGGGTTGCAATCTTTTGATTCACTGCATTGTCTTCGACAACAAGAATGTGAAAGGCAGCTCGTTCCGATCGCGGCAGATCTTGTTCGATACTCTGGGATGATCGCGCAGAGTAGCGTCGACGAAGCCCGGCGAGCCCTGAGGAGCCATCCGAGCCCGCAGGCGTACCAGCCACGGCGTTTTCATACTCTGAACTGTTGCAAGATACGCTCAGATCTGACTGCAAGCGATCAGGAATAGCACCGGCTTCCACATTCCGCGCCTTGCGTCGTTGAGGTTTATGGAAAGGAATCCAAAAGGTTGCCGTTGTGCCACTTCCCACAGTGGACTGTAGAGTGATTTGACCGTGCATCAAGTCGAGGAGATTTTTACAGATGGTAAGGCCAAGACCGGTTCCACCAAACCTGCGGGCAGTTGAAGCGTCTCCTTGGCTAAAGGGTTGGAAGAGCTTTTGGCGAACGTCGTCTTGAATACCAATGCCAGTGTCTTCGATTATAAACTTGATAATGATGGAATCTGTCGTCTCCTTCTCCTTTCGCACTGAAAATCGGACATAGCCCTGACTTGTAAATTTGATACTGTTTGTAAGCAAGTTTGTGATGATTTGCCGTACACGGCCAGGGTCTCCAATGACGGCCAGGTCATTTTCGATGTCGTCACTAATGTTGGACTGAAAGTCGAGATTCTTGCGCTCGACCGCAAATTTGAGCATGCGCACAACTTCTTTGAGGATTATGGAGAGGGAAAATTGCACCTCCTCAATGTCGAGTCGGCCGGATTCTACCTTGGAAAAGTCGAGAATGTCGTTGATTACCGTCAGCAGGGATGTCGCCGAGCTCTGAATATTGTCAACGTAGTCACGCTGTTCTTCGTCTAAGCTCATGTCGCCGAGAAGCTCGGCCATACCGAGAACACCAGTGATGGGCGTTCTGATTTCGTGGGACATGTTTGCTAGAAACTGACTCTTGAGCCGATTGGCCTCGTTGGCAGCGGCTTCGTTGGCCATAGCTCTATGCTTGTCGCGCGATTGTACTCGGAGGGCTTCCTCGCTATCCTTTAGCGCGGTAACGTCCATGACAACGCCTATGACGCCTTCGACATTGGCTCGCATTCCATTCTGCACTCGCTTGCCGTACATGGGAATAAAGCGCGTACGGTACCATCGATCATCGAGCCCGTGCTCTTTGATGTCTTCAAACCGCTTCCCTTCAAGTATCTCTTCGATGGAATTGAGCCAGTCTGGTCGTTCCCCTTCGGGCATTTGCTCGGTTAGCCGGTTGAAGACGGTGTACATGTCCTCACCAATGAACCAGCGGCCTTTTTCGGTGTCTTGGTAAGTGGTGTCCCAGATCAAAGCCCCCTCGAGCATCGTTACACGGCGGTTGGGATCAACGGTAAAGATGGTGACGTGCGAGTGCGCAATGACACTAAGCAGCTGCTGGCGCGTTTGCTTAGCTGCCAGCTTCGTCTCTATACTTTCGTGGACATCGGTGCAAGTGCCAAACCATTTTTCGATTTCGCCCGTTTCGGGGTTGCGCACGGCGAGAGCACGCCCCAAAAACCATCGCCACTCGCCCTCTTTGTTGCGGCAGCGGTATTCCATGAAGTAGGGGTTTCCCGTCTCCAGGGAAGCACGCCATCGTGACAGTGCCTCGATTTTGTCCTCGGGGTGGAAGCAGCCCTGCCAGGCCAAGCCGAGGCACTGCTCAGGCGCTAGCCCGGTATAGTTGTACCAACGAGTATTGAAAAAGTCATGCATTCCCGCAGCGGTAGCCGTCCATACCAGCTGAGGCATGGTATCGCAGATGATCTTGAAACGCTCCTCGTCGCGCTCCTTGATGAGGGAAATTTCTTCGGTCATTATAGTGACATCTCGGAAAGTGACGACGCCGGCAAGAAACTCGTCGGTCTTTTCGTCTGTGATGGCTTCGCCGAGAAGATCATATACCAGGCGTTTACCTGTAGTGTCGAATACACCAACACGGATGCTGGCAAAAGGTGTGGCTGTCTTGAGCAAGATTGAAAGGGGATGCTCGTCCACCTCAAGCCTCCTTCCAAAGTCTTCAGTCCACACTTCCCAGTTCTTTAGCAAGTCGAAGCCATCGGATGAAGAGTCCAAATCAGCGTCATGAGGGAGCAGCAAGCGAGCGGCTTTGTTTGGAAATGTGACACTGCCATCCTTCCACATGGCCAGGATGGGCATCTGGGTGTTGTCCAGGAGAGCATCCTTCATGCGAATAATTTTCTGCAAGACAGAAGGCGTACTAGAAGGCGAGTGAGCGGCAATCGATGGCGGACCCATGGGCGGGAAGGGACTGGAGGACATGGTGAGGAAGCTGGGTGTGTTGAGGGCTGGAGAGCTCGAGTCTCGGCTAGAAGCGACGGAGGGGGAATTTGAATTGCTGATGGTTTTTCGTTCTGCGGCTTCCAGGGCCATGGATTTGGCAACACTTTTTTTGTTGTTGAGAGGTGTCGAGGGCGTGGACTGTGTGCTAGTGAAGGTGAGGGTGAAGTAGACCTGCTTGTCCTCGACTTCCCAGACGGTAACAATCATTTTGGCAAAGGCATGAAATTCCGACTCTTTGGACTTGTAGCGACTGTCAAAAGTGGTCTTATTCAAGCCTTTTCTGGAAACAATGACTTCGATAATGGCATCTTGGGTGGGCTTGGCGGGCATGCAACGGCGTTGTTTGCCAGGGCTCGCAGGACCGTCAATGGTGGGCGTGGCGTCACCGGCGGCGGCGACTACGGATATTGGGCTTTGCTGAGAAGTCGGCCGGTGGGCGCCGATTTCATTGACCAACGTGTCGAAGAAGGTCTCCCAGGTGACCCAGACAGGCTTGCCATCCTGCAGCATGTCGATGCCGACCTGCGAGAGTGTCTGGCCGCGGAGTCGATCAATGGTCATTGAAAAATCGTCGCCGTCAGTGTCGTCGGTTATAATGCCCATCATTCTACCCATGGCCTCGTTGGCGAGAACGACGGTCTTGAGGTTGTTGAGAACGATGACGGGGACAGGCAGGTATTGCATGGCGGAAAAGGCCAGCTGGGCCGGGGAGACGGTGGGCATGTCGAGACGGAAGGGGCTCTGGGATTGCGAGCGGTTGTCTTGGAGGGGCATGCCGAGGGGATCACGAAAGAAACGGCTACCGCCGAGAGAATGAGGACTGCCGGCATGGCCATTGGTGGTGGCGTAGGCATGGCCGGCGGTGGTTAACTTGAGCTTGGAGTCGGCGGCGAGATAAACAGGGTCAGGATCGGAGTCGGGATCTGGGGTAGTGGCAAGAGCGGCATCGTGGCCAGCGGCGGTCGGGGTGGCCGTTGTGAGGTGGCCGAGTTGGGGGGTGTCTGGGTTGGTCATGTCGGCGGGCTCAGGCCGTGGAGGCTCGCCCGTGACGCGGAGCGTAACTACCGGGAGGTGGTGATGTCGGTTCGATGGGGTCGGGCGAGACAGATGGTAGACGTATCGGACCGGCGAAGATGCGCGAGGCCGACGGAAAACCAAACTAGCAAGCAGGAGGCAGTCGGCACATGTCTGTTGGTTTTTCTCGGGTTCAAGAGGGAGCTGTGGGTTGCGCAATGTCGCGGCAGGTGTATGGTGCAGGCAGGCAACTACCGATCTGGGCGGGATCGGGATCGTGTGCGGCGTGCCTGTTTTTGGAGGTGGATGGGGCGGCGAGAAACGATGGGGTCAGCGAGCGACGAGGTCGACGGCTCGGTGATACGAAACAAGGCAAGAGCAGCGGGACGGGTGAGAAGTCGGATGGAGTCGCAGAGTCGCAGAGAGTCAGGCGGTTGCGTAGTTTTCGGGGCCAAGATGTTGTGCAAACGAAAAGGATGAGAAGGGGAGACGGGCGACAATGGGCGACGAGGTGGAAGCGGGCGGTGGATATTCTGGAATCAAGCTTGTTCGCATCGAGCGCAAGTTGGCAGACATGGAAGTGGACGAGGCGAAGATGGAGACAAAAGTGTCTTGGAGTGGTGCTAGTTGGAATAATAAGAGTCTAGGAGTTAGTTTGTAATTCGTACGGAGACTAGGCTTTGGTCTGGGTCCCTCTTGCCCGGCTGGTCCAAGAGAGTTTGGATGCACACCCTTGCCTTTGATCCAACCGTGCAGAGAGGCGGCAAAGGCGGCGTCGAGAGTACGGATATTGGGCGGTAAAATGTACCTCGGATAGTCAGGACGGCGGATGACGAGGATTTTGCAGTAGTATTTGGCTCGTACGGCTGTACCTTTATGCCGTTGTTTCAAGAAATCAGTCGATAATACCGACAACTAGGGGCGTTTGAAGTTGGGGGTGTAATAATAATTAAGGTAGAACGGTAACTAGAAAAGTTGGCAGTGGACTCGACCCTCGTTGGAATGGTGGGGGTCTAGACAGGAGGTACCTAGGTACTTACTACTTACCTACTAACTAAACAGGACTGAACCAAATAAGCGAGTGGCTTTTTTCTTCTTTGTTGCGGCCTGTCAATTTCAAGTTTGCTTGCCGTACCTACCTACCTCTACTTGGGAAAGTAGCAGTTGGATGCAGAAGCGTCTGGTACGCTGGTCTGGTACAAGCCGGTCTCGTCCCCAAGTAGGACAGTCCATCTATTTTGATACTCGTTGCTTCTAGACAAATCCAGCTGCTTCACGAGTAACTACCACTTGAGCAGAGACCATCTCCATCCCGCTTGACAGCAGTTGCTATTCCCACTAGCAACTTGGCTGCAAATCCGCATGTTCTGGCCCCTCCCCCCTCTGGGCCCTGCGACCCCTGCCTGCTCCGGTGATCGACAAGCCGTGTGCAGAGAAAGCTGAGGGAGTGAAGAAAAGAAAAGATATCAGCACCGAGCCGCAACGGCGACAGGGTCAAGTGCCTCTCGAGTGAATTTCTTTCCTTTCCATTTACATTTTTGGTTTTTTTTTTTTTCTCTTTTTTTTCTTTCTTTTTTTTCTTCTTTCTTTTCTTCTTTTTTTTTCTTCCTTTTTTTTCTCGCACAAGCCACGTTGCAGGTGAGGAGTATCGTACCTTATACCAACAAGCCACCACCGCCCAAAATCGCCCGCCGAGTGCCGCCCGCCGGGTCTTGCTCCAGTCAACGGGTGAGCGCCTTAATGGACCCTTATATAACCCGGTAGAGAGATACATGAAGTACACCCGTTCTTCAGGTCAGCAGCCATGTACCAGCCTACCTGCCCACCCACGTACCTAATCTGCGACATGGTGCCTGCAGGGCTCTTGTGCTTCCAGACTTTCAGACACACCACACCATCCATGTATGTCTTGCACCCAAAATCTTTTCATCAACACCAACTTCCTCCGTCCTGCATAAAATATCTGCCACCAAACAGCTTGGCGCCGCCATCAAATAGCCCCCATGTGAGACACTGCACTGCTATTACGGCCTACTACGGATGACAGAGCAGCAAACGGTACACACACACCTGCCCTTGGTGGCTGGCTGGCCTTCCCGACCGCGTTCCAAGCTTTTCTTCCGCCCTGTTCCTTGTTTCTGCGCCGTTCTGGAACCGGGTCCGACCTTGGTCCAGAACGTCCAGAATCTGGTGTGGACTCGAGGCTCTTTTTCTAGCCCGCCATCCATCCAACAAAGAAAGAAAAAAATGCCTAATAACGAACGTTAGGTACGGAGTCCCCAAACAAGGCGTTCAGAATCAGGCCAGTCAGTAGTCTTTGTGGTTGCTGCCGTTTGCTACCTCCTACCGGTGAGGATGCATCGCCGCCCTCCAGACTAACCGTTGTCATGTATGTACCAAAATCACCGCCCTCACCGAACCACACATGAGCTGATGTTCTTGACATCCTTGACCACCACAGCCACGTCGGGCCCAGGTTGTCGTCGCCATCAAAATAGTCTCTTTTTTTCCGCCCCTCATTTGCCCGCCTGCCCTTTCACCGCAGCCTGCAGACCTCATATCGGCATCTCAGGACCGCCAAAGCCTCGTCTTCCAACGTAGCACTCAGGACGGGACCGAGCCCACCCATCGCCAGATGTCCCGTTCAAACTTAATTCCCGTGCTCTCTAATCTCCTATGCGCCGCCCTGCCCGCGTGCTCTTCAGCCGAAATCCAAGTCATTCTGCCTGCCAAGCATTCCGCCACGACCGCACCGCTAGTCACCCGCAGACATCGACTACAACGTCCAACTAGGAATAATAACTACGGACACACACACACATGCCGTGCCGCAGCCCAATTCATGCAATGTCCACGCATGTCTCTGTCCGGAAACCCTGCCGACGATGCACATATCCCGGCCATTATTCTCACCCGAGACCAGGTCCTCAGTCTCGCCACCTTTGCTCGAGACGAATACGCCCATAGATGCCCAGGCTCGCCGTCGATCCTCCGCTCAATGCGACCATAACCTTTAAATCCACCTCGCAATATTCGTTTCATAAACAGCGGTTCGGCACAGAACAAGTCATGCTCTACAAACACCATGCACATGGCATGTGCTATACGTTTCATTCTTATACCCGTCTAAAAATAGCTTGCCTTGCCCGCATAGAGCGTCTGTTGGCACCGAGTAAAGACGAGTCGTCTACTTCGTTCCTTTGATTTGTTCCTTCGATTCCTCATTACTTCATTTATTCGTTTCTTCGCTGCAGAGGCCTTCTTCACCGCTACGTGAGATCTATCACATCTATCACCGCACTCACCTTGCGCTCGCTACAACACGCGTCGCAGACAAGGTAACCCCCTGGGTTGTGCAGTGTACACACCGAGCACACCCACACCGCGGAACCCACACCGTTGCTGCTCGTGTCTCCATTTTGATCCCGCGGAACCCGCCATCTCTGCTGCTCCAGCATTGTAACCAAACGACTGCGTGCCGCCGGCGCACTTTGATTAGCCCGACGATTACTCATACTCGCTGTTGGTGGTGAGGTTGGATGCCGTCTTGGTCCCGGTCCCTCGCCCATGAGCTCCGCGACGGCCTGCGCAATCGCCACGTCGTTGGCGCGGTCCTCCTCGGCCTGCGTCCTGAACCCGTTGCGTCGCACCGTCTCCCCCATGTCCTGGATCTGCGTCTCGTTGAGCGTCGCCGCGCCGCAACCCGCCAGCGCCCTCCTTCGCCGTTCGGCAGCCTCGGCCGCCGCTGTGCGACGCAACTCTGCCGTCAGCGCCGGCCCGGATCCTCCGCCAAGCCGGCGGCCGGCCACGGCCCGGGACATGATGCGGCCGCGTTCGGGCGCAGAGACGGCCGCCGCACCGCCCAGGCGACGGCCCTCGGAGAGAAATGACGCGCCACTGTAGCCGGCCAGAGACAGCCTCAAATGCTCGTCACGCAGTGTCTCCCACAACGCATGGAAGGCGTCGTTGTGCGGCCCATGGACGTTGTGGCAGAGCTCGTGCAGCATCGTGTCAATGACCATGTCCAGTTCCAGGAAGAGCGACTTGTCGTTGGCGTACCGCAGTCGCAAGCAGATTTGCTGTCCGCGGTTGACATTGAGGCCTGTGTGCCGACGCGTTAGTTGCATGACGAACCGCACCAAAAAAAACGTAGACAGGGTTGTAAAATGTACCCAACAGGTTGGCTTGGTTAGGGTAGAATTCAGCCAGCTCGCCCACCCGCCACCGGTGGTTGCGCATAATCGGCTTCACGGCCGAGGCGACGCGTTGGAGCATCTGCAGCGCATCGCTGGCGCGCGGCAGCTGGGCCAGATGCACGTACGAGCGCACCTGTTGATCTTGGTCTACCATGATGCCGAGTTATCATGCTCGAATAGATCTCAGAAGCGGCCGCGCGAGCGGGAGATGAGTTGAGGGTCAAGACATGCCCGCCTCGGTCAGTGTCGTGCGTTGGCAAGCTTCTGGGTTCGCCTGATGTCGTGAAAAGTGAAAAGGCTGTAGGACGTGAGGTGGGGTCGCCTTGGAGTCGCAACGGCGTACGCCATTCTTGCTGCCTAAAGGCGACTTTTTTGTCTTACGAACCAAAGATGATTATTTGGCACGGAACCGGAACCTTCTGTGACGTAAACCAAACATCAAGGTAAGATTTTGCGACCCTTTGGCCTCTCGCCGCAGCGGCTCCGATCTCGGCGACGGATGGGTGCGTTGCTAGTAAGCTATAAAGCGTGTGTTCTCTCCATCATCAAAAGAAGAGCGACAAAACCGCAAAAAAATTCATTTCCCGTTTATAAGAATAGCTATTTTTTTACTATTCCTCAGATATATCGTCTGACTTGATTTTGCACGAAATGGCGGAACAGGGCAAAGATGATTGGAATTCCGGTGTAAGTGGAATGCAAGACTCCGAACCCCGCAAAGTGCCATCTTCCATCCACATCTAACTTTGCCTGGTCATGCTAGGACTACCAGCACTCGGCGTCGTTTGTGCCCAAGCTGGCGGGCAAGGTGACGCAGTGGCTCGATTTGCAAAAAGATGATGTTGTCCTGGACATTGGCTGCGGCGGTCTGTCTCGCCTCCCTGCGAGCCTGCGAGGGCATGGATGGAACCTGGCTGACACGCATTAACCAGATGGCATCTTGAATCTCGAATTTGCCAAGGTCCTGTCCGAAGGCAAGGGCTCTATCCACGGCATCGACAGCTCCGCAGCCATGATTGTCGCCGCGCGGGACTTGTGCAAAGAGCATCCCAACGCGACCTTTGAAGGCATGGCAACCACACCCACTTGGACCAGCCCGAAGAACCAGAGAAGCTATACTAACCACTCATCCGCAGTCCTCGACGGGACCAAAATCCACAGCAACGCAGCGCTGCAAAACGCGTCCTTTTCCAAGGTCTTTTCCAACGCCGCCATGCACTGGATCCTGCGCGCCCCCGCCACGCGCGCCTCCTTCTTCGCCGCCGTGCACGCCGCCCTCGCCCCCGGCGGCGTCTTCGTCTTTGAAATGGGCGGCCTCGGCAACGTCCAAGAGATGGCCGCGGCGCTGCTCGTCGCCTGCGCGCGGCGCTGTCCCGGCGGCCTCGCCGCCGTCACGGAGCGCCACTACCCGTGGTTCTTCCCCGACGAGGCGTGGGTGACGGCCGCGCTGGAGGCGGCGGGCTTCCGCGCCGACCGCGTCGAGAGGGAGTGGCGCCCGACGCGCGCGGACGAGGGCGGCGTCGAGGGCTGGCTGCGCCTGTTTGGGAAGGCCATCTTGGAGAGCGTGCCCGAGGGCGCGGAGAGGGAGGCGGCGGTGCGGGAGGCGGCCGAGGCGCTGCGCTTCGTGTGTGATGATGGGCACGGAGGGCAGATGATTTCGTATGTGCGACTGAGAGCGCTGGCGACCAAGGTGTGAGTGGGATTTATGAAGCATTGCGGATTGGCATGGCTTCAAGGTCTCTTTCGGCGCGAGGCGAATATTTTTACGTCGTCTTTCAATCTACCAGTCTCCAAGATCCCAACTGCTACAAGCAGTAAACCAGATTACAATGAGCCAACGACAGACAACCGCTTCTCCTGGTGGTTTGAGGGAATAGACAGCTATATTATTCAACAGCAAAGTATATTGCTACACACAGAGCCTAACTTGGATCCTGTCTTAACGTTTTTTTTTTTTTTTTTTCACGGAAACTCCTCGAGCTGCGCGGCAGGCGCGCCAGGATCCCCCTTTGCCGGCGCAAAAAAGAGCCTGTTGCCGTCGAGGTCGAAGACGGTGTAGACGGCGGCGAAGAAGGGCAGGGTGGCGACGCTCGTCCCCTCGCCGCCGCCATCGGCGACGGCCCGCACGACGAGCTGGCAGAGGCCGTCGCTCGTCAGCGCCGGGTCCGCGAGCGCCGCCGACAGACGCATGTGGGCGAGCGGCACGCGCGTCTCCACGGCGTCGTCTTGGAACCGCATGATGAGCGCCGCGTCCCCCTCGAGCTGCCCGCACGGCACGGGCCCGAGCCCGTCATCCTCGGAAAAGCTCGTGCCGAGCGCCTGGGCGAGCGCCGACACGACGTGTGCGGGGAGCGCCATTTCCACGCCGCCCGTGTCCATGAGGATGAAGCCGTCGCGCGGGTCGAGGCCGAGGTTGATTTCGTTCTTGCTGCCGTTGCAGGCATTGCTACCATTGTTGCTGTTGCCGTTGCCATTCTTTTTATCGCCATTGCGGTTCTTCTTGTGGTAGCCATCGCTCCTCTTGTTCCGCATGGCCAGCCGCCTCTCGCCCACTTCTCGCCTCGCCGCGCCTTGCGGACCATATGTGTTCTTGGCCGTGCCCAGGCGTCTGGCCCCGACACCGCGCTTCCACGACATGCGCTTCGCGCGTCTGCTGCCCCCGTCAGCGTCCCGCCGTGCGCTCCCGTTGTTGGCCGCATCGCGCGCTCCCGGGACCAGCGCGACGGAACTCATCTTGACCACAAACTCGGGGAGCTCGCCGCGCTTATTCTTCGCCAGCGGGACCTCGTTGAGCTCGCCCTCAAACTTGGCGCGGTCAATGCCGCCGAAAAAGACGCTGCCATTTCCCAATGCTACATCATATCTTGTAAGCCAAGTCCTTGCCCCCAATGTTTGTGGACCCAACGAGAACATGCCCTGCGCTTCCTGTTTCTTGGGGGGGTGGGGGTTGCACTTACGAGTCGGGTTGAGCACAACACTATACGCCTGGCCCTTTGTGACGCCCGCGTCCTTCATCTTCTTTGGCAGGTTGTCATACGGCCTCTCCGATGCCTCGTTCAGGATCGGACCCCAGTCCAAACACGGGCACCTGCGGGAGCTCCGTCCGGGGCTCACTGTGCGACGCCAGCGCGACCTGCGCTCCCGCGACCCTGCCCTGGCCATCCTGTCCCAGCACGACGGACGTCTTGATGTAGTCGCCGTCGTACTGGTCGCCGCCGCCAAACGTGGCGTTGAAGCGCTGGCCGTCGAGGCGGCGAAAGTCACCGGCGGCCGCGGCGGCCGCCGGGTCGAACTGGCCGAGGACGACGGGCGCGGGCGCGGTGCACTGCTGCCGCGCCTGCTGGCACACCTCGCTGCCGGCCTCGGGCACAATGGTGTCGGAGGAGCCCGTGTCGAAGATGCCGGTGATGGGCTGCAGCGCCGGCGCCGCGCCGAAGCCGAGCTCCACAAAGGGGATAAAGGGACCCATTTCGGCGCTCTCAAAGTGCTGCACGAGGTTTTGGAAGACGCGCGGCTGCGCCGTGGCGGCCTCGCCGGCGAGGAGGAGGAGCGGGAGATGCTTCATGATGGATGGGGAGACGAGACCCGGGGGAGGGTGTATGGTGAAGACGCTTCTTGGCAGGTTCGCGATAGTGCTAGGGTATAGATTGGATAGCTTGGTTTGTACATTGGAGTAGTTGGCTAGAAACAAGCTGGAAACCCTGAGTTTATATAGACGCTGCTTTGCCATTGTCTGGTCGGGCAAGTTGAGCGGCTCGTGCATCTCGGGAGGAAGCGAGAGCTTGCTTGCTTGAACAGCTCAAGACTGAGCATTGAGCTGAGAAATCGACTCATGCATAACCTGTGAGAGCCATCTATACAAAGCCTATACCAGATCGAGCAGAAACGCCCCAGCTCATTCATGGCGTCACTCTATGATATCTCTTACATGACTGTATAGAGGCTCGACTTGTTTCTCACGCCAGCGTCTTCAAACTGACAGTATCATTTTTGATGCCAAAAAATTATTTCCATGAAAAAAAGTTACTGGAGGCCGTCATCGTGCATCGATTGGATGGAGCAAGAGGACCTTCACATCATACGTTGCCCCCCCCCGGCCTATGCGCCTAAAAACGAAACAATCAGTAATGGAGACGGGACCGAAAAAATGACGGCGCCGTTTCTCATGGCAAAATAGGGCCAAAGTTAAAAAAGATTATGAGACAACTTACCAGTTGCACCGTTTCACCCCCGACGACGGACGGGAATAAGAGAGCCAGAGCTCCCGGATGCTGCATAGTGTTTGGTGCTTCTCGCAGGAAAGGATCCCCGAATCCTTGCGAGCCGATTATGGCAATCTCGCTTATTTTTGTATATCGAGCCAAAGATATATCGAGCCAAAGATTCCAACAGCGCCCGACAAGGGGCTTCTCCACCAGACACCAAAGACGCAGCAATCGAGCAAAACCGAACAAACTATACGGCAGCTATGGAATTGATCGGAATATTTGCTGAGGAAAGCTTGTCCGGTCTGCTGAAAATAGTGCCCGGCAAGGCTGGTAGCCGGCGCCGACGTTGGGTCTTTGCGCGTGGGTCAGGACGGCATGAAACGCGGAGAGTACGACGTTGGGGGGGCGTGATGCTCGCTCGCTCCGTCTCGCCTCGTTATCTGGAAAGAGCGCGGATTTACTATTTCCGAAAACTGGGCTATCTTCGGTTGTTGTTCTCTTGCATTGTTAGCTTCCTATCGTCTGGAAAAGGGAACCCGTTGCAGAGCAAGTGAACTGAATTGAATGCCTTGGCCTCGTGGCTTGTGCGCCTTCTCCCTTGTCACAAAAGGGCCTATGCGACGGTTATGGCGAGGATGGTTCGTCTTTTTAAGTTTCTTCTTTTGGTTTCTCTTAAAACGTGCTCTTCCCCCACCCATTTCATGCTGGTACCGCAAGTTCTCACCACGAAGGACTTGAAAGTGAGACCCACGCTACCATGATTAGGGGAGAAAAGGCGTTGGATTTCTTGGCTAATTCAAGCGATAGATTCGATAGCAGGGACAGCCCAAGCTTCGTATGTTTTGAAACTCGACCGCCGAGAGGAACAAAGTTTGCTGCCCCAGCCTCGGCAAGGTTTGGACGGCCATCCCAACGACGCCTTCTATTCTCCAGGACGTGGGCGAATGTACAAGACCAGGGTCCAGAAATAAGTAAATCAGACGCGTCAAACGGCATACAAATGCAAGGGTGGCTCTAGGTGTGGCTGTGCCAGCCAAAGTTTATCATCAGTCCCACGCTTTTCCTTAGTCCAGCTCCAGCAGCTTGAACTTGTCATCGCCGAGGGCATCGTCCACTCTCTTCATCAACGCAAGGACCTTTTCCTCCTCCAATCTTCGTCCAACCACTTGGACGCCGACCGGCAGTCCGTGCATGTCGTCGGCGTTGTAGTGCTTGTATGCGCCGCGGGCCACGCCGTTGAGCTTGCCGACGTCGAAGCCCTCGGGCAGCCGGTCCTTGACCTTGTCCACGTGCGTTACTGGGAGGACACCAGCCGTGTAATCAAGCTGGAATTTATTAGCAGTACTGTTCTTCATCATCTTGTAGCAGGAGGGAGGCGTACCAGGTTGAAAAGAAACGTGTAGCCGCAGCTGCTGCATGCATCGTGCATGCCGCCATGAGGAACAGCAGGGGTAGCATTCGGGGGCGTGATGATGAAATCGAATCCCTCCTCCTCCCAGAAATCGAACCATTGGCGCTTGTATGCCTCACGCTTGGCAATCAGCTGCCAGTACTGGTAGGTGGTCTTGGGGTGCCAGTTGACAAGGAGGCCGGCCCAAACTGTATCACGGCGGACGTATCTAACCCAGAGGTAATGCGCATACTTTACGATACGAGGAAGGCGAAAGTAGAACCGCATTCGGGCCACCCCGCGGTCATTTCCTTCACCAGCACGGAAAAACGACATGGCCGTCTGGACACCGTCGTCGTCGAGCAGCTGTGAAGCCAGCTGCAAGGCCTCGTATGGCTCTGGGGGGGTAATGTTGTCGATGATTTCATGGCCCTTGGCCCGGAGGGCGTTGACCGTCCTGTCGAGAGCGCGAGCACAAGCAGGGCTGGGGTCGACGACACGGTCCGTTGGCATGACGCCGACCCGGAGCGTCTTCCTGGCGGCATAAGCCTCCTCGACCTCCAGTCGCCACGGGATGGGGTGGACAGAGTGGTCGTAGTTCCAAGGCTTCATTTGGACAATGGAGCGCGTAAAGTAGGCGAGGTCGTCGAGGGTGTGGGCCATGGGGCTGTACACGGCAGGAATGCCATCCTGGCCGGGCATGCTGGTGCGCGTGCCCAGCTTCGGCCAGCGACCGGTCGAGCACTTGAGAGCGTAGATGCCGGAAAAGTGCGCCGGGCAGCGAACACTACCCGCGACATCGCTCCCGACACCAATTCTACCACCGAGCGCCAGCAGAGCACCTTCGCCACCGGTGGAGCCGCCGGGCGTGTAGTTCTTGTTGTAGGGGTTGGTTGACGTGCCCCAGACATCGTTTGCGGACTCGAAGCTGAGGAGGGTGATGGGGACGTTGGTCTTGACGTAGGGGACAGCGCCGGCATCCTTCAGAATGCGGGCAGTCGGCCCGTCGGTGGCCTTGATACCGACGAAGCGGCTGTAACCGACCGTGCTGTCGTAGCCAGTGACGTCAACCGTGTCTTTCAAGCTCACTGGGATGCCGGCCAAGGGACCCTTGAGATTAATCGAGCCGTCCGTCACCCACTTCTCGGCCGAGTCGAGGAGAATTTCCGTGACGCAGTTGGTCTTTTCGTGGGCCCGGAGGGCGACCTTGCCGTAGGTGTTGAGGATCTGCGTGGCTTTACTGGGGTGTTCGTGAACCTCCTTGACCAGCTCCTGAATGGTCTTATTGACAATCTCCCTGTCTAGAACGCTGAAGGGGCCATGGTAGGACTTGACGGCTCGAATTCGGTCGACCCGTTCCTCCTGCTTGGTGCGGCTATCGAGTTGTAATCATGTTAGCTCCTAACCAAGCACAAATGATGAAACTGCGTAGACATGCCAGTCGCGCCTGTGTCGGAGGTAATCCATCAACATTGTGGGCTATCAGAGGGGTAGACTGCGTGTAATGGACTGCAGTGAAGCTGGGGGAAAAGAGGGAGGAAACAGGAGGAAGAAAACAGTACCGGGCAATTCGCGGCGTCAATTGTGGCCAGCAGCGACCCTGCACAAATCACGAGTTTTGGGGTAGCCCGGGAAAGACCTGAGAGGAAATACGGGTGCCCCTCCGGCGGCCGGGCTGGGTGGGGTCCTCCGGGTTTGTGGAGCCGTCGATAGCCGGCTCTTTAGTAGCCCTCTGAGTGGATGGCTGCGGGGCCGGCAGTTGGGGAAACGGGGCCACTGATGCGTCGCAGGGTGCTTGCTCCGGGGCCGGCTTGGGGCTTTGGGGTGTTAACTAGTGGCAGACTGTGTGTAGCGTGTTGTGACGGTGCACAAAAGTTAACCGTATAGTCGCATTGCACTTGACTGTTGAGTTTTATATGCTTTTGGTTTTGCGATTCGTACGGCTGTCGGAACTGTGGATGCGCCAGCCAAGTCTACAGGGCGTGGAGGCCGAACTTTACGCCGTGGCTAGCCCAACAGCCCGGTGGCCAAAGAAACCACATTGTCAGTAATACTATCATCTTACTTATGCGTACCATTTTTCCTGTCTATTATTGTATTATCTATATTCAATCATATTCGTCCTTGTTCTTTTTCATCTTTTTTTTTCTACCTTCACATGGGCTAGTGATTTTGTCGCCCTGCCCGCACAGTACCTACCCTACAACAGACTAGCTTGACATCTGTTTACTTTTCCATTCCCATGAAGTCGAGCTTCTGCCCCTGGGGTGTCTCCTATTCTTGGATTCTTCCTGATTGTTTACTTCAGTCATCTTGAGGCTTAATTTGCTCTACCTTCTGGCATAACAAACCCCAAGTCCAATCCTGGTTACATTGCTCCGTACTGGTACAGAACTGACTGCGGGAAGTACTTCTTTACCAGACGCATGTGCGTACGATCAAATCCAACAAAGAAGCAAAATGAGACTTGCGCAAGCCACCTTTTCCCAAACATACGCATCAAGTTCAACAATGTTGTGTATACGTCTAAAACGGTTCTGCCTCTGACTCTGCACACGTGCGCATGGCACATGTCCGTTGCCCTCCATATGAGTTTCAGTGGATCGCCCCACTAACCGCCAGGAGCCAAACAAGGCCGCCGTTTCGGGCAGGAAAAAAAGCTGAATAGCGTCACTGCGACTCGACTCGACTCCTCTTCCATCCACATACACCATCGTCATCATCATGCCGGTGGATGAACAACAGATTCTAGACCTGGTAAGTTTTGCGAGAAAAAAAAAAGGGCTTCGAATCACCCCACACAACACAGCCGCGACTAATACAACATCTCTCCCCTCCTCAGCTGGGGAAAATTCCCGTGCAGGTTCGGCAGTACACCAACAATGCGGCCGACTTTATAGACAAGAGCGTCGACCGCGCCGCCGACGTCGTCCGCGATACCCTGAGCGCCCAGACATGGATCCCCGACTCGCTGCGGCCCGCGCCGCCCGTCCAGGTGCCCGTCGCCGTCGTGTGCCTCTCCACGTGGGAGCGCGCGCAGGACTGGGTGTCCCGGCACCGCATCCTCACGGGCGTCGTCGTCGTCGTCTGCGGCGCCGTCGTCGTCAAGGGCTACCGCACGTCCAGGTCCATGCGCAAGACGCGCCGCGCCAAGCGCGCCCGGAACGGCGGCCGCACCGAGGTCGTCGTCGTCGCCGGCTCCCCCGCCCTGCCCCTGACCAAGTCCCTCTCGCTCGACATGGAGAGACGCGGCTTCATCGTGTACGTCGTCTGCGACGCCCCCGAAGACGAGAAGACGGTGCACTCCTACGCGCGTCAGGACATCAGCCCCTTGAAGATTGATACAACGGATGTGCGTAGACCTGATCCTTCGCGGCGCACCCGACCGTTGACCTCCTGGCTAACCTTGCACTGCAGCCTCCAAGCGCCGGATCTGCCATCGAAAAGTTTGCGGCGTACCTTCAGGCGCCGCATGCTCCAGGTCCTCACATCAAGCCCAACCAGTTAACCCTGCGATCCGTCATTCTCATCCCGAGCCTCCATTACCAGACCTCGCCGATTGCGACGATACCGCCCTCGAGCTTCGCCGACCTGTTCAACACCCATCTCCTCCACCCCATCCTCACCATCCAGGCCTTCCTCCCGCTGCTCACGTCGCGACTCCAGCCCATCGGCGAGAAGTGGGTGCCGCCCAAGGTCATGGTCCTGACGCCGTCCATCATCTCGTCCATCAACCCGCCGTTCCACGCCCCCGAAGCCACCGTCTGCTCCGCGCTCTCCGCCTTTACCGAGGTCCTGACGGCCGAGCTGCGGCCGCTCGACATCCCCGTCACGCACATGCAGCTCGGAACCTTTGACTTTGCCGGCTTTGTCCCGGCCCGGAACCTGGCCATCGGCCAGGGCCAGCACACTACCGGCCAGCCCCAGGAGACGCTCGTCTGGCCCGACGGCGCCAAGCACGTCTACGCCCGCAACTTTGTCGCGCAGACGAGCTCCGCCATTTCCGGCGCGCGCATCCGCGGCTTCAAGGGCAGCTCGCTGCGCCGCCTGCACAACTCCGTGTTTGACGTCATTGACGGCTCCATCACCAGCGACACGGTCCGCATCGGCCTCGGATCCAGCGTCTACGGCTTTGTCGGCCGCTGGGCCCCGCGCGGCCTGGTCTCGTGGCTCATGGGCATTCGCCGTGTCGACCAGCTGTCGACCTGGAAGGCCAGCGAGGAGGGGGGCTCCTCGCGCACGCCCAGCGAAGACGGCGACAACACGAGCAACGAATTCATCGCCGTGCCCTCGGAGATTAACGCTTGGACGTCGGAAAAGGACAGCAGTCTCTAGACACCCCGCGAAAGAGGCAGCCGCGTAAGCGAAACCCAAACGCTAAAACCTAGGCACACGTTTGCCGTGTACAAAGTAGGATAGACCTGCAAGCTATTAATTGTTTAGATAGACGACGTCACGACTCTGCTGTGCATATTTGAGAACTTGAAAAAAAACCCCAATAATCATATTACTATCAACGCTTCATCTGAGACCTCGTTCTAAAAACGTCCAATAACCCCCGATAAGCCTACTTTTCATCCACCTGCGGGTATCATAAACCGTCGTGTCCTTTTTCTTCCCAATACCAATGCTTCCATACTCGTACAATGCCGCCCCATGTCCTTGCTGGTGCTACTGATACACCCCTCGCTAATACCCTCCTCTTCCTCTGAAGCGTCCGCGGCCACCACCGCCACCACCACCGCCGGCGCCGCCTCGCCAGCCGCCTCTCCCACCGCCCCTGCCGCCATGCCTTCCGCCGAACCGATCCTCCTTATCCCGGGACCCGTCCGCGTCGTCGTAGTGGCCGCGGGCCTGCTGCTGCTGGGCCTGGTGCTGCTGCTGCAGCAGCTCCATGTCGGCGCGCAGCTCCTCCTCGCTCTTGGGCGGTGGCTTGACGGTGGGCCGGTCCAGGGTGGTGGACCACTTGGGGTGGGAGCCGCGCCTGCACTCCGGGCCCTCTGGGCAGAAGCCGGCGAGGTAAAAGGCGCAGAGCTTGCGGCGGACGTGCTTCTTGGCGCAGACGGGGCCGAGCGGGCAAAAGCCCATGTCGTAGTGCGGGCACGGCGGCAGCTTGGACAGCGGATCCACGTGCAGGTACAGGCACTCCTCCCCGTTGGAGCAGTACCCGTTGCGCATGAAGAAGTTGCACTCGGGCATCTTGCGCAGGTTGTACTCGTGCAGGAACTCGCACGGCACGCCCTTTTTGCACAGCCCGCGCAGCCAGTGCTTGCACACGAGCGAGTTGAGGCCCCCGGTCGGGTGGTGGTGGTGGTGCCCGTGCCCGCCGCCCGCGTGCTTCGAGTGCGACGACGAGTCGGCCACGACGTGGCGTTCGGTGCAGCGCGTCCCGTTGGGGCAGCTGCCGGTCTGGTATGCTTTGCAGATCGGTCGGTCCACGGGTAGCCCGACCTGGTACGTCTCCCGGAGAAAGGACGAAAAGGTAAAGGTGTATGGCTTCACGGAGTGGTTCAGCACCGTTGCGGCTGGGCCCCCGGAGACGGTGGCCGCCGTGGTTGTTTCTGTCGCCATGGTCGTGCGCGTGTGGCGGCGCCGGCGGGTTGAAGAGAACGACGGGAAAAGTTGATTGTAGATTGGGGTCGCAAGTCGGGGGAGTCGCGATGTCGTCGACGGAAATTTGTCGCCTGGGCGCGTGTTGTGTTGGGTCCGTGTTGTAGAGTTTGTTGTATGAGGAAAGGTGAGCGGACGGAAGCTCTGCGCTGTGCGGCGCCACATTTGAGGCGAGGTTGCGCCACATGGTTTGTCAGCCACACTTGATACATCCGACCTCACGGGGACTACAGGGTTGCCATCCTTGGTGTTCCATAGAGAGAATGGATTCAGTTATAATAACCCTTCTCCTCTATTTCTTGAGACTATGCTAGCTCATTAGCCACGGCCGAAGTTGTGCGTTGTTACGCTGGCTCATTGTGCGAAGAGCGTTTATGGCAAGTCGTCGCTGGTCAATGACTTGTCGACGTCCTCAGTAGGCTTCCAGAGTCTTCAAAAACAGCTAAAACAATCATGATTCAACAGATCTATCGCTGACCCTGGAAAAACTACATATTCAACAAGGGCATCTAATCGCAACCTCATTCACCAACTCTCAACACAAACCGCTAAGAACCAACAACTCCCCCATTTTTCCCGCAACCAAAAAGTTGTTTTGTTTTCATCTCTTCCATTTTCCTTATCCCTGCTCCGAGTAAAGAGAAACAACAGCGGCACCCCCGCTCGGGCAGCCCAGCGCCGTCAAGTGACTGCAGCAACAAAAGCGCCCCCATTTTTATACCAGTAAAGAAGAAGGGACAGAAAATACACGTCGCCAGACTATTAAAAGAAAAGTACATGTAGATGTAACATGGAGAAGGCCGGATTTTCAATGAATGTGTAGATTTGACGTGTGCTGACAAGTCAATGAGGTGATACACCGGTCTCGAGTAGTGTTTCTGAACAGGGTATATGATGTAACCCTACAGATGGATGAGGGCATCGTTTATTGCCACAACTCTCTATTGGCAGTGCACATTTACGCCGCCGTATGTGATGAGTTGCTGGCACGTCGGACAGAGGGCGACTTGGAGGAACCCTCGGCCGTGCAGCAGCTTTGGCCCTGACAGTCGTCGATGCACTCGAGCAGACAAGGAGCGGTAGGGTCGTTTTGGCCGTCGAGGGTCAGCGCAGCAGCATCCCTCAGATGCTCGTGGTCTTGGTCGAGGCAGAACTCGGGCTGGATGGTGGCGCTATGGATGCCAAACTCGTGGAGGCAATTGCGGGCACGCTTGGCAAGCTGCATGTACTTTTCGCCACTATGTGTGTTGATGGGGAACTCAACCTGGAGATGCATGCTGGCGACAATCTTGGTGTCGGAGAGCTGCCAGACGTGGATATGGTGGCAACTGACGACACCAGGCAGCCTCTCGATATCCTGTCGGATATCCTTGATGCTAATGTTCTCGGGGGTGGCTTGTAGCAAGATGCGCGAGGTTGCGAGTGTGAGCGGGATAGACGTCTTCAGAATAATGAGAGTGATGAAGAGCGAGACGGCAGGATCGGCGTAGTGTTTGCCGGGCCATTCCGTGAGCCAGATGACCAGGGCAGTGGCGATGACGCCGACATTGCCGAGGGCATCGCCGAGAACGTGGAGCATCATGGCGTTCATACCCATGTCGGCGTGGTTGTGGCCAGTGGTCTTGCCAGCCTTCTGAGGGAGGGTATGGTTGTGGCCAGCGTGGACGCTCGAGTTCCGACGTGTTCGGTGCTTGGTTTTGGTAGTGTGCGGTCTGATAGCAGTGGCGCCATTGTTGCCCTTGGAGTCGTTGAGGAGGGGCGATGTCTCGGTTGGCTCGGCCTCGTCGGCTGTAGGCTCATCGTTGGAGGATTCGCTGTCAAGCGGAGCGGGAGACTGGTGCTTGCCGGCGGCGGCAATGATGTCCTGGCGGAAGCTGGAGGGATGGATGCTCATGTCGTCGATGCTTGTGAAGCGCGAGTGCTGTTGGCTCTTCGCAGAGAGGCGGCGACCACGCGCTAGGCTCTCGGAGGAGGTACGGGCTTGGGCGGCGGCAGTGAGTTTGCCGACAACGACGTCGGGGTAGACATCTTCAACAGGACCAGATTCATCGGCGATGTTGCGACGCTCCTCGTCAATGTCTTGGCTATGCGAGTGGCTATGCGAGTGGCCATGCTCGTGATCGTGGCCCTCTTCCTCGTCGGCGTGTCCGTGGTCATGGCCGTGGCCGCCGAGGACAACAAAACCGAGGAGGTTAGAGATGAGACCGGCAGTACCAACAATGAGGATCAGCTTGGGTTGGGTGATCTCGGGAGGCTCGACGAGTCGGGTGAGGGCTTCGAGAATGATGGAGACGCAGAGGGCGATTAGGAAGACGGCGTTGAAAAAGGCACCAAGAATCTCGGCGCGAACCCACTGCGGCGAGGTTAGGGAAATTGGTTCACATTTGGAAGTTGGAGAGACGTACGCCAAAGGTGAATTCGTCGGTAGTTTCCTTTTGCGAAGCGACAACAGCCCAGAGACCGATAATGAGCGAGATGATGTCGTTGAGCTATGAAGCAAACAAAGTCCGGTTAGCCATGTTGCGCCAACGTAGCAAGCGAAGAAAGCGAACAAACCATGTGGAAAGCATCGGCAGTGAGGGCAAGGGAATGCGCAACGAAGCCGGAAATGAGTTCGAGGAGGAAGAAGGCCGTATCAATACCGATCATGATCTTGATACGGGTGCTCTTGGAGATGGCCGACTTGGACGCCATGGTGGGCAAGGTTGTTGATGCGCCTCGCAGAGCTGGGATGAGGACGACGCGAGACAAAGACAGGTTGGGTTGGAGGCACAAGGAGAAAATAAGAAGAGTTATAAGTTGTAAGAAGAGAAGAAAGCAAAAAAGAGTACAACGGGGTAACTGAAAGGAAGGAGAAAGAAGAACAGGGCCCCAGCAGTGGAGGAGGGATGCGACAACGAAAGTTGATTTTGCACGGTCCGGGCGGGTGGGATGGTGGATGGTGGTGGATGACGAAATAATTCTAGGCCGAACCAGTGAAAGAATTGGAAGTTTATTTCGGTGGCGTGGCTGAGAAGGCGAATTGGGAATTGGGAAGGGGCAGGTGGCACGACCCGCAGGGACCTACAGTTAGTACCTGGTATCTGTTTACAGGGTTTACAGGTGGTAGCAAGTGATTGCAGGGTGACTTGCAGGGCACTTGCATGCACTGCAGACGGCTTACAGCATGCACTGCAGACGGCTTACAGGGCTTGCGATAACTCAGGCTGCTACAGGGCGCAGGCGCGCCGAGGGCAATGGATGTGTCACAACAGGCGGCCTGTGCAGTGTTTAGTGTCTCCGAGGCATGCTGTCACTGTTAGCCTGCTGTGGCTCGCTGTAGCTGCCTGCTCCAAAATAAACACTGGGCTGCAATGTTGGCCGAAATGATTGTGCAGGCCAAAGCAAGTATAATCGAATTGTTGGTACGATAGCAAGACAATAAACTCCATCCCTGTTATCCCTGCAATATCAACTAGCCTGTCTCGGCTAAGCTACATATCACAGGTGAGACGGCAGATTGTGCAACCGTTCGGTCAACAAGATGCCTGAAAGCAGAGGCCGTCATCATCACTCTACCTCTCAATCATATGTACCAATACTTACTCGCCATATCTGTCCATCATCATAACCAGACAGAGCAGGGAGTGCTTATTACGTACCTAGGTAGCCCCTTGTATAATTGTTTTGATAGGTACCTAGGTAGGTAGTGTTGCACTACGATGTACAGCCCTCCCAGATCGGCCAGATGTTTCCAGCGCCCTGCACGACAACCTAGCTTCTACCAGCCTTGTCACCAATCTCGGCCAGTTCCGTACCACTTGACCACTTCACTTCCTGACACTTCACTTCAAACGCAGAAACCATCGACAATCGACCTCGCAGTCTCTACCATCAACCTTGCACCATCAGATTCCCATTCTCATCCACTGCGTCCTCCCAATTCCATCCACCTCCAGGATTCGCGCCATGATCAGCGCTGCCCAGCCGCCAAGCTGACCTCCATACCTCCCCGGTGGGCCAACGCAAGCTTCCCACTCCAACATCGCATCTCGGGGGGGCTTGCGGGGTGCGGAAACGTGCTCATCGGCGCCATCCGCCATCCATTCGTCTCTCGGAACTGTCTTTTCTGGACTCGATGTCTCATACCGCATTTGCGACAGAACGGACACCAACATCACCACAAGATTGAAGGCACCAACAGGCTTCACCTCGTCAGGAACCGTCTACTCTCCACTGCGAAACATGCAAAGAGGACCTCAAGGCCAGCAGGTAGTTCTGGATGACTGATGGCCCCTCCCACTTCTCAATCCGCAACACCTGCTGCATGAACGGCGGTTCGCTGCCACAAAGACTAACTACGAGAACTTAGTAGGCCGCTCCAGCCCGCACCAGGGACATGGGTCGTTGCCAGTTGGTGGCATTTTTCAATTTCATCCTCCTCCTTATCTTGACAATGCCATAAGGGAGTTACTGCTCGACTTGGTTCATGTCCATGCGCCCGGCACTTCAATAGCTCCCCAACTAGCGAGCGTCAGGCTGTACCATGACTCGCTCCCGAATCGCTTCTGCCTGCCGCCAACCAAACACCTTGCAACAAAAAAGTTACTTACAGGTGCATTACCCAATGGTGCGACCGAAAATGTGGCCTGATTCTTAGCATGACACTTGCCAACCCTCTCCAGCGCCAGCAGCCACACAATTTGGGCAGCTAATCCGCATTTAATATCCTTCCCAGCTATAGACAGGCTATGGGTGATATCCCCGATTCAGCGCTGAACTATGTAAACGGGCGAACTGTCGGGCTCGGCGCGAGCTCCGGAAATATGCCCGTAAACTTTCCGCTTTCGCTCAAGGTGCGGACGCCACTTTCTGCATGCAGCAGTCACGAATCCTTATTACTACAGCTTAAATTTGTTTCAACTTTTGAGTGCTGAACCCTCAAACGAGCCAGGTAGATCATGCAACATCTGACGGCCTGGATTCATTCCGTGAAAATGCGGTGCAACGACATGACTTGCGAGTCTAACTATCTCCCACCCGAAAAACGAGGCGACGCCGTCCACATTTGCCTGACGCCAACCTCGGGACCTCATCCTTACCTGCCCCCCCGTTAGCCAGAGGAGATGATGCAGCTTGTTTTCAGCTTCATGCAACTCCATCCTGGATAAGGCACGTATTACGGTTGTCATGTCTTGCGGGGGCGTATCCTAGACGCCTGCAGGAGCTGACCGTTATACTTCAGGTCCTACATAGTTACGGATAGTCCGCACTCTAGTTATACGTCCTCCGAATAACTAGCCAAGTCAAGCCAAATGGTAGGGTAAGAAACGACCCAAGCCAGAGTTCAATAGCCTTTTGACAGCAATCCTTGCCGACAACTGCTTGTTAACCGTGCAGCTAGCAACAAGTTGTTCCCCGGGCCCGAGAAGGGAGAATTTTTCACTATATTGCGACAACGGACGTAGTCAAAATGAAAACTATCCCACTTGGCATCAATTTTTTGGTTAGCAGCCCTGCAGGATAACTCGGCATCTTGCTCCACTGCTGTCAATGAATGTCCACTTCACCTCCACTTGATGGATGCAAAGCTCGGAGATGGCTGCGATGGACCTGATAATGTCAAATAGTGCGTCGACCATCTCCGCAGAAGCTCCGGCAAGCGAAGCCGAGAACCCTGAGCATAACTTGAGATAACTAGGTAGCTGTTCTGTAGGATGAGATCAGTCTAGACTCTGATGAGAGTGTGAACAGATTCCGAGAAGCGCGTAATGGAAAGTAGATTTAAGAAATAAAAAACCATCCATCGGCACCTTGATATTAGCCAGCGTAGAGGAGGTGCCAGTTACAGACTTTGAACTGACAAAAAAATAGCCCGGCCGGTGTTGTATGCAGGCCCCTCATAACGATATAAAGTGGCTTATTAGGCTTAAAGAAGCGTTAATATATTGGATAAAACAAACTTTGTTGGCCGAAGGGCTGCACAATCTGCCGTCTCATTGTGACAAGTAGTTAGCCTGGGAAACAACATTAAAAACAACATTCAAAATAGCATAAAAACGGCATGAAAACAGCAATCAGAAACCAGCAATATTTTAGTAGCTTGAGAATACACAAGTACTGCGCTTGACCGCCATCTCCCCATAAGTGCCCTGCTAACCCTCGCATAGTTGTCCTTCCCAGCTGTCGCCATGCTTCGTTCCAGACTCACTAGTTAAAAGGTCAACCATGGGTAGACTCGGACTACATGTCGATTCTGCTGCGCCAAAGCGCAGTGCACTGGACTAATGCCACTTGAGTCCGAACTGAGGGCGCTTCTTACTCTGGTGCGTGACAGAATTGTCGAGTTCACAAGGAGAACATTATTCATTCCCTCTGATGGTTGCTTGACCAGCACCGCGCAGCTCATAGCTTGATCCCCGACGGACCAGCCTCTCAGCCCACCGAGGTCTTCACCCAATCATTGGCGAGCCCGGGCTCAAGAAACCTCTCTAGTTGAATGACTGCCGACTCCAGCATACGGAGACATGGGTCAAAACCAGCGATCTTCGCCGCGAAAGCAAGCTCTTCCGAGGTTGGGGCCGGGGGGGCACTTTCGAAAGCAGGTCCCCGCGATTGTGAAGGCGCAGCTCTGGAGAAGATGGGAGCATGATTCGTGCATCGACTATAAATTTCCCAATTCCCAGGCAACATGGACTGAAACACAAAGTTCTTGTCCTTGTACGTCTCCAATGCTAGGTCAAGGCTGATGATTGTAGATAAGGGGAAAGTACTGCTCCAGCCATGATTTTCCCACACCTCAGAGTTTAGCCAATTATTCTGATGGCAAACCCATGGAGAATATGCTCAGACTCTGATGATAACCCGAAACTTACTGTCAAGTTAAGTCGCTTGCACGACCGTACGGCGGCCGACCCCGCATAAGTGGCTGGCCGCCAGGACACCAGCCATCGAGGCGCAACCTCTTGCCCCGCCTCAGATGGTGCGTTTACTCCTCATGAGCAGAGCTTCCCATCCGATGCTGCTGATCAAACAAGCACCATCACAAACAGAGAAGATCCATACGCCAAGATAATATCAGTTCCCGTCCAAAGAAAAATTAACGGGACTCTCATCCCGCAGCTCTCGATCCGCCGCAAACACTCCACGATAACGTCCCCGCCGCCATGCCGGAAGCGCCGCTTACATGCGACGAGGTCCTAGGCCGGGGATGGAACGACTTTTCCGAGGACGAGAAGCGGTCGCTGCTCCGTGCGGAGCGCAAGAAGATGACGGAGACGCTGGACCAGCTGCACGAAGACTGTCGGCCGCCCATGAAGGCGTTTGACGGCTGGTACGAGCTGGCGCCGTTCCAGCTCCGATGGAACTTTGACGAGTATCTCGACGAGGTGCCCGAGACGATTCAGGGCTCCCCGCTGCCGATACCCGGGGCCCGTGCCATTATCGCTCCGTGAGTCCAGGCCCCCTGCCCGTTCTTGCTTACACCTTGCTGATGGTCCGCCCCCGTTGCCCAACAGCCACGCCGGCTACGCCTACTCGGGACGGTGCTCCGCGTGGGCCTTTCGCTGCCTCGACCTCGCCCGGGCCAAGCGCGTCTTCGTGCTCGGCCCGACGCACTACTTTTACTTTCGCGGCCTCGCCCTGTCCACGTTTGCCTCGTACAGCACGCCCCTCGGCGCCTTTCGGGTCGACCAGCAGACGCTGCGCGACGTGCGCGCGGCTGCCGACGCACTCGGCGGCGCGCCCGACGTGCGCAACATGCCGCGCCGGCGCGAGCTCGACGAGCACAGCCTCGAGATGGAGATTGCGTTCCTGTACCAGCGCTGCGAGGCCGTCTTTGCCTCGCCCGCCGACTTTCCCGCCATTGTGCCGATGCTCGTCTCCGGCGACGCCGACGACGAGCGCGCCGTCGGCCGCCTGCTGCTGCCGTACCTGCGCGACCCGGCCAACGCGTTTGTCGTGAGCTCGGACTTTTGCCACTGGGGCCGCCAGTTTGGCGACTACAGGCCGTACTTTCGCGGGGGCGACCGCGCGCGCCGCGTCAACCTGCGCGACGCCGACGCCCCGCCCTCCCCGCCCATCCACGAGAGCATCAAGATGCTCGACGACGAGGCGATTGCGGCCATGGAGACGGGCTCGCACGACGCGTTTGTCGCCAACCTCGAGGAGACGGAGAACTCGGTGTGCGGCCGCCACCCGATTGGCGCCATGATGGCGGCGCTGGAGCTGCTCGGTGCCGACGGCGCGCCCGAGGACAGGCCGCGGTTCAAGCATGTCCGGTATGATCGCAGCGCGCTGCTGACGGAACCGACAAAGTCGAGCGTGAGCTACGTGAGTGCGTATGCGACGTTTTGATGGTTTGCAGGATACATATCATAAGAGTATACGAATAAACAATGACATATATGCGTTGCAGAATAGCATTTCTTAATTGCATCAGCATTTGCGTCTTCGCTTTGCTTCATTTTTACCTTGTCATGGTTTGTGTGAAGTTGGCATGGCAGAAAGTCGCCAGGTATCCAGCCATGTCTACGAATTCGACGCAAGCCGCCCTAGATTATCTAAACACGAATCCTCCTTCAGTATGGAGAAAGCCTTGTCAACAGGTGAGGCTGAAGTGAGAAAGAGCATTGCTGACAGGCGTCAGTTGAGCTGAGGTGGGCTGGTTTCTTTTTGAGGACCAGGCTGAAGGATTGCAGATGCGGCGTCGAAATCACAAAGATCCACCAGCTAGCCCAGCTGCTATTTCTGTCATTGACCGCCACAGCGTCTATCGGGAACCTTTTGTCCTTTGTCGTAAAAAGGAAGCTGCATTTTGGTTACCTACCAAGTAACTACGGGTATTACTAGGTAACTCGTTAGTATTACAACCAGTACTAATTGGTTGGCGTTGGCACAAGGGCAATGATGCCGGTTCTAATCTCTACATCTGAAACGGGCGCCACTTTTCATCCAAATGTAACAAGCTCAAAAAAGCGATAGTACATAGAAGGGGAGGGGGGGGGGGCAGAAGACTCGCCCTGGTTACAGGTGCAAGGGGGAAAGGACGGCGGCCTCTGCTTGGCTGCTGTCGTCTGTTCCCATCTGAACAGCAACCATGAGGGGCAGATGACCGCCCATCCTCCTCCAAGCGCCTAGAGCATGAAGGAGCGAACCAGGGAACAGGGTCGCTCAGTAACACGAGGCGTTTCTCCAGTGGTGGCGCGGCGCCAGACGTTACGTCTTGTGCGTGTGTGTTTCCATCGGCTCTTCGGGAGGCTGGCTCAGCGGCCGCGCTGCACCATTCATACCTGGGACAAGTGCTTTATCATCTATGGTCTCCTGGGCCGGAGACGTGCAGGGACGGACCCCTTCTGCTGGGGCGATGGGCAGGATGATACGTATATGTAAGATGGTCGAGGGCGTCTACGTTGGAACCAGAGTCAGTCTGGCTGTCCGACTGTCAACGCGCACCAATCCGGAGGGAGGGTGATCCAAGCGAGGGTGCCAGACAATGACATGGGATGGCTTGGCGATGAAGAGGGCATGAAGATGGACGAATGCACGTCCTGATGACTTTCGATGGCCATTGTTCGAGGCATGACATGTTGCAGGACGGGACAGCCAAGCAGCCACCTGCTTTTTTTAGGCGTTGGCGCTGGCCGCCGCTGGCAGGAGCGGTTCAGTGCGGCACAGGTCTGGGAACAAGTATTGGTACCTCTATCAAGCAGGTGTCTCGGGCGCGCAAACAAGTACTCCTGCGTCCCCAGCTAGCTAATTCGTACAGCCTTCTCTAAACTTGGCTGGTGGTGCGCAGCCCCTTTTGATTGCCACTCCCCACTACGTTCTCAATTAGCCTGGTTTCGAACATCATCAACAGCCTGTCTGCGTCCGTCGTTTTTCTTTTGCCTCTTTCATTTCATCTCGCTCTTCTTGTACTCGGTTACTCGTCCCATTCTTTTCCAGACGCACGCCAACCGCTCTGCCAGCGACAATCGCCTCCTCCCGTCTCCTGGATCGCACCAACGCCAAACTCTGACTCGACCTTTCGGCATCACAAACTCTGGCAGACCCTCAGCCCTTGACGAACGGCCCCTCTTGGCCTGACGCATTTCAGTCCTCGATCAAAATGAGTGTCAGTTTTGCCCCGTCCCCCATCGTTTCAACCCGTTGTCCTCCAATGCCCGGCCGCCGCACGTCACACGTAGATGTAGCGCGCTCGGCACGCCTGCCTTTTTCGTCTCATTTTTCTCTCTGATGCATTTCTCTCGTTCTCGATACCATTTACAAGACTTCATTTTTACTGACAATGGCTGGACAGTACGGGTTAGTATTTGGCCCCCCTACGCGGTTCAAAGAACCGTTCAACCGCCCGCCCGACTGCTCACTAGCCCGCCAACGAACTCACATACGAGAGCGCGAGCTAATGTACATCTGAACGAGTAGATACGGAAACCAACAGAACCCCTACGACCAGCGCGGTCAGGGCTACGATGGTCAACAACAACAAAACCCTTACGCAGGCCAAGGAGCTCAAGGAGGCTACGGCCAGCAGCAGCAGAACCCCTACGCCGCCGCCGGTGGTAACAGCCGTCATGGTAACAACAACAACTCGTCGATTGACGGTGGCTATGCTGGTATGGGAGAACTAGCCAGCTTTGCCAGAGTAGACTCGGAGAATGGCCTTGCTGATGATCTTCTTTAGGCTCCAACGTAGAGATGGCCCCCCTCGCTCAGAACGCTGGCTCCATGGCCGGCAACGATGGCAACGCCATCCTTAACGAATGCCGCGACATTGACGCCGGCGTCAACCAGATCGAGCGCAACCTCGAGCAGCTGCGCATGCTCCAGCAGAGAACCCTCGACGACGCCGACAGCTCCTCCTCGAGCGCCGCCAATCGCCAGCTCGACGCCCTCTCCTCCGAGACCATGGCCCAATACCGCGAGCTCACCGAGCGCGTCCGCACCATCAAGTCGAGCCCCGAGGCCAACACCCCCAAGAATAAGCCCCAGGTGGGCCGCGTCGACCGCCGCTTGAAGCAGGCCATTCAGCAGTACCAACAGGTCGAGTCGGGCTTCCGTAAGCGCACCCAGGACCAGATGGCCCGTCAATACCGCATTGTCCGCCCCGAGGCCTCGGAGCAGGAGGTCCGCGCCGCCGTCGAGGACACGAGCAACAACCAAGTCTTTAGCCAGGCTCTTATGCAGAGCGACCGCCAGGGACGCGCCCGCGCCGCCCTCTCCGCCGTCCAGGACCGTCACAAGGCCCTTGTCAAGATTGAGCAACAGATGGTGGAGCTCTCCCAGCTCTTCCAGGATATGGACACGCTCGTCGTTCAGCAGGAGGCTGCCGTCGTCCAGATTGAGCAGAAGGGCGAGGAAGTCGTTGAGAACCTCGACAAGGGCAACGAGGAGATGGGCATCGCCGTCAACACAGCTCGCAAGACGAGAAAGAAGAAGTGGATTTGCCTGGGCATCTGCGTCGCCATCATCCTCATCATCGTCATCGTCGTTCTCATCTACATCTTTGTCATCCGTGGCCAGAACAACAACAACAATAACAATCCAAAACGTGCCATGGAGATTACTGCCCGTGCACTGCTGTCCAACATTGACGCCCGCGCTGCCGAGGACCAACCAGGCCTAGCAGAGCTCACGCGGTTGATGAAGGACCGCGTGCACATGCCCCAAATCGCCCGTCGTTGAATATGCTGCAACATTTGACTGGGAAGAACAAGCATCTGTTTCCGGCTCGCGACGGTCGACGTCTTGTATATTTGTTTTATCTGGGCATCTTTTCGAGCACCACTATCAATTAGTCGGCATATGTACGAAGGGAACATGCCACGCTCCAACGGCGGTGGAACATGACCCTGTTTCATTGAACATGGCATGCTTTGCGCCATGGGAAGACAACCATACACTCACTCCCTCATCAGCGTGGAAAAGAACGCCAGACTTGCATTATTTTTTCACTTTGCCATTTCATTCTTGTTTCAAGTCTCTCAGGGGATCGTTTGTTCGACATGGTCTGCCGTTTCTTCTTCCGCGCTGTCCTTTTCCTTGTCGTTACCTTGTCCATTTTTTTGTCTACTTACTAATCTTTTCCGGTCATCACTCTCTATCGCACACACACACGCTCTCTCTCTTGTCTTGTTGTTTCTTTGAAGGAAAAAAAAGAATGGTGTTGGCGTACCAAATTGTAATTAGTAGTTTCTTTGAAAATCTTCTTTCGTTTGTTAGTTTTTTTTTAACCCCTCCCGCAGAGAGCAATATCAAGAAAAAAAAGTCGAAATAACATGCACTTCTTGTCCGCGTAGACACACCAACGCAGTTGTGTAGGTAGAGAGGAGACATGTCATATTGTTCAGCTATTGAGATGCTGTCCAAACGCCAATACAAAAAAGACCAAACAAAAAACGAGAATCATGGTGCTTTCCAACGACAAGAAAAAGAGCGAGTATTCGCTTCCACCAAAAGGAGAAAACATAATGGGAACAGTTTCGATTTGCGCGCCATGCACGGCTGGGAAATCTTGTAAAAAGAACAAAGAAATTGAAATCCAGAAAAGAAAAAAAAGGACGGGAAACAATGGCTGCCTGCATTGTGCATTGTGCAATGCGACTTTGGTGTGCGAATGTGGCTGTCGTCAGGTATATATATATATATATATATATATACATCGTCTATTCGTCAAGCGGGTATATATTAGTAAAAAGCATCGACGTTTTGTCGTCACGACGAGCTGGCCACCGCTGCCGTCGCGGTAGCTACATCGTGGGACTGGCTCGCCGTTCCAGAACGAAGCGCGCCAGGGTCGTGAAACTCATGGCTCCCGGCCGCCGCATCATCCTCGCGGTTGTGGTGAGCCATGACAGCCCGACGCTTCTCCCCCTCGCCAACCACCTTCTTCAGCACACCCATGCGGCGGCGAAAGTCGTCCGCCAGCGCCTCCAGGTCCTCCACAGCAGCGCTCGCCGCCGACGAGCGCAGGCTCGCCCCGCTTGCTCCCGCCTCGACCGAAGCGCGCAGATCTACAGGATCGCGCGAGACGCCCGCGATATGCAGCATCAGCGCCGGCGCGGCGGCACCAGGCGCCGAGGTGGCGGCGATGGGCTCCGCCGCGCTGCTGCTGTTCTCGGCTTGCTGCTTGGACAGCGCGGCGGCGGTGACGGCAAAGGCAGACCCGAGACTGGACGCGCACGACACGGCCCAGGCGTCGTGGTCGGGCGTGGGGGCGAGGTCGACGACGAGGCTGCGGTGTGAGGATGTGGCTGTGGTGGCGGTGGTGGGGAGGGAGGCGTCGTCGTCGGCGAAGAGGTAGTGCACGCGGGGGTGCACCGTGGTGTTGGTCGTGGTGTTCGTGAGGAGCGCAAAGAGGGGCTCAAAGGGTGGTGGCGGCGGCGGGAGGTGTGAGGAGGAGGACGTGGCGATGGGTTCGGCGGCGAGGGATGATGAGGCGGCTACGGCGCCGCTGTCGTCGCCGATGCTGCAGTCGGCGGCCGAGAGATGCACGAGGTCGGCGGGCGGGCGTCTGTGGGCGTCGGGGTGCGACGAGCTGCTGCGTGACGCGGCATCGGCGTCGGCGGAGAGACTCGCCATGCTGTTTGTGTGTGTGTGTGTGTGTGTGGTCTTTTTTTGGTTGTGCACAGGCTTTTCGGATGTGTACACCAAGTCCGAGGTTCGGGGGGCGAGGGGTCAGTAGCGACGGGGGGAGCTACAGTTCGGGAGCATCGTAGGTGGCCACACGCCGTTTCCTGTTCGGGGATTAGAAGAAACAGAAGCGATATGGAACGGGAGGAGATGAAAATAAAGGTGAGATGTAAACGTCGCGTCCAAAGACCAGAGGTGGTTGAACGTTGGTTTCAGGGTCGAAGCTATCTTATCGGCACGTGGAGTGACGACGCTAGGCGGAGAGGAAGCTGCGGCTGGTTAACGGTTGCCTTGGGCAAGCCACCGCTGCCACGCTTTTTTTTTTGCCCAACAAGCAAATATACCAAATTTTATTTCTTTATACAATGTCGTTATTTTTTCTTTCTTTTTTGCCAGGACTGAAGTGCTCCTTTTCCGGATCGGGCCATGTCCGAACCTGCCGCTGATCCCGTTTCCGTTTCCCCATCCTGTGACGTTCACTGTCGATCCATGCAGTTCGTCGTTGTCCGCGGAGATATCCTCCGTTTCTTTGGCAGGCCCAACTTGTCCATCTCTGCGTACACTTTCATATCGCCTGGGTATATAGGCAGCCCGCAGGCTGCATTGTCGATATTCGCCGCGTTGCATGAGCTCAGCTCGGCATCCTCGCCGCCGCGACCCGTGACGACCATTCCCCCTCGGCATCATGAGCTGTGCAATGTCGTGAACCCGGCCATGACGAGGCTCCTCGGTCGTTCTTTTGCGTCTGTGCAAACGTTGGAATAGAATAGGCCCTGTATGGTGATTTGGTTAGCATTTCTCCCTTGATCCGTTTTCGTCCAACTGGGTGTACCCCTCGTCATGCATGCAGTCACACACACACACAAACGTACCCCGTATCCTTTTTGCTTGCAAAACTCCGCCTTTTCTTTGACCGTATCGGGATTGTCATATGCAATGAAGCCTTCCTCCCCACCCGCACAATACGCCGAGATGCGGCGCCGGTCAATGCCCTCTTGCCGCCCCTCGACCGGCAGCGCTGCATAGTCGACCGATTGGGAGCGGGCCAGCTCGTACGGCTGCGCGGGCCCATCGCAGCCCGGAAACGTGGTGCCAAAGGTGGGCACGCCGAGCAGAATCTTGTGCGCCGGGAAGTTGCGGGCGACGAGAAAGCCGGCGGTCGTCGACGCCGACGGCTCGTCCTTGGCCAGCGCGTACAGCTGGGCGGGGCACAGACTGCGGCCCGGCTGGGTGTGGTGCTGCAGGTTGTACGTTTGCAGGTTGACAAAGCTCAGGGCGCGCGCCGCGGCAGGCATATCAATGTGCTGCAGCACGGCCGGGTTGGCCGGCAGCGCGGCCGTCACCATGTGGTGCTTGTCGGGCAGCTTGGCGCGGACGGCCCGGACGAGGGAGAGGAAGTTTTGGCCCTGTATGGGATCGGCGGGCACACACCATGAGACTTTGTTGGCCCGTCGGTTAGTGGAGGTCTGGAGGAAGGTTTGTTCGCCGGGGAAGAGGAAAGGACTTACTGTCAACGCCATCGAGACCCGACGCTACCACTAGTCCTGCGGCCGTGTGGGCAAAGTTGTGGCGCGTCGCTTGTGTGGAAGCGATAGAGACAAACAGACCAGAGGCGGCTGGACCGCCGATGGAGAGAAGCACTTTGAGGTGTCGATGTTGCTGCTTGAGCTGCATCAACGAGCCCAGCCCTCCTTCGACGCCGTCGACGGGGGCCCTGATGTCGGCCCATTCGTCGCCGAGCTTGAATAGTATGGGTCAAATACATGTCGAGAAAGTAGACGACATGGGTAAAGCAAAGAAGAAGGGACTAAGGGACCAAGGGACCAAGGGAAAGGGGGAAAGGGGAGCAAGAGGTTTGCACATACATTGACGATGCCGTCTGGGGCGACGCTCGCGTAGGCGTAGTAGACCAAGTTGATGCAACCATAGTCGAGCTTGGCCGGGGTCTCGTCGCGGGCAATGTAGGCATTGTGAAAGTAGACGGCATTCGTGTACATGACCTGGCCGAGCTGGGTCGAGGAAAACATTTGCAGCGGCGACGAGGACGGCAAAGACGCCGGCGTCTCTGCCGGTGAGTCCATGCGGAAGTTGCAAGTTGGTCGTTGCTCGTTGGGCCTAGGGTGGCTTCTCTGGACACGATCTCTGAATGGATTTGGCAAGGTTTACACGGTTCAGTCTAAACGGTGTGGGAGGAAGATGGGGGGCAGGGTAAACTCCTCCTGCTTGGCAAGAGAAGGAAGAGGACACCACCCATACGCTACGTTTCTAGTGTGCGGGCTTTGATGGGTTTATTTTTTTTTGGCATCCAAACGCTGTATGACCCTTTTGATCTGCACGAAGCCGGCCGACTCGCGTGTGCGAGAGAGAGAGGGAGCGAGAGAGGGATAATGGGAGTGCGTGCGTGTGTGTATGTGTGTGACGAGTTGGTGTGTGCCCGTGGTGCGTCAGCGGTGCGTCGCGTATGCGCTCCTCTCCATCGCACGGATGAGAAGAGAAGAAAAGAGGTCAGGCATCAAGGGCAGGGCAACACAGGGCGTTCACAACAGACCAAGAAATACCGCGGGACGAATCGTCGTTTGCTGGAAACCGGACCGCGGGGACCTTGCACAGACACACTCGGACCGGATTGGCTCAGAAGCGAGGCAAAGAAGCCCGTCCGTCGCAACGCCGATGGAACGAAGCAGCAGCAGCAGCAGCAGCAGCAGCAGCAGCAGCAGCAGCAGCAAGACAAGAAAGAACCCCTCCCCCATCTTGCAGGTTTTTGAATTATGGAGGAGGGGGATGATTGCGTTGTCCTTTTTGGGTGGGCCGGCAGGGTAGATGGACGTGACGGGTTGCAGTGAGATGGAGCAGAAGAGAGGGACGATTGCTGATTGCTGCAACTCCAAACTCCCCCTCCTCAACAAGTCAGCAAAAGCAGCCCCGGCTGTGACATGGATAAAACTCATCTGTAGTTACGTATTATTAGTTAGAGATTTGGATTTCGCATTTCCGAGATGAGCCGGCAGGGTTTTTTCGCTAGCCTTGTTTGGGACGAGGAAAACGGATAGTAGACGGGATGGAAAGCGGGAGGGATGGACGGGAGAGAAAAGCGTTGCATTAGTGAATGTTAGTTTACGGCGGCTTCGTTCTTGGCGCCACTGTCGAATTCCGAGAGGAAAATCTGCGTCACCTCGCCTTTTTTCCCCCCCCTTTTTTTTTCCTTCTTCTTTCCGAAAACAACAGCGACATGGCGGTGGCTTCGGAGAAAAAGAGAAAAAAAGAAACAAGGGAGAGACAAACAAAGCGCCCACGCTACTCCAGTGCCGAACGCATGACATGAGGCGGCGCAAGAGCGGCCTAAACGAGCAAACGGCAAAGTCCAAAAACTCCCAAGGCTGGACATGTCCCGCATGCATCAGGCCTAGTGGGAGGGAAGAGGGGAAGAGATGGGGGACGGGAGGGGGGCTTGCATCGTTTAGAATTCAAACCCTTTTTTTTCCTTCTTCCCAGTGACGTCGGTCGGGCCCATGACGGCTCAAGAACCGGTGAGTGTGTCGTCGCTGTATGGAATGGAATGGTTCTTCCTTGCGTTGTTGTGGCTGTGGCGCGTGCCCGCTATTGGCCTGGGGGCAGGAGTTGGGCGCCTGCAGCTGGCGCCCAACGACCCTTGGCCCATCTACATCTACTTTGTCCCCTTTTCTCCTCTCCAACACAATTCGTCCGCGGCTCAACAACGGGCTTGCAGGCTTGCGGGCTTCCTATTGATCGGCGCATTGAATGCGTCATTATCATTCTTCCGTCTTTGCCTGCAGCAGCTGTTCGCCCCCGCCCCCTGTGTGGCCAATATTCTGTAGCCTTGCAGGCCAACCGCAGAGTGACGTTGTGTACCCTTTTTTTTTTTTTTTTTGCACGTGGACCAGAAACTTCCATGCCTTCATGCGATGGCAGGATGGAAGCGCCCATCATCATCAACCCCTCATTCAGTTTTTCGGGACGCGACGAGGTCCATCTCTAGCCTGGCCGGCGTCGCCGTACCATCAACAGTGCTTGCAGGTAAACTAGTCTGAAGAAGGAAGCCGTCGTTGACTGTCTTACCGATGGTCCAGTGCAAGGTTGTTGAATCGTGCAAGTGTAAGGAGGTTCTAGTTGCAGGTCTCGGCCATTTCCTTTCTGCAACATGCGCACTGGTCATACGCACTGGTCGTGGATTGTATCAGCCGGAATGCACACGTACAACAGGCCGTTGGCAACCAGCATGAGCCGCCTTTTATACAAAAGTATAGCACCCTGCCGTACTGGCAAGCTTGAGAGAGCCCAATACATCGCAGCGCACGGCCAACTCAACACCGAGCAGATCTGGCATTGGCAAAAGTGGTGGCAGGCGTCGATTCCTGATGGAGCTTCCTTCTCGGGCATACCGGTCCTGGACAGCAGTGAAAAGTGGCCGCTGTGAATTCGGCTCGTGGGCAAAAAGTACCGCAGCAGCCCCGATGTGGCTCCGACTCTCACTTGCACGAGTGCCGCGCCGTCCGGCAATCTGTTCCCGTCGCCCCAGAAGTTGCTCGTCCATCTGACTTGGAAAGCTCCCGCTCCACGCGGCCGCGGCAGAACGGTACGTCGTCATGTCTTTCTTGGCGAAACGCGTCACTGGCCGCCCCGTGTTTGAGGCTACTTGATAAACGACGGTCCCAGTGTCGCCGCTCCGGCCCTGAAACGTGCCTCGGCGCTCCGGGAAGAGAGTGCAGCTTCTGTGCGACGTTGATGGCTCATCTCGATGGAACTCACCAGTGCGGGGGGGGGGGGGGGGGGGTAGGTATGTAGGAGAGCACGAATATAGTTCGCTTCTCGCTGCCCATTGCCATTTGCCTGAGACGACCTGGCTATCGGCGCGTCAACGAGGCCCGTTTATTTGCGAGACGCCGCCGTGCGAATATACAGCACGTCATGCTGCACAGCAGAGGTGGTTCATTGCCATTGCCAGGACTTGACCAGGCTTCATGACCAAACCGTGCCTGAGCCGTAGCTGACGTCTGCTCCCAACGTAAAGATGTCTCGCACCGCAGCCGGAGACACAGCGCCAGGCGAGAGGCAAAAGAGGGAAACGAAAGCCAGACAGAGCTGAAGTGCTGTTTCTTTATAGTGCATAATTATAGGGCTTTGTCCGATAATGACCTTGTTTACTGATTGTACAGTATCTCCCGTCATGTTGTATTCGTGACAAACATTCCGCAGGTCGTGTGTTGCAACAAGTTGATCAACTACCAACTGGTGCACATGTGGATAAAAATAGACTTACTTGACAATTGATTAGAGTCTGATCGAATAGATTAAAAAAAAACCTCCATAAAAGAATATATTGCCACCCCAGAAACAAAGACTGGTTTCTGGCCATCAAGTACATTGTGCCCGCCGTGCAGCAAACCGCCCACACGACCAGGGGCCCCTCACCCCGCCATTGAACCGACCGTGAATCCAGCCGCAGACCGACCTACCTCGCCATCTTCACCAACATCGACATTTTCTCTCTCTCCCCCATCCGGCCCGCCGACGCCCGTCTTTTTCAATTCCTCCTCCCTCCGTCGGGCCCATTTCACCAACCCGCGGGTCTTTTTCTTTTCCCCAAAGCTTATCGGTACAGCCTAACGGCCCCCACCCCCGCCCGCAGCCATGCCTCCGCGCAAGACCCTGCGCATCCTCTGCTTCGGCGACTCCCTCACCCAGGGCTGGTTCTCCTTTGGCATGGGCGAGCACCCTTACTCGGAGCGTCTCACCGAGCGCCTGCGCGAGGTGCTCCCGCCCGACGTGGGCCTCGAGGTGCGCACCAGCGGCGAGGCCGGTGACGTGGCGGCCTTTCCGCGCTTCCGGGAGCGTTTCAACCAACAGAGTACGGTTTGCGCCCAATCCCCCCCTGTGTATATGAAACCAACATTCTTGTTAACCAAAAAAAAACAGTTAGACTATGGCCCTTTGACTGGGTGATTACCCTGGGCGGCACAAAGTAAGCTTCCCGAGTTGTGTGTTGGGGGGGGGTGTATTAACAAACGGCCGCGCCCCTTAGTGACATTGCCATGGGCTGCCACGTCGACGACACGTTCAAGTCGCTGCAGAGCATCTGGCGGCTCGCCCTGTCGAGGCGGTGCCGCGTGCTGGCCATGACGGTGCCCGAGACGGGCGCGCGCTTTGCCCGGATTGACGCCAAGCGCGCGGATCTCAACCAGCGCATCCTCGACTTTGAAGCCGAGAATTAGTACGTTTTTACCAATGCTTTTTTTTTCTTTCTCCCCTAAATACTGAAACCAAACCCCCCGGCAGCCACGCATTCGACCTGCACAGCAAAATCCCATACAACGCACTCACCGACAAGCAGCGCGACGAGCTCTGGGACGACCTCGTGCACCTGACCGAGGAAGGCTACAACTGGATGGGCGACCACGTGGCCGACGCGCTCCTGCCTTTCGTCATCGAGGATCACACCAAGTTTGAGGAGGAGGAGGACGAGCCTGCCCGAGACATTCGCCGAGGGTACGTGGTGGTGCGCAGAAACGACTTGGATTAAGAAAAAGTCCGTGTGAGATTCTTGTTTCTTGTAAAGCCAGGTTTCTTTTGTTTCATGAATAAAGTGGAACCGATGAGAAATACGGCAGGGGAACGCCCTGTATGCTATGCTAATGGCCAAAAAGTAAAACGCCGTTTCCCAAGTATCAGATGATGCTGCGCATGCTAGACCGCCAAATGCGTAGCAACAAATCCCTAGTCATGTTAGTCACGTTGGTCGCAACAAACGTAAGCTCCTCAATAAACAACATACCGGAAACTCCCTCTGGAGAGAGTTGGTCACCTGTTCCACCTGCTGGGCCAGGCTCTCGACATTGGCGTCCCACTTGCGCGTCTGCTTGCCGACGGTTTCCTTGGCGTGTGCGCTGCCCTTTTCGCCCGAGGCCTCGCCGCCCTCGAACCAGACGATGCCGTCGAGCTGGTCCATGCGGCCGACGAGACGGCCCTGCTCAATCATGCGGGCCGTGGTGCGCTCAGCCCTGTCGGCGTCGAGCCCGAGCAGGGCGCCGAGGGCGTCGAAGCGGATATTGTCGTAGAGGCGGCTGGCGCCGCGCAGGTTGTGCTCGACGACGGCCTTGTCCAGGACGGTGGATCCGTCGGCCGTGGTGGCGCGCTGGTGCGGCTGCAGGCCCTGGGCAAAGGCGGCCACCTCGGCGGGCGCGAGCAGGCGGTCGAGGAGCATCTTCTCGAGGATGGAAAACTCGGGCAGCTGGGGCGCGCGGTCGTCCTTGTAGAGGCGGCCGAGGGCGCGGCTGCGCAGCGGGCCGGCGGGCGCGAGGATGGCGCACTTGATGGCCATGGCGAGCGTGTGCAGGCGCTCCTCGTCGGCGATGGCGGGCGAGAAGCTAATCTCGTGGTAGCGCGCGGCGGCGCCGAGAAAGTCGCGCTTGGCGTCCTGGATGCGCGCCTGCGAGAGGGCAAAGTGCAGCGCGAGGTCGGCGTCGGGCACCGTGTGCATGATGTTCTTGAGCTTGTTGAGGTACGTCTCGGCGGCGAGCGGGTCGTCGACCTCGAGGTAGTTGCGCACGATGCGGACCCAGACGCGCGCGCGGTCCGCGTCCCCGACCTTGCGCTGCGCGCTGTCGAGCGGGATCGCCGCCAGCGTCTGCGCCGCCGCCAGAAAGTCGTCGCGCGCCTCGTGCGCCGCCGCCACGAGCAGGCCCAGCTCGGCCGCGGCGTCGGCGAACGACGCCGGCTGCGCGGCGAGACGCGCGAGCGTGTGCTCGCCCACGGCGATGGACAGGGCGTCGTCGTCAAAGGTCGGCAGCGTGGCGAGGAAGGCCCCGAGGATGGAGCGCGTCGACACGACGCCGAGGGACTGCTGGAAGAACGAGTCGGCGACGGCTGTGAGGTCCTCGATGGCGGTGGCGGGCGTGGAGAGCGTCTTGAGCGAGCCGACGAGGGACTCGTAGAGGGGCGTCTTTTCGCCGGTAGAGGCCTCGGTGCGGGCGAGCGCCTCGGCGACCTGGGGACTGGGTGCCATGGCTGGGATGGGGTGGTGCTGGTGGTTGATGATGAAGGGAAGTGAAGCTGGAGCTTGCAAGTTGCTTTGGTGGGGGCGGGGTGTCACCAGGCAGCGACGACGACGGTGCAAACGAGTGAGCAAGGTGCACAAAAGATGGAAAGAACCCGAAAGCTACAATTTCTTGAGTTGGTACTACAATTCTATTTCTTTGATAGATTTTATCATCATCTTCGGGTACAAGCTGCAGAGGGAATGTCCGGGTTGGTGGCTGTGTACGTGTCGGTCTCGGGCTCGCTATCGGTCGAGCTATCGTTCCGAGCTCAGCCAACAGAGGCGCAGTAAAGTCTACGCAACACAGTCAGCGCCAGTGTAAGTGCCGATTGCCGAATAGATATATATATCCCACCACGCTGGCAATACTTTTGAATTGTTGGAAAAAAACCATCACTTCAATCACTTTCACGTCCATAATTCTCACTATAACCAAAATCTTGAACCACCTCGCACACAACCCACCTACACAACCAACATGGGTCTAGTCAAGAAGCTCATCCTCGGCGGCACCGTCTACGGCGTCGCGCGAGAATTCAACAAGAACCGCCAGAGCGAGCAGTCGAGCCGCCAAGCCGCCGAGCCCTACCCGCCGCAGCCGGCGTACTATGCCCCGCCGCCTGCGTACGAGCAGCAGTATCAACCCGCGCCGTCCCACTACAAGCAGCCTCGACAGAACTGGAATGAGAAGAGATAAAAATCTGGTTTTCCTTATAGATTGGGGGTCTCTATTCGCAGATGGCCCATCAGCGAGCCATGTCTCGTGTCTCGTCTTTCGATTCGTCCGCTTTTGAGTACATAGATTTGGTCGGCTCGTTCACTGCGACTGTCACACAAGCTGTGCCGATGGGGTATCTAAAGTCTTGTTGTCCTTGTATCAAATGCTAGTATAATCCATGATGAAAAAAAGAAAATAGCCAAAATGACTTGCCCCCACCACATGTCTATCAACGCCTTTAAAACCGAAGCAAAAAAGACCCAATGAAAAAGAAAAATGGACATGTATACACCGGTATATCATCCTCTGACCACCACTCTTCACCTATTTGGGTCTACTTGTTATGCCACACCAGCGTCCGCAGCGAGTCCCAGCTGTTGCAGTCGCTGTAGATGTACGTCATGCTGCTCCGCAGGCTGCTCTGCAGCTCGTCCGGGTGGTAGCGGAACAGCAGCATGACGGCGCCCCACGAGACGGACGCGAAGACGGGCCAGGCGTACCGGTGGATGGCGGCGCGCAGCGGCTCGTCCGAGACCCACGGCAGCGGCGTCGCCCCGGGCTTGACGGCAATCTTGGCCAGCCCGAGACAGACGCGCGCAAAGATGTAAATGACGATTTGCTGGCTGACGCTGGAGATCTTGCCCGTGCGCGGCGAGCGCTGCCCGAAGACCAGGTAGCCGCCGACGAGGCCGGCGAAGAAGGAGTCGTAGGGTCCTGTCAAGAGGGGTCAGTGTTGAAGCTTTTTTTTTTTCGCAGTTCGTCCAGCACAGGATATAAAGATGGAACAAGGGGGGTGGAAGTACGCACCCTCTTTGCCGGGGGTCGGGCCGTAGTACTTGAGACCCAGCATGACGAGCTTGTAAATGGTGGCGAAGCGGGCGAGGTTAGACGCATGCTTCTTTGTCGCGCGCAAGACGAGCTGGCATTTTTGCTGGATGCTGTATTCTGTCCGTCAGTTTTCTACCCTGTTTGTCCGGTCCGTCTTTTTTTCGGTTGGTATCGCGACTCACGTTCCGGATCGAAAGAGAAAGACCATGCTGGGGGGAGCGGGCAGACAAGTTAGCGAAATGGGCCGAGGAGCAGGGGAACGGGGGATATCCGCAACATACACGAGCGCGTGGGGGAAGCGCACTTTGGCGCCATAGACAGCGCCGTTGCGCGCCGTCTTGACGAGGGAGAGCAGGTCATGGTATCGCGGGTCGAGGGCGACTCGTTCGAGGATGGCCTGGGGGGGGACAACGTCAGCGCCAATTGGGCAACTCTAGGCGCAAAATGTACGTCTCTCGCGCCATCGCCGGCTGGGGGAAGTGGTTCGGTACCTTGAGCGACTCTATCGTGGGCGCCATGGCGGGGTGCTTTGCTGTCGTTTGGGGTTGCTTGGTGGAAAGGAAGCACAGAAGACGGAATCCCGACGAACGACTTTCGGGGCGCGGGTTGGTGGTCACAGGGTTTCAGGCCTCGGCTGGACGGGGCCGCGGGTTTTTTCAGTGGGGAGGGGCGTGGATGTACCTAGTTTAACAAGGGACGAGGGCAAGAAAGGAACAGCAAACACAGGGACGAGAGCAGAAAAAAAAGGAAAAGGGAGATGAGATGCAGAAATCTAGAAAAGAGAAAGAGTACAAAGGAAACAAGGTGCGTGCAGGATGGGACGAGCCTCGGTGCCGCCCAGTTTACCCTGGACGGAAACGTCCGTCCGCGGGGAACATCTCTAGCATCTCTAGGTACCTAGTACCTAGTGTATGTATGTACGGATAGTACGAACGAACGAATAAGGGCATGACCTCCCCCGGAAAAAGGCCCCGCTGGAGCGGCGGCTTCCCAGATTTGGCGGCGGGCGGACGGATGGATGGGGCTCACATGTTAAAAATGCGCTGATGATGATCACATGTCATCGAATCTGCTGCCCCAGACGCCAACAATCGATAAGGTTCATAAGATTGGCAGCTTTCAATGTCGATTGCAAATATTAAAACGCATGCGATAATATACAATGCGATAATATACAATGCGATAATATCCAACTCTACCCTGCATTGCTATCCTTTGCACAACCAGACATGAACCCTATCCAAAATCAAAGACGCCTCCCATCACCATCATCATCACCATCATCGGCACCACCGCTGCGTCGGCTCCCTCCACGTCACCCCCAACAATTCAAAAATCCTCCTCTCACACCTCCCCTCCAGCAGATCCTCCTGCCCCGTCTCCATGCCGATCCCGCCGTCGCGCTTCCACAAGCCCTTCTGGTTGAGCTTCCAGCCCTTTTTCCTCGCCAGCAGCCTCATGCTGCGATTAAACACGTCGTCCCCCGTAAAGTAAATCAGCGCCGCGCCCATCTCCGCCGCCGGCACCAGCAGCATGTCCATCCGCCGCCAGACTCCGTCACCCCGCGGCAGCACGCAGCAGCCCTGCCAGATGCTCCCGTCGGCCGCCAGCGTCGCGACGATGAAGCCCGCGTCGCGCAGCCGGCGCACCAGCTCCTGCAGAAACGGGAGCAGCTCTGACCGGTGCGTCGTGGACGGCTTGCTGATGATCATGTCGACGTCGCCCGAAGACGGCGCGCCGCGGCGGTAACTGCCCCCGACAATCAGCTGCACGGCATCGTCCACCCGCGCCGCCTCGTCTTGCACCACCTTGGCCAGCGCCTCGACCTCGTCCCTTGGGATCTTGGTGTTCAGGTCCGCATACCTCTCCATGCCCATCTGCTGGCCTGCCGTGAGCTTGACCTGCCGCCGCACATCCTCCAACGTGCGCATGCCGCGCGCCGCCCACCGCGCCGCCAGCGCCGGGCCCACGCCATGCACGCCCAGAAACAGCTTCAGCACCTGGTCACTGCCGTCGCGCTGCGCGTGCTCCAGACGTCGCAGGCGGTCCGTCGTTGCAATTTCAGCAATCTTGGCCGCCAGCCGCGCCCCCACGCCGGGCAGCCGTAGGGCCTCGTTCTCCGTGCTTATGCGCGCCGGCTGCCGCTTCAGCGTCGCAATCGCCTTGCGGTACGCCAGTACGCGCCACTGGTCGCTCGTGCGCTCGTAATAGGATAGCATGCTTTGAAGGACCTCGACCGTTCGCGCGTTGGGGTTGTCGGCGTGCGCGTCGAGCGCCCCGGCCCGGGCACAGGCGAAGCGCTCCTCAAACGGGGCCGCCTTCTTTCCAACAGGCGCGCTACGCTGGCTTTCCCGGTCGTCATCAGAGCTCGACTGGTGGCCTAGAGCCGACGCCGTTTCGTCGTCGTCGTCGTCCAGGGGCAGGTCCTTGAACTCTTGCATCATATTAATCACCTTGGTCAGCTCGTCGCCCGGCGCAGTGCTTCCTCGGGGTACGCTCTCCGCATGTACTGCCCCACCGTCGTGCTCATTCTCTGCTGTCTCGGCAGGATTTAGCACAATGTGCTGCGAGCCGATATCCGGCGACTCCTCGCTGGCGTGTGGCGGCGTCGACTTGGGCACGTAATCCCACTTCTTCGGGTTCCGTTGCGGCTCCTTGAGCTGCAGCTTCTCCTTCGTAGTCAGATTCTGCCTCTCCTCTCGTTCCTTTGCCTCAGCCGACTCGCGCGGCAGAGTGCCCTCCCCTGGCTGCCCGGCAAGCCTATATCGCTTCTGCTTCCAGTCCAGCAACACCTTGAACTGCATGCAGTCAATCGGATAGTCCTCATTGACCATCACGATACCCTCCACGCCTCTGCCTCCCCTATTCGACGCCGCCGCCTTTGCAGCGTCTTGGTAACCGATAGCTCTGTCGACAATGACGTGGGTCGCCTCTGCCGCGTCGCTCGTCCGCACAGCGCCGTACTCGCGCGCCTTGTGGATTCGCAGTCTTCGCGCTGGTGCAATCTCATTATCGGGGATGTAGTAGAACACCAAGCCCCGAAATATTTGCTCCCCTTCTGGGCGCAGCGTCACCTGCCCGCGCTTTTTACGCTTTTTTGTCGCGCCGGCCACAGTGGTGCCGACTCGTTGCAAGGACGACGAGGACTTTAGCTTCGGGATGCGCTTGGTAGGTTGAGGAGGCGTTTCGATTTTGGCGGGCGCGCGTGGTCTCTTTGTAGCCTGAACGGGTGTCTCGCCGATAAGCTCTATTTCATCGTCCCCGCCATTACTCAGAAGGGCATCAACAGCGCTGTTCCTTGTCCTGTTCTTTGCCTTGGCGGGCTTTTTGGATGCAGGCGTCGCCCGTGCCGAGCTCGTCACCACCACATCATCATCAGGCGTTGCTTCTCGAGCATTACGGGCTTCAGCCTGACCGACCCGTTTGCCTCTATCGTGATTTGTAGGTTCGCCTTCTACCTGTGACATTTCGCGCGATGAAGTGTCGCGGAAGAACCGCCGATGACGACTTCGCATGCGCTGCTCTTGCGGATCGAGCTCATCGTCATCAGCCGGCCCTTCCTTGTCATAATTTTTGCCATTTTCGTCATTTTCGTCGTCACTGTACTGTAATTTTGGAAAATGCGCAAAGAAAGCCTTCTTCGCTTCGAGCGAGGGTTGTTGCTGTGCCATGCTGCTCAACTTCGTAGGTCAGCACGCGAAGGGGCATGCCCAATTCATTGCAGTCTGCGGGTACAGTAGCTGTTGAAGCTGCAGGTAGCGGTCATTTTTCAATGGGATATGACGCTGTATATCTGTTTCATTGAGATGAAACAAATTTAGGCAGCCGATGTTGTTTGAGTGAGTTGGGTGACATACTGCGAGCTTAAATTCACGGTTACACGACCTAGAACAAGTGGGCCTCCTCATCAACGTTAGTTCACGACAACCAAGGAAAGCTCCCTCGTGACAACACCCACACTAATTATTAATAAGTGCTGAATAGTACATATAAATGTGTTCGATTCATCCGACTCTTACAAGTCATCATATTGACCATCCGCAAGCGGTATGGACCTGCTATATATATATAAAGGTGTAGACAATACTATTATGCAACATGAATAATTATGCGGGCGTGCCGTGGCTCATCCCGATATGATGTCAAGAACAATCAAGGAGCAGGCAAAGACCTGGCCAAGAGGCACATCCTTCAGCGCCAAAGAGGGAAAAAGCAATCCGATGCCGCCGTCCAGGTATAAGAAGAGAATGAGCTCTGGGGATAGTCATCCAGAGCACAGCAAAATAAAACATCAACTCCACCCAATAATAAAAGCAACTCCGAAGTTGCCATTTTTGTCGTCCGCGACCTTATTGTCGCCCCAGAAATGCAATTGTGTAGACGTTGCCAAAGCCGCAGCGTCTTTCAAAGCGAAACAAAACTCCAGTGTTTATATGTAATGCATTCGTATCCTGCTGAAATCATCGAAACGTGTCCGGCTTGATCCATTAGTCCCTCGCCGTAGGTAGGCATCAAGCCGGCAGCCGAGTCTAAGCACCAACAGCAAGTGCTCTCAGGCGCCCAGCAAACGGACTCGTCTGTTCCTGTTTCAGCATGCTTTCGAGGCGTCTGGTCTCACGAACAGCAACCTCGCGCTCCTCTTGCAAGTTCATGACTTCAATCTGTGCGGTGCTCATCTTATTAATCACCTCTTGCATCTCGTTATCGGCATCCGCGAGGGCCTTTTCTAATTCCGCCACGCGGGCACGGAGCTTCTCAATCTCAACTTCCTCTTCGAGGTTCTTGGGAGGAAGGGCATTGCCAGCACGATTAAACATGCTGTTGGCCGGGTTCAGCAGGGAGCCCTTGCGGGGACCAACGATGCCGACGCTGCCACCCTCGTGCACCCGGCGGAGCTGTTCGTTGTGAGCCTCCTTGAGCTTCTTGACTTCGTCCTCGTGATGAGCAACGCGCTCATCGGATGAGGTTTGGGCTACCACTAGCTGCTCTTCCAAACTATGCAAGCGCTCCTGCAGGCCAGCAATACGATCCGAGTTTGCCTTTCGGTCTGCTTCGCTGCGAGTGACGGCGTCACTAAGACGCTGGCGCAGCTCAAAGTTGGTGGCGAGCTGCGAGCGGACCTGAGAGGCAAGCTGCTCGACCCGGGCGACAGACTCACCAAGTTCGTCGGCAAGGGCATGCTCCGAGCCCAGAGTCTTGGACGAGGAGCTGGCCAACTCGTTATACTGGCTCTGAAGGGTGTTGGCGTCGCTGCGGGCTATATCGCGCTCAGACAGAGCAGCATTGAGGGAGTTTTCGAGGCGCTGGAGAGCCTGCTTCGTCCTTTCGTCGCCTGGAACACCGTCTTCGAGCTTCTTGAGGCGCTCAAGAGACTCGTTATACTGGGCCTGCAGTGCCTTGTAGGCATTCTCAAGCTCCTCAGAGGTGACGCTGGCATCAGCAGCGGAGCTCGCAGTGCGAGCGGTGAGAATATCGTTCTCCTTGAGCATGCTGCGCAGGGAGGTGACTTCTTCCTCAGCCCTATCAAGGTCCATCTTTAAGCCACCAAGGCCCTTTTCAACCTGCCACTTCTGTTCCATGGCCTCCTCGGCGCGGCGGCGCAAAACATTGACTTCTGTGCGGAGGTTGGAAATATCCTTTTCGAAGCCGGCCTTTTGGGGCGATTCGGAGAGCAGTCGTTGGCGCTCGTTTTCAAGAATATTAATCTTCTTTTGATTTTCGCGGTTCTGGAATTCTTGGCGCTCCAGCAGATTCTTGAGCGCGCTGTGCAGGGCGTCACGCTGGGCTTCGACGTCTTTTAGACGCTCGGCAAGGGCCTCGCGAGACTCAGCGGGGGCGTTCTTATTGGCAACGCTATCGCTCCTGGAGACGGGCGGTTTCTGGTTTCGAAACAAGGAGTCTGATCTTGAGAGTCCGCCACGTGAAGCAATATCCTCGAGGCCGGCGGCAGAGTCCCGGAGAGATGAGTTCTCCTTTTGTAAGGATTGCAGCTGGTGCTGCATCTTTGTAGATTCATATGTTAAGCTAGCGTGGCTAGCGGCTTCGGCCTCGAGCCCCTCGACTCGAGCGCGCAGCTGAGGAACAATTTCTTCACGCAAATTATCACGCTCACTGCAGGCGTTGCTTAGCTCACCCTTAAGGGCTATGAGCAAGTCCTCAAAGTTGCTCTTGGAGGAGCGCTCTTCAACAAGCTTCCTTCGAAGCTCTTCGCAGGTGTTTTCGAGTTCTCTTAGGCGGCCGTTGACATCCAGATTGTTAATCTCCGCAAGGTCAATCCGAGAGGCTCTCTCGGCGAGCTCCTTGACTTGCTGGTCGAGGGACTTGATTTTTTGGCGCTCATCTTGAAGTTTATTTGTTAGTTCCAGTCGTAGCGATGCCTTCTCCTGTTCGGATCGACGCTGAATCTTTTCAATCTCGTCACGAGATTGGTCAAAATCACTGAGCTTGGCAGAGCTGTAGCCCGAGTCGGAAAAGTAATCGCTGGTGCGCTTGCCACCAGCCTGGGCATTGTTGGCCTGCTCTTGTAGACGGTCCACTAGGTCCTCCAAGTCTATCTCTCGACGGATCGAGCCCGCCAGCTCAGAGCTGATGGCCTTGAGCTCGTCCTCCATTTCTTCTAGATGGATATACGAGGCGGCAACGAGAGGCGGCGGAGTAGAAAGTTGTGTTTCGCAATAGCCGAGTGGGTTGGCGACGGCAGCATTAGTCTTTTGATCTCTGGGTAACGCACTCGACGGCGGCGGACGAGAGGAATCATTTAACAGTCCACCACGGCGAGTAGGGGTCTCTGGTGATGGGATGGGTGAGAAGTCGGCGGCGGTTGGGTTGTTACCGTTGCCCCAGCTAAAGAGGGCAGAAAATGGAGAAATTTGGCCAGGTGACCTTGGTAAAGGTTTGTTCAGTTTGGGAGCGGGCGTAGGAGAGTCTGGGTCCGAAGCGGCGCGATCCGAGTTGTGATCGGAGTCGACAGAAGGTGACGTATCCACAGTGTCCAACTTGAGGTGGGGAGGCGTCGGTTTGGGCGCAAACATGAGAGTCGATGAATCGGTAGTGGTAGAGTCGGAACACTTCCGGTCAAGGCCGTCGTACGAGTCGTGGCGCGTTAGGGGGTTTGCGTGAGTAGCTGGCGAAGAAGCATCCGGGGTGGGCACTGACTCGACCCCTGCGTAGATGGAGAGAACGTCAGAGAGATCGGAGTCAGCGGAGGCTTCGATCGAGTCGGGTTGTAAAACTTGGTCCCGGGATATGCTGCTGCGTGTCTCCAAGGTAGAGGTTCGGGAACGAGAGTGCTGGCTATAGTCTTCCCGGGACCTATTGAGGAAAGAGGACTAGTCAGTAAACGAAAGGTGTCTCAGGATGACGCTCATTCAAGAGCAATGGCATCTAGGATGGGGGAAGTGTTGAATGGAAGAGTCTAGCCCCTCCAAGCAACGGGGCGCTTCCGATACAAACACCGCGACAGAAACTCAGGTGCTTGCCGTCGGGACTGAGAGAAGACATGGTGTGGACGTGAGGTAGGGTCCAGTTGGTTTGAGATACTCACTGGAATGCGTGTAGGCGTCCTATTGGTGCCGCGGAAGGAAAGTGGTAGAGGGTGGGACTGTCGACAGATGTTGGTCGTGCGAAGCGCGTATCAGGCTCTGGGAGACCGATGGTGTGTGACGAGACAGCAGTGGAAGGACGGGTCGTCTCTTGGGAGCTCTCGTAAGACTTGAGCGAGTGGGCGGTTACAGGAGTAGCAGTGGTCGTGGGTGTCGCTGTCGCAGTAGCTGCTCCGTGAGGCAACGGAGGGACGTCTGGGGTGATGACGGAGCTGGCGACGGTTGACGAGGCGGTCGAGGATCTCTGAAACGCAGTTGCCAGGGATGAGGCCGTGGCAGACAACGGTTTCCTCTTGATGGGACTGGCAACGCGAGCAGTGGATGCAAAGAGCGGAGGCACGGAGGAGGAGGAGTGGGAGAGCGAGGAGGTCCGAGGAGGGTGTGAGGAGCGAGACGAGTAGACGCTCGTGGCAGCACTGGCGTTGCTCTCGATAGACTTGAGGCGAGAGCGATGGGGGGAGGGAGTCGTAGAGGCAGACGAGCCGGTGATGGAGTAGCGAGCGTCGTGGTGCGTCTGGGAGTGGGAGGCGTGTCGATGGTGATGGTGGTACTCTGGGAAACGGTGATGAAACTGGTCGTCGACGAGATAGTCTAGCTCGTCGTCTAGCTGAATCGAGGCGGCAGAGGCAACAGTCGGTAGGCTGGCACTGGACGACAAGGGCGGCTGGCGATGCGTGGTGTCGAGCTCGGACGAAACAGAGACAGTGTCAGTGTCAGAGGGGTGCGGGATCGACGCCTTGTGGTGCGAAGCCATGGCGGCCATGGTGTTTCCGGTTTGTGCAAGATGCGGCGTAACATGTACCAGGACGAATGTACTTGGTACTCGGTACGGATATTACCCAGGGCAGTAAGGAAGAGTGTCGCGAGGAGCCCTCGAGGGAGCCAGGCCTCAAGGGAAGCAGAAACGGGGGGGCGTGTGGCGCGTGCGAGGCCTTGGGGCCCCAAGCTATTCGTATTGTGAGTCTTGTCCCAGAACCAGAGTAGGATAGTGCTGGGCAAGTGTTAAATTGGCCATGGATCTACAAGATGACCAGTTGAAAGGATATGATAAAGAAAAGCAGCCAATGTGACCTCGGTGATGATAGCGCCAACGCGAAAAGGCGGCCGGGGGGTGGGACGTGGTTGGAAAGGGCCCAGGGGGGGGGACTTGTTGTCGACAGGGCTGGGAAGGCCCTGGATTTGGGCGGGTTTAATTGGTGAGGGAGGTCGTATGGGAGATGAATGGCGAATGGCGTGCGGAATCTGGATAATTGATGGCAGCCAGTAGTTTGGTTTGGTTTCGTTACCTGACTGGCGACGAGGCTGCGCGGAAAGCAAAAGAGGAAGAAGGAAAAAGGGGGGGAAGGAGGCGCAAAACATGGGTGGTCGATGGTGATTTGGTGATGGCAGCAGCCATTGCCTGCCCGCCAAACCGGAGCCGCCTCAGGCTTCAGGGGTGGTGGCTGCTTTGCAGGGTGCCAGGGGAGTTCGCCGCTGTGTTAGCTCGGCGCTTAGCTCGACCCGGTCTAGCTCAGCCACTAAATCCAGGAACCAGAGCCCGTTGGCACCGATTTGGATGGGGCGCGTTCAGGCCAGAGCAGGTCACCAGCGGTTCTATCACGTGTAACAAAGTACTTCAAATGCCGGCAGCCATCTCAAAAAATAAAAAATAAAAATAAAAACAGACAATACGTTGCTTATTCTCAAGATCTCAGCATGCACATGGCTTTATTTGTTATCCTCAGCTGCCGCCAAGATGCGTGGTTCATGTCGTCAGCCTCCCTAGCCCAGGGTCGTCAGGTACCGGAAACATGCAGCTTCCCCCTGAATCGCTCATCGACCATTGGTGGGTGACGCCTCAGTGGCGGCGACTCAGTAACTACTACAAATTACAAGCACAAGTCCGCGTATCTCGTATCTGTCTTTTATCGACAAAGATACTCGCGTCTTTCCTTGACAATATGTAATATGTATATGTACCACTCTACTCGAAAACGACCCTCTTCGCTTTTGCCACACCTGATACGCGCCCGCTGAAGGGGTACATGTTGCCGCGCGCTGCTGTACTACCCTCTCACATGTACTCCTGAACGTGTCTTTTTCTCCTTTGAGCTTTTCCGACTGCTTTCAAGTCTTGTCTTCCAACAGGTAGTTATCAGAGCCATTGTCGTCTCCTTAGACCCCCACGACCTAATTAAACACCCAACAAGGGGTCCAAAGAACTCAGCTGGAGACCACTATAACTTCTTCTCCACCGCCACTCCCTTCCCCCTGCCCTTTTGCCAGGACGTCGCCTTGCGCCTTGTTATTATTGCCAGTATCGCCGAGTCCATAGCAGGCATCGCTGCTTGGCATAAAACCAAGCTTTTTCTCTCGGACAGTCTCCTCTTTCGCCACACAAATGCAGTCAGCTGCATTCCATCCACCTTTCCCGGCAGCCACTCAACACCTCCTCGTCCTCTGTACTCCGTGCCTCGGCGCTTATCACTGCGCCAATCAGCGTGCCACACGGCTACATCAAGCCCTTTCCTTTCCGTGTTCCTCAAACAGGTCACACCGATGCCACTTCATTGGCGTACAGTGATTTGCCAAAAAAGTTGGGCGGCTGTAAGTCATTCTGGACAATCTCGTGACCCCATCATCCTCTGGCTCGGTAGTTGCCATCGCACATCTCTTCTACCCCGTAGGGTTGCATCTGTTCTAATGAGGTCAAATTTCCCAATGTCTTTGGTTCCTGGTAACTACGCTAAGAGTTGTGGCGTCTGATCCTATCCTTTTGCTTTTTAGTTCCTTGTTGACTTTGGTCCACCTTGTCAACGTGCACCCTTTCGTCAGTGACGCCGCCTTGCATTCGGACAATAAAATCAATAAAATCCGATAAAAAGAAAAGAAAACGCCAGCCAAGTCTACTTCATATCTTATGTCAGCGTCAAGTTTCGGGTTTTCTTGTCAAACTTGCGATTGTTTTAAAGCAGCAGAAAGCACCCTTTTTGTTTCGCCCCTTGTCGCATCATGTCAATCGGAGACACGCCAAACCAATTATCCGGTTGGTTCCGATCCGCTTCAGAATAGTTTTGAGCATTGTTTTGTTCCTTTTCCACTCTAGTAAACAGTCTCTCACAGTCGCTCGCGAGCTACACATCACCTATTATCCATCGCATTATATCCGACGCCGATGTTCCTCGAACTCTCTGCCAAAGTCGTTCATTTCATCGATCGGGGCGGTGCATCCCGGGGTCATCATGAAATTGCACAAACCACGCAGCCCACGTTGCCGAACTTGTCCATGGCCCCCTACCATCAGTAATTTGCCACGAAAATGCAATCCCTGTTCCCCCCCCTCACCGCTTGTTATCGAGTGACTTTCTGCCAGGTTGCCAGGCAATCATTTGTCACCGTTTGTCTGCCAGCTACCTGTTCAGCTCTACTCCAGAACGCCACAATCGAAGCCACGCCCGCCTCCCCTCACATGTGCGTCGAGGTCAAGGAAATAAATCCGTAGATCGGGGGAAGATGCTCGGATGTGCAGCTACATACTCTGCCAGTACTCGGTACATGTTCTAAGTCGCGCCTTGTATTACTGTTGTTCGGGCAGTATGAGCTGATAAGTAGAATGCCAGAAGACTATGAGACGCCCTGAATGAACCACGAAATGAGAACGGCCACTATAACTCTCTGGTCAGATCTGCTGCCATCATCTCTCGTCTCTCATACAATATGCCACGACGGATAATTGAGCCTCCTGTAGAGACGCCCGCCAGTGCTCAACTCATCGCCATGCGAGTCCAAAGTTGCTCTCGTCATCACAAAATTGAAGCAGTTCCAAGCGTCCAGTAACAGTTAATGGTACTCCTTCAAATTCAATATTACCTATTCTAAACCAAGTTCAAGACCCAAGTATGTAGCCTCATGCCCATCCAAAACTATTACAAACACCACCCACGTCACAAAAGCCGCTTCACGACATCAATCCTTATCCAAAATGTATTCAAAAAACAGTCCAGTCATCTTCAGAAACACGACAAGCCATTGGCTGCATATTGCCGACATTGCGAGCATCGTACTACAATACCAACTTGTCCTTGGCCAACAGGCCCCAGCTGCCGCCGCAGGAGCACTTTCTCTGCTGCGCCACCACGTACGTAACGCCCGGGCGGTTCGAGGACACGTCTTCCATGACCGCCGGGCACCGGACGCACCGCCGCCATGGCTTGACCGCCAGCGTCGCGCTCGGCCGGAGCTCGACGCGCTTGAACACGTCGTAGTAGGAGCCGCCGCGCGCCGCCCGCGCCGCCAGGCTGCACGCGTCGTCCTGCACGCCGAGCGCTGCGTAGTCGGCAAAAAAGAGCTGCGCCGGGTCCGTCTGCGCGCGCATTGCCCGCAAGTCGTCCATCAGAAACTTCTTGATCAGCGGCATAAACGCCGGCGGCACCTGCCGCGACACCAGCATCACCATTTCCATCTGCGCCTGCGACGACCGCACCATGTGGTCAATCTGCTTGCCCTGCGGCGGGTGGCTGCTCTGCTTGAGCAGCGCCGGCAGGTACACGGCGTATGCCTGCTTGACGTCGTGGCCGAGCGTGTTGAGCATCTTTTCAAACTCGCCCACGGGCACCAGGCTCGTGCTCGTCACCCGCTGCATCCGCTGGTACGCCTGCTGCAGCTGTCCGCTAGGCAGTCGCGCCACTCCGGACTGCTCCGCCTCGGCCGCCTCCTTACGGTAGAATTCTACGGCGCGGAAGCTGATACCGTCCAGGTGCGCGATCCGACGGCACATGGCCAACAGGAAGCTGCGCGTAGATGAACACAGCAGCACATGCAACGCAACATCATTGCGTTCTTGCAGATACTCCGCAGCGGTAGAGAGCTTGCCGTTTAAATGTTGCACAAACGTTTCGTCGCTCATCAGTTCAAACAGGCAGTCCAAAATCCACGCAAGTAGATCGATGGACCACTTGAGCTCTCCGGCTAGGGCTTCCACCACCTCTATGATTCGGTCAGAATGTGTCAATGGCAAACACGTGTTGTACGAAATAAAAGACTTGCCTGGTTCATCTAGGGGTGACACCTTGTCTCTGGCTTGTAACGGTGTATTGCATGCGACCGTCGTGAGAATCACGATGATGCGCACATTCAAGAAAACGTTGGCAAACTTGCTCTGGAACGATCGAGGCGCAAGCTCTCCTTTGAACCCAAGGCTGTTCATAATACTCATACACGCATGGAGCGAGTTGTTGCGCATAAGTGACTCATGGTGGCTCTCCTGTGAATAGTCGACTTGAATCTTCAGTATTCGGATGAGTTCTTGGATCCAGTCTTGTGTAAACCTTTTCTTGTCCGCCAAAGGGTGCGCAATAGCCAGCAAATCGTCAAAGTTGGCTTGCGTATGAACGCAGCCCGCGGCGGCAATTGAGAGTCCAGCTATACTGGCGCAGTATACGCCGTCGTTGTTGGAGTCTCCAATATCGCCTTGCGCGTGCTGCAGCTTGCTCCATTTCAGCTTGCCGTCGTCACCTATCTGGATCATGGAGCATTGTGTAGGCGAAAAGGCAGCTTGATAGCAGGGTCCCTCCTCGCTAAAGGCCCAGCCAGCCTCCCGGAGATTCATTATTCTGGACTCATTGGTAGTTGTATATAGCTCTTCAAATGTGAAGCGGTCTCTGTGCTCGACTGACCCGTCAGACATGATGAAAACCAGGGCCTTGCCATACTGAGAAGCTTGCACGCCAATAACAGTCTTGTTGATTGTGATTGGGTCCAGCCGCTTCAGCCGTGTAGAAATAGGCAGCTCTTGAATGTTGGAGACGCTGTTGCGACGACTTCCAATTTGTTCAAATGCTGTCTGTATTGCTGATTTCTGCTCGGCACATTCCCAACGATCTATAACCGTCTGCATCATCTCGAAGCCGCCAACGCCAGATGAACGAGCCCGAACGCCAATTATGAGTGGGAGGCCAGCCTTCCCGCCGTTATCGATGATGGAAGGCAGAGCTTGCAAGGTCGTGAATTCGGGCAATGAGGGCTCGTCAACCATCTGAAGCCAGTCGATGGTAGCCAGGTGATCCTCCACTAGTGACGGATTCAATCGTGCCGTTTGAGAAAGCTGCGTCTTCTCTTGCACCGCGCCGGGCCCAGCCCACTGAATCTCCAGCTTGATGACTTTGAGTTTTTTTGTCGCTGTCGTGACAACAATAATGATGTATTCTGTCGAGTCAGCAAGTCTCTTCAAAAAGCGAGGCGCTCCAACTCACTCTTGTCGGTAGCCAGTGACGCATGTGTAACCAGCTCATCGGAAGAACAGACGCTCTCCAGCTCCATTGTCGTCTCTTCTATTCTACCATTGTTTTGACTCCAGTACATCTTTAACAAGCCACCCATGGTGACGCAAAATAAGGCGCTCTTGGACATGTGCGGATGATGGGGGCCGATTGCGTGGACGAAAGAGCTCTCGTACTGGTACACTCTATGCGACTTGGACGGTTTAGTAGCTGGGCCGTACTGAATATTAAATGGTTTCTTGAAGCCGTTAGATATGATGTAGCATGTATCATTTCCGCCGCTTTCAACTAACCTGTGATAAAGGAGCCACCGGCAGCCAGTGACATCCAACAACGACATTCATGTCGTCGACAGTATCGGCATCCCACTTGCGATTAACGTAGGCATTGTTCAAGGAAACCGGGAAGTTCATAATCATGACACGCCCTACCGAGTCAAAGACGGCAAGATCGGGCGCTGTCGTAGGACTCCACTCCAGGTGCACGAGAGGATTGACGACGCTGCCTTTGACAAGATCCGTCGTGGTAGGTTCGCTCAGATTCCAGACACCATTCGATGGGTGGGCGCGAAGCATGCGCAGTTCCAGGTTCATCCCATCAGGGCTAATAGACGCAATATTACCTGCCCTAGACCAGGCGACCGTTCTGGGACAGTGTCAGCTGGGATGCGCCATGCGAGAGCGGAGGGGAAGATGGGCGCGTACTGGCAACATCCGCGATTTCGCAGCTCATCTAGCCGTTGATACAGATGCCGACCTTGGGTCTTGGGCGGAATAGATAGGGGCACCTCGTCCCCGAAAAGGTCTTCCACGCCGCCGAGGCCGACGGGCATGGCGGTATCCAGCATCATCGGCATCCTGTCCAGTTGTGGGATACTAGTCGCGAATGCAAGGGATGGCTTGTGGCTTCTCCCGCATCCTTCTTCCGGCGCCGATGAACTACGTACGAAGCCCTCGTTTGCAGGTTTGACGTACGAATATGATTTTTTTGATGAAATGAGGAGTTAGGGGAGTACCATGAGATGGTTGCGCAACTGATGAAGGCAGTTTCGACCACGCGCTTGTCGAGTCCGCGCTGTACCTAGAATAGGTAGTACCGTACCAACCGCCGGCAAAACCACGGGCGGCTATTTCAGCCCGCTACCCTATGTTGTATTGATCTTTGGCAAGAGGTTCCGGAAGGCCAAGGGGAGTGCTAGGCGTATTTTGTTAAAAAGTATTGCTTCGAGAAGTACTGTGAGCTCCGAGATCTACACATTTTTCTGGTCCCGCTGCTGTTGCCTGGTTGTCAAGGGGTGACGGTTGTTGAATCACTTCTACTCACCACCTGGGGCATACCAGTGCTTCCTGCGATGCCCTTGTCAGGCAGCATTTCTTTTTAACATTTCTTTTTAATAATATTGGGGTCATTTTATAATTTTAAACATACTGTAGAGGGCTCATGACATATTGCAAACGGGTTGACAACCTTGCACGATGCCGAATAACATATATGCACACGCAGTAGGTCATTGGAGGTGTACACATGTGATCGCCGGAGTGCTGTAAAAAAAAACAGCATAGTATACTAGACGTGTCTATGCTCTAATGCGATAGTAGAGCAGAAATAGTACTTGATACGCTGTCTTCTTGCGGATTCCTCACTAGGAAACTACCGACACTCGAAGAGCAAATAGCTCTAGTTTATCTAGTGGAAAATAGCCTTGTGTATTATGGAATTGCTCTTGCGTCAAAAGAATAAAACCTGCACAGTCAAGTCATCCCGTACATCTCGCGAAAACGGCGGACGATACGCGAGCCTTGCTCTCAGCAGCTCCTGGTGGTTGCCGCCGCACGCGTTGCGCAGGATATGCACCGCAACATTGTCCAGATCCTCAACCACTCCCCTCTCCTCGCGGAAGCGAATATCAAAGTTGTTCCAGCGCTCCAAAAAGTCAAACCCCGGCGGGCAGTGCGCCTCTGCCGGCGGCGGCGGCGTCTTCTTCCACCACACCGTGTCGGGGGTCCTCGTCAGCGTCATGCGCATCGCCGCGAGGCTGCTCTCGGGCTGGGCCTCGAGCCAGCGCACCACGAGGTCCACCACCTCGTAGTTCTCGAACTGGTCCCAGATGCCGTCCGACGCGACGACGAGCACGGCCGGGCCCTCGTCGCGCAGCCGGGCGACCGTCACGACGGGCCGCGCGATGAGGTACGGCGGCGTCGGTGTCCGCTCCCGCCCGCCCACGGGGCCGCAGTGCAGGAACCGCCGGCCAAACTCCTCCTGCTCCTCGCGCCGCGATTTCCAGCGAAAGTTGCCAAAGGCGCGGGAGACGGCCAGCCCCAGCACCCGCCCGTCCTTGAGAACGCCCTCTTCGTTGGGATGCTCCTCGCGCAGTCGGGCCGCCTCGGCATCATTCGCGCACGTTTGGTCCTCGGAGAGCGCCACGGGCAACCACGTGCCGTCGTACGCCTGATACCCGAGAACAGCTCTCGAGTCACCCGTGCACGCTGTATACAGCGTCTTGGTGTTGGGGTTGTAGAGCACAAGCAGCGCGCACGACCCAGCCATGGCCACCTCCATGTAGGGCACCTTTTGCTCGAGCGTCATGTCCTTGCTTCGTGCGTATGCAACGTAATTATTGATTATGGAGTCATCAAGCTCGGTAAACGCCGCTTCGATGGCATCCTGGATCGATGCGTCGGTTCGTGAGGCGGGTTGGAGCTTGTTAAGTTTGGCTTGCACCCAGCTCAAGAGCTCCTTCTCAAGATGGTCCGCGGTTTGCCATCCATAGTGGCCATCAAAAATCGTAACGCCAACCCAGGTCTCCTCGCCTTCCCAGAGAGGAACTGGCTGGGCGCGATTGTAGCGGTCTTCACAGGGACTGTTGGACGGCAGTTGAGCGCCATCAGCTCGTTTGACACCGAGAGCATCTAGAGAGACCGAGTATGCATCTTGCGAGAGCTTGCGCCGAATGTCGTCGTCTTCAGACATTTGCAACTTGGAAGCCATAATAGTAGCCCCTGGTGGATGAGACTCGGGGGAATTTTTCGACTTGAGAATCGGTTGAGATGTGAGCCAACAAGGGCACTGCTGTGTGTGTAACGTTTGACCCGTGTCAACCCGTGATATGTTCGTACGAGGCTGAGCAAACCAAAATTTCCCTCGTGACAGCAGCTTATAATTCGAGGATATGTGAAACTTGTATACTAATTTATAATATAGATGCTTCTTTTTTCCCCGACCTCGCCCTCTGGGAGTACGCATTTTCATCTTTTATCGAGCCCTGGAAATACACCCTTGGCATGTGCGTCAGGCTGGAATTTGCGAGCAAATAAGAGCGCAATCCTTGATAGTTGTAAAAATGCTTGATTGACGCTGAGCGGACACCTTCACACCTCTGCCAAACCCGCCTCTATCGGCGCCGAAGAAGCGACTACGAGAAGGCAAGGCTCCGATGGGTATTTGACGTTTCTTTTTCATCATTGTTTCTCTTTATATAATGGTTGCGAGATTAATATTGTAGGAACTAGTGCGAGAAGAGTCGAATATGGCAAGAACATATGCCCAGTTCTGGTTTATGCATCGCGCGACCGACAGCACTTTGGCAGCAGCGTTCCCAGAAGACGGCAAGTTAAACCAGACGATGGGAAGACGGAAAACTCGAAGAAAGAAAGAATCAGAAAACTGGCCAAGGAGTGAGTTGATGGCATCTGATGAGCACCGAGCAAGCAGAAAGGCGTTTGTCGCCACCAGCCAGCCAGCAAAGTCCAAGGGTTCTCGTGAGCGGAGGTTTGTGAGAGTGAGAACACTATGTACCATGCCGGGTTCTACTCGAGATTTAATTAGAAAGCCACCTGACGTCTCTTACGTAGTTATTCATATGGAAATAATATTCGTAATACTGCATAAATTAGCATGTTCCAGTGCCATGGAAGAGTTCCAGAACAAACGGAGCATGAGTGTGGCCTAATTATCCTCAACAGGGGTTTCTGTTTACGAATATAGATAAAAAGTGTTGGCACTTTGAGCTACGAGCCAAACGAAAGGGCCAGGGGTTGATCCCGGGTCTTCATCTCAGCAAGAGAGCCAGGGATGGGATGGTGGTGCAGTCGGCACCACCCTTGCAAGTTGTGGTAACTATCAGAGTAAGAAAGAAGCACTGCCGATCTTATTCAGGGGAACAAGTATTGTGTATGGAAGAGCCGAAGACTCGGTCTCGATGGATCAAGTCCGAACAGGTCGTCAACGCTTCAACGAAGGGGGCTGATGAAGACGCTTCTTCGCCCAATTGGTAGAAAATAACTAGAGCCATGCGGCTTGATAAATAAAATCAAAGACATGATCAATTGCCCGAGCTAAAAATAAGTCGACAGAGAACCAAGAGGAGGAGCTAGGTCTCACTCGCGGCCGTTTCAAAGTCAGACAAAGTAAGGCCAGCGGCCAGCATATCCCTACCTCTCTGCGATCCAAGGCGCGGCAGCGTCGCATCCTCGACTGGTTCGATGCCGGTGAGTCCTCGGGAGGAGGTGAGGGGAGAGAGTCTCCCCTCGCTATCGGTATTACAACTCTTCCTCGGTACATGGACGATACGGGGTCGCGTAATGGATCGCTGGAGAAAAAAGGCCCTGTTTTTCTGCAATATAATACTGGTAGTAGTGATTGTGGGCGCCGCCACTAATGCGGAGTGATGCGAGGTTTGATGCGAGGTTCTTCTGTGTGTCGGAGATAAAACGCGCATGTGCATTCTGCAGGTTGGGATGTGAGCTGGCCAACCAAGTCTCTATTACGGTTCAAAATGACAACATGTGTAATCAAAACGAGTACATAAACAATGTAATCAACGTCTTCTATTTATGGGCATGTGGTCTATTCGCCAGCATCTCTTTCTTCCAAGTTGGTTACCAGGCGACCGAGGAGGCGATCCCACAACATGATGCATGATGCATCCCCAGTCCCAGCTGGCTGGCCTCGTTTCCCTCACTCACCGCGCGAAAATTGGGACGACATGGGGGAGCACAGGGTCGAGGACCAGGGGCGGAAGGTGGTTGAGTGGGCGCCGCCATCCTTGGCAGCGCGAGAGGGAACTCGGTAATTTGGGGCGGTGATGCTTCCCGATAAAGAGACAACCAGCAAACAAACCATGAATATGCACGGAAGCTTCTGCCACTGACATGTAGTAATATGGTGAGAAGTTGCCTTCATCTTGGTGTCGCCGTTTTGGTGTCACCTTGCACACGTCGTTGCGAGGCTTGACGGGACGAGGCGGGCCATGTGGCTCTTGTGGCGGCGCGGGCGAGGGCCATCTGTGGTACATGGCGTCTGCTAGTTGTGAATAGCTGCGCTTTTCGGAAAACAGGAAAAGAAAAAAAGCAGCATCATTCACAGGTCGGTCGGTTGGAAGGTTGGAAGCGCCCCCTTTGGCCATGGTGCAATGTCGGTTCATGCCGGTCGGTAACTGACTAGTTTGGCGCGAGGGAAACCTGAAACGCACCACGGCAGATGCAGACAAGACATGACGGGTTGGCAGCGAGGGGAATGCCAGAGCCGAAACTACAACCTTCCGTTAGTTAGCTAGGTAGGTAGGTCAGTCGATGGGCATTCTTCCTGCAGATGGGCATCTGCATGTGCCGAGTTGAAGAATCAGTGAAGAGAAAAGAGCAGCGACCCGCTCCGTACGCTAAGCTACCTTTGTCTTTCCCCTATTACACATTTCTTTGGTACGGAGTAGATAGTGTTGTTGACTCTCTTCGAAGCTTCCTTGTCTTGCTCTAGTTATGACTATCAGGAGAACGGTTCGGACAGCGAGGTACCCGTGCTTCGAGAAGCGTTCCATCGGTGACAAGGTCAGTGAATAAATTAGTTAGGTACCTCCCTCTTAGGTAAAGGACGGTATTCATCTGGGCGCCACAAGTGATCAGCAAAGCCACCGAATCCACACAATCTACGGAGCCGGAGCATAATTTGTATGGTACGGATACTGCTAACTAATTCCAGGCCGTAAAAAAGGGGCGCTCTCTTCCAATCTGTTCAATCTCCACCAGCCGTACCGATTAAGGAGTGGCCATATCTATTTTGGCCTGGTCAATGGAGCACGAGATGAGCAACTCGGCCGTGTCAACACTTCGCAGCTCGGCGCCTGGCCAACTGGCGCACCCTGGCAGGCTCTTGTGGCTCTTCTTGTCTTGAAGCACATACACGAGTCTCGCCCAAAACGAGTGGTTGCAGTTCGGGCGCCCCGCGACGAGGGCCAAGGCTCGCGGGCTGTCGTTCCATCTTGGTTAGAGCTTCCGTCGCTTGTTGTGTGAATATGTTTGTCATGATTTGGAACCTGGGGCGGGTATTGTGATTATCCCCGTTGTCATGGAATTCTTCTAGTTACCACCTTTCGTTTCCTCTTTGCTGTACCGTGAATCATAAAGTGTAACATACCATCAACGTCTCAACGCCTGCCAAAAAAAAAAAAGCTGCTCTCGAACCCTCACCATCAGCCCACGTTTAGTTTGCAAGGGTCTTCCTTGGCTAGCGGCCGCGTTCCTGCATCAGGTTCGTGGTATTTTAGGCGAGCGCGAGAGAGAACGGCAGTTTTCTGTCACGGGTTTCTGGACAACGGCGTTTGCAGCATGTACAAACGGACGCGACCAGCCACCGTCGAGACCATGTCGCCGCCCGCCAGTCGCCTCTCAGCATCATCGCGTGTTCCTCCTGCAAGCAGCCGGATCCGACGCCATCGAGGGACCGCGAGGACCAACCATCATCACCACCACGACCACCGCCAGCACGACAAGACCATGACGGCCGCCAACGACCGCGACGACCCCTTCTACGGCGTCGTCGGGCCCACGACGAGAACGAGACGAGCGGCCACCACGACGATGATGAGAAGCGACACCGACAGCTTCCACCGCAGTGTTGGGCGCTCCAATCGGCACTCTCTGCTGCCTTTTCGCCACGTCTCGAGCTCCTCCGAGGACGACGGCAGCTACCACCGCCACAGGCGCCTGCACCAGGGTCTCAAGCTCCTCGAGCGGACGCGGGGCCGGAGCATCAACTGCATCGGCGACAGCGGCGGTGGGTGGCGAGGGCATCGCTATGCACGGAGTCAGGCGTCGCAGGGCTCGGGCAGCGGCACCGATGGCCACTCGCCGTCCGAGTCGACGACGTCGTTTCCGGTCATGACAAGGGAGGAATTCGAGGCGTTGCCGCCAACGATACAGAGAAAGGTGAGTGGCAATTGCCTTTTTTATTCTGTCTTTGCCTTATTCCCAGTTTGGACGGGTTTTGAACGAGGACCACGACAACGAAAGCGACAAGACGGACGTTTATTCTCCCATCATCAATTGGGCTGGCGTGCTTCTCCTGCCGAGTGGTTGGAAAGACAAGTGTTGAAAAAGAGCAAGCCAGACATACGATGAAGAGCAAGGGAAATACAAAAAGGAAAATGATGTGACTACAGCTTGTTTCAAATATCGACCTGGCTTGTGGCTTCAAGGCGGCCACGAGCAAACACACAGACAGACACTCGCAGGTGACACGTCCCTTCAAGTGACACTAGCGAGCGCCCATGAAGCAGAATCGTGGCACAGGAAAGCGTTGCATGTGGCACAGTGACAAGTGGTTCACGCAAAACTGATTCAGTTGTCGAGCGAAAAAAAGAAAGACATGACCGACCCCCAAAAAGCAAGCAAGAGGACAAGTCTTCCCTTTGCGACTATTTCTTCATTCAACGCGCAAGTGCCGGAGAAGAAGCAATTGTCCGCCATGGCACCTTGCCCCTTCTGCCTTGTCTGGCGCTTTTGCGAATTCTGCAGAATATAGCAATATGCGCCAGCAAGGGCTTCCAAGCCACGGCGGCATGTCCCCCGTTTTGGTGGCGATGCGTCGGATGGGATGGTAGGTAGGGATGCGCGCGATGGGGGTGGAGGATAGCAAGGGTCGTCGCGGGGCTCGCATTCCAATATTCCAACCCGACCTTGGCCATGTGTTACTTGGCCGAGTCTTGTCAAAGTTGACAGACTTTGTGTCAAAAGTTGTTGGCTAATGAAGCAAGGGAGCAACTCTGTCGTCTCGATCCCTGAGCACGCAAACTTGAGGCTGCCGAGTACACGTGTTTGACGAGGCATACGCAAAGCAAATATGCTGCAGCCACGGAGGTGCTAAAAAAAAAGGAAGGATGACGAGCAAGCACCGCATGACGATCCAGAGTTGGTAGCAGGGGTTTAACTATTGCTTCTTCCCTCCAGTGTTAAACCTGTCAGCCACACCACGCCAGTTGGACGCCAGTTGGACGCCGCGTGTGTGGGCACGACCATGGCTGGCGGCCATGCGTTGGCAGGCACAGACTAGTTACGGTGACACGGCAGCTTGCAGAATGCATTCCACGAGATCGTGCCCATACCATATGCAAGACCGGATGCAGGAAGCCCTGGTGCGGTCGTTGTTGCAGCCTCGCTCTGTTGCTCTCTCGCTTTTTTCTTTTTTCCCCTACCTTCTGCCCCAGTCGCCCGCCACATGATGGTTCGCGTATCGCTGTCCATTCCAGGAAAAGAGACACTCTCACTTACTGTGGAGGTGGTGGTTTCTTTTCTTTTGCCGCGGTTCTGCTCGCCTGCTTCTTCGAGCAACTTCACATGTATTCAAGTACGTTGTTCGGCCGAATGAGCTTCCCCCCTGCACTCAGCAACAGCCACTTCTACAATATAAACAGAGGAAAAAAATCGCCAAAAATTCTGTCCCGCTCAGTGGCGGCAGGCACTTTTACTGTCCTTATTTACTTTTTTATTCTCCGACTACGGCTTCCTCCCAAGTGGCTCCGCAAGGGTTGCATCGATAGTAAACCATGCTGTTGCACTCCCCGTGGGGCGGGGGCCACAGGGGGCCGAGAGCCTTGGCGTTCACTGAGAAACGGGAGCACGGTACCTGGAGCTACCTTGGGGTTAGCGCTGAAACGGGCCTTGGCTGCTCTGTGATGGCGGTCGACTAGTGCTGCAGCACTGTACTTTCAGGTACTCGAGCACCGTTTGCCAGCTCTTCCCCCGCTGTAACTGGAGTACCAGACAGCACTACCCCCCCCCATCACCGCCATTTCCTGGCTTGGCTAGACTGCCCTGTACAGCCTGGAAAAGCCTCACCTATTCGCGGTATCCCATCCCTCCACCACCAATGATCCTCTCTCGTTCCTGCGTCGAGACACACCATTCCTCTTGCACCCCTGGGCTTTCTGTTTTATATTGCAGACACGCATGCCCATATATCGCTTTTTTATCCCTGTTCTGTTTTTCGTTGGTGTCCTTTTTTGTCCTCGTCTCCCCCACGAGCCCGTCCCGCCTGCTCTCTCTCCTTCCCTCTTCTCCTTCAGCCAGCCTCTGCAAAACACCAATCTTGCGCACCCGACAAATCCCATATACTGACCATTGGCTCTCCTCCCTCGCCAGTACTTTTCTACCCTCGAGCGTCTTCGCTTCGCCCAAGACACCGACCCTGAAGCCTCGGACGCTACGCCCTCGGCCTCGTTCGACAATCTCCCCAAGCTCCAATCTAATATCAACCCTGCCGCCAGCACGACTAACGCTCCCTTGGCCGCCGCCTCCTTCGCACCCAGACCACTCCTAAACAACCACCACCAGCCTGTTCGTCTCACCGTGCTCTCCAAGCTCCCATCCGAAGCTGTTTGCCCCCTCGCTGCCGCCTCACTGCCCCAAAGGCGTCCCAGGTCCGCCCTGATTCGCCTGCACTCGAGCCCGGCCCTTGACCAACTCGCCAACACCTCCACCAAGCTCGGTGGCATACTACATAATAAATCCGGGAACCGTCAACAGCCTGCAGTCTCTCCCCGACAGAGCGTTATCTTGGATGCAACTGACGAAGCCCTGATTAAGCGCGGAAAACGACAAGCCCACCTCACCGCCCGCCAGTCCAAGGGCCACTTACACCGTGCCGCCTCGTTCGATACACTCTCCCGCAGGATGCATTCCCGCGCCAACGACGCCGCCTGGATCGACGGCCGCCTCAAGGAGACGGAAGACTCGTTGTACGACAGCTTCCGCTGGCTGGAAGACGACATTGACCTACGGCTCGACCTTAATGACTACCACACTGGTCTTCACGAAGACGTCCCGTACCACAAGGACCGCCCGGCTTCCTTTCGCCGCAAGCTCTCCATTTCATCCAAAGTCACCTTTGGCCGTGCCTCGTCTACGCTGAGCCGTCCTACCACAAAGGACGGCTCGACACCATTTGGTGGCTCCATGCTGTCCCTCCACAACCCCTCTTGCAACGGCCATGTCCGCCGACGTTCCCGTGCCCTCTCCCTCATGTCCGCCACCAAGCAGCCGCCTGCCGAGGTCACGACGGCCGCGTCGCCGCCGCCTGCCATGGACCCTGCCGCCCACTACCAAGACCCAGAAGCCCGCATGAAGCTCCGCGTCTACCTCGCCTCGCCGCACAAGTTTGACGAGGCGGTCGAGTTTGGATTCCCTTCGACCGAGCAGCAGCCCCCCAGCCCAACCACGCCGCCCAAGCGTGTTGACTCGCTGCCTCGCAACGCCGACCGTGGCGCGCACCTCCGCATGCAGACCGTTGTTGAGGACCGGCGATGCTCGCTCTATAGCGATAAGACGATTGCGACGGAACCCGACTCGCCTCGCACCCCCGACACTCTGGAGAAGCCGTCGGTGCCATTCGCCACCCCCGCTGCCGACCAAGATCGCGAAGCAGCGCCCAAGATTGACTATACCCAGGCTCATGCGTACTCGCGGGAGATGACGCTCCGCATGACGCTGACGCGACCGGACCTGCGGGCCAATGAGAACCTCATGTATGGCTGGCAAAAGGGCGCACCCCCAACCCTGCCGGACGCACCGCACTCGCCGCCCGCGCCGAGGTCAGAAGACGAGCTCAAGAAGGACAGCATTGAGCGACAGCTGGCGGCCATTGACCAGGAGAACATGCTCTACCCAGAGCGAAGCTCCATGAAGCGCCTCTGGAACCGCTTCCGCCGCACATGACTTGGAAATTCCATTTACGCAAGCCAGTACACGCACATTGCTCCAATATTTGCACCATTTTGACGCACGGCCAACAAGACACGCCAACACACACATGGCATGACCACCCCTTTCTAATTATGCAACTGGAAAGCCTTTCTTTTTTTTATACCTTGCACTTGAGCGCGCCGTGTTTGGAGAAGCATCGTCTCTTGTTTTTTCTCTCATATAGCTTTATTCCCCCCTTTCTGCTACTTTTGAATCTTGCTTTATTGTTTCACACTCATTCAAACTACATTGGGCCGGTATACGTATTTTTGTCCTTTTTTTTCATTATTATTTTGCGGCTAACGACATTGATGGCCTCGAGTGTTTTTTTCGTTTTTCTGTTTTTGTTTTATACCCCACTTTCTGTGCATGATCTATATAATCTTTCTTTCACTTTTTGTTCACTGTCGTTGCCTTTTTGAGTTGTTTCTTGGTAGTCAAGGCGTCGAGGGAAAGAGTTGCTACACAATGACAAGCTTTTTTTGATACACGGGGTCTGGCATGGTGATGTGATGTGGTGTGCTGAAACTAGGTGAATGAATCATGCATGCACTCAACTGACAAAGTTTGGAATGCAATGTCGAATTCTAAACTGTCATGAACGGGCAAACCGTTGTTATCGTCTAGGGTCCCCCCATGTTGAGATGAAACGGCCCGTAGCCCGATTCTTGTTTCTTTCCACCCCCAAAGCGCTCTGACACGTTTCACGAGTCCCCGATGGAGGGAGGGTGCAAGGCAAAGCCCATTCTCTTTGTGCGAACGGATCGAGCCGGGGGCCGTTCCGGGCGGGGGGGGCAAGGACCGGGTAAAAAGAAGAAAGAATGTATTTCTTTCTTCTTTTTTGTTTCGACATTTTGTTTATGCGGCGCGCCCAATTTGGAATGCAAGGGGGTTGGTTCAACAAAGGGCATTTCACGACCTGGTGTGTGTGTGTGTGTGTGCGTCGAGGAGGACAGCTACATATGCAACGTCAGATGACCCGACCACCTTGCAGCAGCCTCGAGTCAAGCCATGCACGTCAGCGAAGGGGGGGCGAGCGAGCATCAGAGCATCGGATCAGTATCGTACATGTGCGGACCTTTGGGGGCTGGGACAGGGTCCAAGCACTTTGCAACCGTTTGCTTAGAGAAATTGATTCGGGGGGGGGGGGGGGGGGAACAAAAATAGAAACCATACAGCATCTGGACGGGACTGAGCCATCTTGCTTGGAATAGAAAAAAATAAATCAGAGAAAAAACCACCTCGTGGCTCACACCCGCCATGTTGGTGCCGGCTCTGGCTTGGACCATTGACCCTTGTGCAGACATGAGCAACTACACCACTATGGGATGCAATGAGAAACAAAATGAATCTTCTTTTTTGCAACAGCTGTCCATTAGTGATCATGACATTGACTCCACACAGCTTAAACTCGAAAAGAAATGCTCATTCAACGCTTCATACAAGAAAAAAGAGACAAAAAAAACCATTGTTGGTCTACTGTGTACACCTGATCGACATCGATTCCCCCTACAATATACCACATCTATACATCCTCGTCACTGTCCTCGCCCAGGAGTTCACCGTCGTAGTCTTCGACTTGGGAGTAGCCGCTACCGCGGGCAAAGCTCTGCCGTGTCGTGAAGCGGCGGTTCCAGCTGCGGCCGGCACCGCCACCACTGCCGACGACGGTGCGCCACACACTGGCGCCGAGGACAGGCAGCGCGGCAACCACGGCCGCCACGGCCGCAATGGCAATGACAGGGTACTTGATCCACGGCTGGTCGCTGTCAAACGTCGACGACGATTCGCCCAAGCGGATTTGGCCAAACTTGCCGGACCAATTGCGGTACACGTACCAGCCGACCGCGGCCGCCGCGGCAATGGGAAGCAACACGGCAAAGAGAATGGCCACCGCCGACGTCCGGTGCTTCTTGGCCACCTCGCCCTCGTACCCTGCGCAGTCGTGCTCCGTCGATGTCTTGTCAAACTCTTTGCCGCCCTCGCATGTCGTAAGCTGCAGCCGGCGATAGCCGGTGGGTTCAAAGTACGTTGTGGCATTGTACTTTTCACACCACTCTTTGCCAGACAGCGGCTCGAGGCCGTCGACCAAGGCGCACTGCCCGCTGCTGTCCATTACAAAGTTGTAGGCACTACAATAACTTGTTAGTATGCATACTCTCTACTACGCCATCGGGCACATACCATTCGTAGTCACGTCGGGTGCAGGCGCAGTTCTCCTTCTTGTATAGACGCTGGAGATCCTGGTCGTTGTAGCACTGTCGGTCCGTCTTCTTGCGCAAGTATTTGGCAACGTGACCAAACACACAGTCATTGTCTAGCATGGGGTGTTTTGGAGACCAAAGGTCGTAGTCCGGGTCGCCTCCCTCCTTCCCAAGGCTGCCGAGCTTGCAAGGTTTGTCGGCAAGGCCAGTAAAGTCCATGTTGACAGTAAATAGTTTGCCCGATTCTGACCTGCACCAGAGAAGAAAGTTTCGCGAGGTACCAGAAGACAGCGTGGTGATGTCGAGCACCGTCACCTTGTCATCTGTAAACTTGTAGTCGGTCCATGTCTTGCCCTCGTCGGTCGAGTACGAAACCATGTTAGTAGTGGCCTTATTATCGTGAGTGGCACGTTCCACGAGCACAATGATAGATCCTTGGTCACCATACTGCCATGTCCAGTGCCCCTTCTTGACATTATGCCAGGTAATACCGCCATCGGCAGTCATGAATGTGTCTGCGTCTTTGATATCACCGAGAATCGGGCCAACATTTCCGATGCCAAACATGAGTCCGACAGCAGTTACGGCGGCAAATGTCTTGCGTTTGTCATCGCGTTCTGTATAGTGGTGAATGTGGAGAGCGCAGGAGTTGTCGCCGTTGGAGCTACTACAAGAGTACGATTTGCCCTCAATGTCCTTGCTGGGAGGAGCAAGATAACCCCATTCCGCACCATCATTGCGTGAAATCTTGGATTGGAGCTTCTTGGTCTTTTCTCCTTTGCCAGGGTTGGTAACAACGTTGATCAACTCGAATCCTTCCAAGCCTGCAACCTTTTCGAAATCAGCATATGGTGTATCGTCACAGTTGACATTAGAGGCGCTGAGCACAAATGAAGTGCCGTTGGAGTTGCTCTTGATGATCGAGCCATATTGGTGGTCTGCACCGTCATCCGTCTTGACAAACATATTCAGGGCGTGAGTGGAGCTGTCCAGAGCAGTGTATTCGTTTTCGTGACCCTCCTGGAACTTGTACGGCAAGTGCGTCTTCTCAAAATGCTTTCCATCAATGCTGACCAGAGGTTTCACGGCTCCGGTTTTCGGGTCCTTGTCGGCCAGGATAATATATTCGCTCATGGTGATGAAGCTGCTCACTTCGTTGTCCAGCATCGTCACATCTTCATCAAAGAAGTCATCACTCGTGATAATTGCCATTGAAGAGCTCTCGTTCTCCTCACGATGAGCGAGGCACACAATCTGCTTCTCGGCGCGAGTGTTGTACTCTGAGTTACCAGTGAACTCGCACTTGTCAACATACTTTCGTAGCGTATGCCAATCATCGCCGCGATCAGTCGAGACAGACGCCTTCAAGTAGCAAGACTCTTTGCCACCAACCTTCTCACACGTCTGGCCAACCCATAGAATCCAGTCCTTTTTATCAGGATGGAAGCTAAATGGCTCCTTAGAAGGCTCAGACGGGGCAGTGAAGGGATGGAAACTCTGCCCACGATCAATCGTATACAAGACTTTGTTATCTTTGGCGGTAGTGAAATAGACAACATCGTTGAAGTACGCGTGAGGAATAATGTTTTGTATCTCCTCTCCCTCAAGGATGCGTTCCCAACTCTTGCCATGATCGGGAGAGCGCCAGATACGGTCATCGACCTTCATTTGACCGCCACTGCGATGCTCAGCAGCACGCACGATGACCGTCTCGTCCTTTGAGGAGCTGGCGTCGCCGTGTTCCAGATAAATCTTCTGAAAGTCATTCAAATCCGTGTCAAAATCATGCTTTTTGTGAGAGACATCGCCGTTGGCAGGTTCAGTGCCGTCTTTACCGTCCTTGCCATCATCTTTTCCGCCGTCTTTGCCACCGTCTTTGCCACCGTCTTTGCATTCCCGCTCGACGGCGTCATCTTTCTGGGCACCATCTTTCCTCTTGCATGTGTCTCCTGGAATCAGCCTCCACCCAGAAGAGCCTTTGAAAGACTTATCATCTCCCTTGCATGAGTCTTCGGGAATGACAAGTGCGCCGACTTGCTTGCACTTGGTGTTGTCCTCTGGGTCGCGCTGGAAGTTGTAATCGCATTCAAAGTCGGCATCAGAGCATTCGCACTCTTCTGTCTTGGCAATTGGTTCTTTGAAGTCGCTCTTGATAAAGCAGTCTGCAGTCTTCTTTCTGCGAGTAAAGGTCTGCTTGTGGCCCATGATGCACTGTGGTTTGCCGTCGGCATCGGCACGGGCATGCCACTCTTCCATATCGTCCTCACCACACTTCCGTTCGTGAAGACCCTCGAAATCAATGGCAAAACTGTGGTACTCGCCCTTCCGAGATCCCACAAGAAGAAACTTGAGACTGGTAGCATCTTGCACCGATGTGAGGAATTCGGGCTTGATTTTCAGACCATCTGGGAAAGAAACAGTATCCCATTTCTCGCCGTGGTCGAGAGAAAAGGAGAGCTTATCAATATCGGGTTTGGTTGAATCTTTAACGGCAATAAGAATGGAGCCAGAATCACCAAACTCGTACTTGTGCTGGCCCTCGAGAGCCTGCTTCCAACTTTGGCCGGCATCATCAGAGACATACAAGTTGGATTCAGATGGCTTTTTGAGGGACTTGCCAGTATTTCCGTTGCCCATGACCAGACCAGGTGCCGGACTGGAAAATACACGGCCAATGTTGTCCAGTTCCGTGACCGAATGCAAGTGGATTGTGTCTTCGCCAGCTTTGAGGGATTCAAACGTTCTGCCGTCATCAAAGGTGATTTTGCTGACCACAATCTTCGTTTTGCCATGTTTGTCGACATCTGCTCCGTTCTCAATAGTGTTGACAAGGTAGACACCTTGGATACCGCTGACGTTTTCGAAATCGACGTGGCCCCTTCTGTCGCGATTCGTGTAGGGCACGTTCTCAGTGAAGTACGTGCCGTTGGAATTGCTGGTAAATAGGACACCCATGGGCCTAGATGGAGCGGAAGTCATGACGTCGACCTGGATGCTGTAGTTTGTGCTCTCAAGGACGGTATATGCGCCTTGGTTGATGGCGTGTGAATGCTCATGCGAGTCCGAGCTGGGAAACATGGCGCGATGCCACTTTTTCGAGTCGTCAGTAACATACAGAGCCATTTCGTCACTTCGGGCCGAGGTTGTGGCTACCAAAAGATAACCCTTGACGATGGCGACATTGGTGACACCACGGACTGGCTTGTTGATGTCAAGATCGGGTTCAAATTCTTGAATCTCGCCCTTTTCCTTTTTGAAGAAGTCGTCGGAAACAACAAGACGCTGTTCTTGCTTTCGGGGAGAAAGTTCGTCGCGAATGATGCACAAGATTCTCGACTGGTCAAGGTCCTTATCGCCAGTGGTAAACTCAGGCGACGACTTGGCCCACCAACAACCAGCCGTGTCTTGGCGAAGCTTTTCGGCCGTCTTGAAACCATCAATCGTGAAGACAGCCGCTTCATCGCAGAATATTTCGTCGCAGTCCATGCCGTTGAAAATGATGCGCTTCGGATCGGCGGCGTTGAAGGTTAAAACTTCGGGCTGAAATCGGCTCGGTGGCACTTTGGAGTCGAACTTGGACCAGGTTTCGCCGCGGTCCTGCGTTATATAATGCTCTTGGCCGGCCGTGAGAATAAATGCCGTCTTTGCTTCGTGGGGATGCATGACGAGCAGGACGGCTTTGCCCTCGGCGACGTCGGCGATTCTGGCCCACTGAACGCCAGCATCCTTGGACCAGAAAATGTTGCCGGTGTCGATGTTGTGCCAGATGATGGAGTCGCTATCTTCAAAGTAGTTGATATTGCGAGGGTAACCCTCTATCTTGGAGGCCGAAATGGTGGGCTCGTCCTTGGCGAGGGCAGTTGTCCAGATCAAGGAGAGAAGGAGGACACGCCACCAAGGCACAGCCAGCGGGCTGCCGATCCTCATTGTGACAGAAGAGCGGGGATTTGTTCTATCATGTAGTATGTGCGAAGAGAGTATGTTTGGAGGTTATATCTGCGCTTGCCGTTGCGAGCAATGAAGGTGGTCATCTGGTGAGTCGAGTAGGATTTGGCAATGCAATGCGGATTGCGTGTTCAAGCCACCTAGCTGAAGCTCGTTGCGTCAGAGGTTGTTTGCAGCACAGGACCTTGTGGCTTGCGCGCCATCCCTGGCAGGTTGCAGGGGCAGGTGGGTTGTGGCGCAGGTAACTGTGGCTGATGGATCCACATGAGCTTCTAACCAAAGGGCTGCTTGAATCTAGAAGATGTCATAGAAATAGATTTTACTTTTGCTTCTATTTCTATTCCAAAATTCTCTCCATTTCTTGGTGGTCTGCTTTTTCTGTCTCCATTTCTTCTCTACCCGTTGCTCTAGTCCGCTGGTGTTGTCATGAGAGGAACTCGACGCCGCTTCTTATCACTGCTACTGAGAGCAAGAGAACGATATCAGGGCACAATCTGGAATGTGATAACGGCTCTTTGATTGTTAATGACTTTAAGTACGATTTGCTGGGCGTAGTAATTTTAGCGCAGCCGTATGGAGTACAGTTGTTGAACCGTTGCCAGACTTGAGACTTGAGACTTGAGCGTGTAAGTCGTTGTCTGCCCCTGAGCCAGTGAGTTCTTGACCCCTGTCTGAGTGCTGCAGCCGATGGTCTGGGGTCGTTGTAAAGGAAGGAGTTTACAAAGTACCTTGCTGCAACAAAGTACCTAGGTAGATTGCTACTTGCACTAACTAATTCGTAGAGGTGTCTAATCGTGGGTAGTAATTACATTTTTTTCAAAGGACTTCGCCGGCAACATAGTTATCACAGCCAGCTGTCGTGCCGAGGACACGCTTCTGAGGTAGGTAAGTAACCCATAATGGGGACAACGGGTACCATGGCAACGAGTAGACGCGACTTTGCAAAACAAAGTAGCCGATACGCGTTGTGAAGCAGAGTTGACAGCGCAACAGCAACAAGAAGCATGGAACCCCCGGATTGCTGCCTGCGAGGTATCTCGGACGAGGACTGTACCTTGAGGCCATTTTTGCCGAGAAAAAAGGGATGAACATTTTGCTGTCGCCTCTCAAGTGTGGCTGACACGTGTCGGTACCGCTCCTCCTTTTAGAGGGATGACCTGCAAGTGGTGTTGACGGGTACTTGAGGTCTTAGTCTAATTCCAGGGGAAACATTCACTAAAAGGTACCTAACCTAAGCATTCTCGCCTAGCGCAAGTTGCGCCCCTGGGTACTTGCCCGGAGAAACGGGAGCTTTTTACTTGCTCGCAAGTACACTACCTTACCTATATTTCTAGATAGTTATTATTATAATGAGTGAAAGACAACCCTTATTGATACTACTGTACGTTATGTATACCGAATCGCAAGGCAAGGTACCATCGCTGCAGCGGGTACTAGCCAGGTACCACGACCAGGGGCCCCTCCCCCCTCCCATCAGTGGGACATGAGCGCCCGCCACAGCCTCCTCCCGCCCACGCTTCCTCTCTCGCGCCAGCTTCTGTTTTGATCCTTGTTTTCCTCCATGTCCATTTAATAAACTTGCCTTTGGCTGTTCGATTCATCCTCTCTCGAGACTGCTCTGCATATTCCGACCCCAAAATCTACGCAACTGCTTCTGGACCTTGTTCGTCTTGCGACCAATAGCTGCCGTTTGCTTTCCGAGGTCCCTTACACCCCCGCCATTCATCCTCCTCGTCCTCGCCTCCCACTCGTCTACCACCAACAACCCCTTTTCACCATTCACAATGTCTGCTGCATACAAGCAATTCTTGGCCTCGCCAAACGCCTCGCTGCTGGCTGAGAACGCGTCGCTGCATTACATCACTACCCTCTCCAACTTTACTGGTGCTGCCGAGATCATCAAGCACCTGGCTGCTCTGCGCAGACAGGTCACCAAGAAGCAGGAAGAGATCCTTAGCCTTGTCGAGGGCCAGAATGCCATTGTCGTTGAGGTCCACACGGCTCTTGAATTCATTACCAGTGGTGGCATCTACCTCCCCAAGCTCGATGACAACTTCCTGTCTGATCGTACTGCCTACGTCCCCATTGTAAGTTGTGACGGCCCGGACTGTTTGCGCTTGGCCGCTAACGTCTTTCCCACCATTTAGACGCATTTTGTTTCCTTCGACGCCGACGGCAAAATTCTCCAGATCCGACAGCAGTGGGATCAGGGTGCTCTTCTGAAGCAGTTGGATATCGTTGGCAAGACTGGCCGCAATTGGCCCATCCAGGACAGCCGCGAGCAGCTCCGACAAATCCAGTCTTGCCTCAAGACTGTTGGCAAGGGCGCCCAGCAGTCCTCGAGCCACGATGATGTCGTCATTCGCACCCGTCACAACGCAAGCAACACCCTGCACAACCCCCATGCCTCTCTCAACCTGTACGGAAGCAGAGAGGAGATTGAATCGGCTCCTATGAAGTCCGCCCCCAACCCCTACGGTGGTCACCGTCCGAGCCAGCGCTCTGTCGCTGATATTATCGGCGACGAGCCGGCAGACGGTGAATTTGGACACAACCGACACCGCTCTGTTTCACCCAGCAAGGCTGGATCGAACAAGAATTTCCAGCCCTCGCGTATATTCGACGGCAAGCAGGATCATGAGGAGGTCGAGACTCCCAAGAAGGGCGACAAGTTCATCAAGCCTCACCCCAGCAAGTACAACCACTTTGACTTTGTCGATGGTTCCGACCCTAAAGACGGCCCTGTCCGCGGCGTCGACCTTGAAAACCGCCCCAAGTCCAAGCACGACAGCCAATGGTCTTTCAACGACTTTGTTACTCCTGCCAAGGCTACTGCTAGCAAGGGCATGCGCTCGCAGGATGTTCAGCACTGGAATCCCGAGATGCAGTTCTCTACCGACCCCGAGGCGCGTCAGCCCACTGGCAAGGGTCGCCGGGATGCCGAGACTCACTTTGAGATTCAGGATGATGGTGAGAAGAACGCGCGCCAGGAACGTGTCGGACTTCCTCGCGGCGCCATGCACAATGAAGGCCAGAGCCTCTACAAGAACCAGCTTTTTGATGAGGTCGACCCAACTCCCGGTCCCAAGCGTGCCCTGAACACCGTCACCAACCTCAAAGATCGCAGCAAAGACTTTGATCCTCACTTCGAAATGACTGATGAGTCACCATCGCACACCCCGCGAACTCAACAGGTTCCCGAGGGCAAGAAGAAGGTGGCCAAGAAGATGGACCACACCTGGGAAGTCTATGAGCAGTCGCCCCTCAAGGAGAACAACAGACCTGCTCCCGCCACTACCATCAGCCACCAGAAGATCCACATTGCCGGTGATGGCATGGGCTCGAGAAAGGGACTTGAACACGACGACATTGACACCAAGATCCACATTGCCGGCGACGGCATGGGCGGTCGCAAGGGCACCTCGCGCGCCTGGATGACGGGCGGTGATGAGGACGAGGACGTGCAGCCCAAGGTGCAGCCACGAGGTCGGGGCACCGCTAAAAAGACGGAAGGCGTTTGGGGCTTTTAAAATTGCGCACCCCCGAGCTGTGTTCTAGCAGCGTGCACTGCTTGATTTGGCAATCGTATTTACTTATATGTCGGTTTATCCTGCCTGTTTCGTGTATTCACTACGAATCACGTATTGAGGGCGGACCTTGGCGCTCTTTTGGCAACCCAAATGCATGTCTGTCGTTGGATTTTTCCATTGTCTTTTTTTCACCGATTACCCCTTCTCTTGACAGTCATTGACTGTGCTGGGAACAAGGACGTTATATCTCGACCTCCTTTTTAATTTTACTGCCTTTTTAGCTGTTTTTGTTCTACTCTTTACGCTTTTTATGACTTCTGGCAAGCTTTTGTTAGTATGATACATTGGCCTCCACTTTGAGCAGACTGGTTCCTTTTCTTTTGTTATTATCTTGACTCGCCAGAAGGTAGACATTAAAAATATACGAAAACATTGCCATGCTGCTGGACAAGACTTTGAGGAATGTTGTGGAAAATACGTGTCATTCATTACTGTACTCAATGCTTGCTATAGAAACCCCAAAAACCAACGCCCAGCTACCCAATAAGCCACCTGTATATAACCCCAGATGAACCCGATTCGTTAAATAATTAGTCTTGCCGTCCAGAGGCATGCTCTGTTTTTTTTCTTTCCCAGAGTGATATCGTTACGCTGTTGTAGAGACAAGGAAACATATTTGGACTATACATGGTCGGAAAGAAGGGAAAAGAGAGGACAAGAAGAAATTAACAGATGAATTTGTACCATCTTTTCCACTTTGGCCACGCTTTTCTCTCTTCTCTCTCCTGGGCGACAAGGACCGGCAAGTTCCAGTCGCGACGGCCCGTGTTGACGTCCATTTCCCGGAGGCGGACGTAGCGCGTGCGGTAGTAGAGTTTGTGCGCGCCGTAGCAGACGACGATGATGGGCGCGCTCATCCACTTGAGGAACAGGTTCTGCGCAATGGCGGCCGACGACATGGTGCGCCAGCCCATGGGAAACGCGGCGACCCAAAACTGGGCGACGACGACGATCATGTTGAGCGTGAGGCCAAAGTAGGAGCCCCAGACGCCGACCTGGGACTGAAAGGGCAGCTCGGCGACGTGGTGGCCGGCGAGGGCCCAGGCGCGGCGGAAGCGAATGTGGCAGAGGCAGATGGAGCCCCAGGTGAAGATGCTCGACAGGCCGGAGAGGGCGAGGAGCCAGTCAAAGACGCTGCCCTGGGAGGCGGCGTCGGCAAGGTAGGCGAGGAGGCCGCAGGCGCCGGCGACAAAGATGGCGACGAGGGGGCGGCCCTTGCGGTCGACGTAGCCGAGGAACTTGGGGGCTTGGTGTAGGTTGGCAAGCGCAGCGAGGGTCCGCGAGGAGCCAAAGACGGCCGAGTTGCCGACGGAGAGGACGGCGATGAGGATGACGGCGTTCATAACGGACGGTAATATCTGGATACCAGCTTCTTCGATTGCAATAACAAACGGCGAGGCCTTGGCGTCAACCTTACTGTCGCCACCGAGCAGCCGCGGGTCGTTATGCGGGACGAGGAGCCCGACGAGGGTGAGAGCGACAATGTAAAAGAGCGTGATCCGCCAAAAGACTTGCTTGATGGCGGTGGGGAGCGACTTGCGTGGGTTCGCCGTCTCGGCGGCGGCGAGCCCGACGAGCTCAGTCCCGGTAAAGGCGAACGCGGCCGTGACGAAGACGCTACAAAGGCCCTTAAAGCCGTTGTTAAAGGCGCCAGGATTGCGCCAGTACTCGCCGCCAATATACCCACGGTCAGGTGTGCCGCCGCAGTTAAGCACGATGCCGAGGAGACTGTAGGATGTGTTAACAGAAGGTGTGGGCTAGGGAAAAGGGGAGCATGCGCGCGCTTGCTTACATGAAGCCAATGACGGCAATGATTTTGATGATAGAGAAGAGAAACTCGGCCTCACCATACCCCTTGACGCCAAACATGTTGATGAAGACAATGGTGGTCAAAAAGACGGTGACGAAAATAGCCTTGGTGAGCCGGTCGTTCCAGTAGCCGATGGTTAATGAGGCGGCAATAATTTCGAGCGGTAGCACAGAGAGCCATTGTAGAGCGTAGCTGATCGGGCCGGTGTTAGCAAACCTGTGGGAAGCGGGAAGGGTCCAGGCACCATCAACGGCTCTCGTGTAAGACTTACTTCCAGCCCATGGCGAATCCCCACGACGGATCCAGAAACCTAGTGGCCCACGAAGAAAAAGACCCAGCAATGGGAAAGATGACGGCCAGCTCCCCAAGGGCCTGACAAGTTGTGTAGAGCATGGCGCCAATAATCCCAAACGCGATGAGGAGCGAGGCCGGCCCACCGGCGTTGAGCGCCTTGCCGGAGACGACAAACAAGCCCGTGCCAATGGAGCCGCCAATGGCAATCATCTGCAAGTGACGGCCCTTGAGGCTGCGGGAGAGGCCAATGTGCGCATTCTCGAGCGTGGCCAGGTGCAGGTCATAGTACGGGGTGCCGCCACCAGGGTGCTGCAGGCGGCGGGCGGCGTGGTGCTCGGCGAGGAGGAAGGTCGAGTTGGGGTCGCGGCGAAAGGTGTCGAGGAAGCGCTCGAAGCGCGGGTGCGCCTCGTACGAGGGCTCGCGCATGCTGTGGGAGCTGCCGTAGGTCAAGGAGTCGGCTTTGCTCTTGTGCGTGTTGGTGCGGCCGAGGTCCATGTCACTGGGCCAGGATGCCATTGTGGAAGACGAAGGAAGAAGTAGAGGTTGAAGGGGAGGGAAATGGAAACCGGGAGGGGCCAACCAGGCTGGAAGGGACCTAGGGAAAACAGGTAAACAAAATAGGATTTTGTGGCGAGTTTTTGCTGCTTCTTGTGTTTCGTTTGCTGCTGTGTATCACGAAGAGGAAAAGCGAGGCAATACCGGTCTGTATGGGTGTCGCGGGCTCAGCGGCAGCCCGGCGAGGCAGCGTGCATGAAATCCAACTCAAGTCCGGGAATTGTGGTTTAGAGGTGGAATTTTGAGGGAAGAAAAGCCGCTCTTTGTTTTCTCTTTTTTTGGCGACTGGTTGGAGATTTTTCTTATCCGCCCATGCCGCAGTGACGTTGGTTTTGGGGGGGGAGGGCCTCCCGGAGTAAATGTGGTCTCGATCGTCAAAGACAGGACCGGGGGCCCGGTTCGTTGCGGGGTAATAACGGGCGCGAAGAAAGAAAAAGCGGCCGCAAGATGGAGGGACAGAGAGAAGAACAATAGTCTGAATAGGACAGCTCGGACGTGTCTCAATTGTCCCAATGTCGGGGGCCAGCCTCTTCGAATTGGGGCGCGTGCACAATACCGTTGGAAGCGGCTGTCCGGGGGTCTAGCGTGCTAGGGCGGTGACGGTAATAAAAGCGAGTCCACGGGAGGAAAAAACCACTATGTTACATCGGTTGCTGGCTCTCAGCCCAACACGATACTTTGTCCATCAAGGCTGGACGTTTATCTGTATAGGTGCTGTAGGTCGGTCAAGGAAGAGCGGGAAAGGGATGGTGCAGCTTGGGAAAAAAGAGCGCAGGGCGTCGTGCCCGCAAAGACAAAGAACAGCGCCAGGGTGGCGTTCTTCGGGGGCGTTCGGTTTGATGGTGGAGGAGCGCAACATGACTTGAAATGGAACCAACGCAGGGCTTGTGTTAGGATTTGACTGGGATACGGACTAGAAGTGAAAAGGGTTGGTGCCAACTCCCAAGTGCGTATGAGGCTGAGGCTGGTGGCTGAAGCGGAGGCGCTGGCGTTACTGATGATGGCTTGATAAGCTGCCAGCTGGCAAGCCGGTTATCACGACTTGGAGGGCCGACAGCTTGCAAACGCAGTGGCAATGTTCCGAGAGTTACCGAATAACCCGTTTTATTGAAGAGAGGACTTTCTTCATCGAGTTCAAGGGAAAGAAAGCAAAGGTCAGAAAATCAATCAATCGTTCGACCGTTTACGGATATGCCATACGTGGTTTGCTCCGGCGGCGTTCGCCAGCCACCAAAACGCAAGCCATGAAGCGCCATCTGTCGGAGAGCTGCAGCACTCAGCACCGCGCACAACGACCCAGTGACCCGGCCACTTTTCCCCGCCCGTCCGTCTGCGACCAAGAGAAGACACTACTGAAACATTTATTATGTGTGCATCCATGTATTCTACGACAATCTCAGATTTCCGAAATCACATCACCTTGTTATCGCGTATCGGGCGCCGCAGAAGTTGGCAACTATCAATGCGATTTAGCACAGGGGTCTGCATAATTTCCCCAGCCTGCCCAATACACAGAGGGCGCGCTGCAAGGCTAACCGAGGTACTATGCATGCAATTACCCCCCAAATTACCACACAAACGCGAAAGGGGAATAAATTGTATTCCCGCTATTATTAATAATTTAATTTCAGTTGGCAACTTGGTACTATCCTTTGCCCACGACACCGCCCCCCCGTCGAACGACGCCCCCATCGTCATGGCGCTAGCAGGATCGAAGCGACAAAGGCGAGCCTAGCCTCAAACTAAAAGCAAGTTCAATACCACCCTCTGCCGCTTATAAGCCGAGCATCGCCTTCCGTAAATATCCCAGATGCCCGCTTTTACCTGATCGCACGATCAAAATGGTGTGGCCTCGCGCCGATTCGCGTGAGGATTTACGCCCCCGCAAGTCCCGGAAACGAGCCTTCACCGGCTCGGCCCTGTGCCTCGGCCACCGCCCGCGGAAGGGGCAGCGCTGCCATGTCTTGGTCGTGGTCTCGACGCACCGGCCGCTGAAGAAAATCGGCAGTGCCTCAATTCATTTTGTCGTCGTTTGGCCGAATAGGTAGTTCGTTCAGCGCCAGCTCCCTGCTCCCATTGTGCAACACGATCATATCCTTCTCGATGCTCGTCTCACTCTTGTCATCACTAACACCCGTGCCCCGTCCAGCTGTGCTACGCGGATCCTTGCAGAGGATTTGTGTACGACTGTAGTACAGGATCTTATTTGCTCGCCATTCCGACGGGTAGCCACAGCCTGGTGAGACACAAGCGATCTTCACTGCAGAATGGCCACCATAAAATGGGCTGGTTGCTGACTGCCTCTATTCCGGGTCATCATTTGCATTACGTCTACGTGGTCGACTAATTCTACGGGAAGACTTTCAAGACAATGTATAGACGGAGGATATGATGACAATTTTCATTCAACTAACATGCGCCCTATCTGTCAAAATCCCACTGCTTGTGTTCCCCCCCACTCCAGCCGGCCGCATGTCAAACAATGCAACCTTGCAGGCCTTGGCCCTAGACCATCTCAGACATAATGACCGGCATCTGTGACTATTTCAAGTAGTGTCTCTGTTAGCCGTCGCTCAAGTCAAGGAATCAGGATGGGCACGCGCCCGTCCCATGTATGCACAGCCCTCCATCTTCAAGATACAACATACCAGTCTGTGGAGGACTCGTCAAAAGGTGAGGCTATCTCAGGGTAAAAGAAGCGGCCCATCTAGGGGCACGGCGTCACCAGTAGCGCCGCGCATGCTGCCTGGCACGCCGCATAGACGGCGACGGCAGCCGGGCCTAAAGTCAGACTGGCCGAGCAGGCTGACTGGCAGATGGCGTACGCCGCAGGACCAGCAGCAGCAAGACCGAAAAGTCCGCTGACGGAAAGGACAAGGATAGAAAGATTCATCTTGACAAGTCGGAGCAAATATACCGCGTATAGGATATGTGGTGGATGGGCCTCGAGGCAGGACATATCTATACTTATATATCCGTTCCGAGTCCTCCAGCCAACAACCTCACTGACACAAGACACAACATCGCTGCCGTCTAGAATGTCTTGCTTCTCATGTCCCGGAATTTTTGACAGAACCAAGCGAAAAGAGACAACGTTGCCCTCTGGGACGGCCATTTATGTGCAGGATCCTCGCATTTGGAATTGCTACCCGAAACGAGAGAAGAGATAATGTGGTCACGTCTGTCTAGCCAAAGAGACGGCAGTGAAAGTGCCAGACAATGTGTCGGAAGACCTGCCAAGACCTGCGGCCGCAGAGTGGTACACGACTTGCGACAAACAACAAACCAAGACAAAGTAGAACGCTCTCAAGTGAAGCAGCTGTGAATTCGAGGGGGAAACCCGTACATGATGAGGCAACCGTCACCTTTGAACACTATTGTGTCGCCGCCGTAGGAGTATGCGCCGCACAATACGCAACCAATCGGATTGTCAAAACATGCGTGCCGTCTCCGTACGGCCTGCATAATGTGCAAATATATTCAAAATACAAAATCAATGCATGTTCTATCTTTTCGACATTCCAATGTTGTCGTATGTATGCATATCTCCATAAATGTACAAAAATCACCAACATCAAAGCAATACATAACTCGCCCATCCGGCGTCTTATCCCGACGTCGCCGCCGTCGGCTTCACCTTGCCAACAACATTCCCGTCCGCATCGCGCGGCTTGCGCTGCCAGCCTGTCTTGAACAAGTCGCCCATGTCGAACCGCGGGAGGGGATGCGCCTCCGTGTTAAACACAATCTTGTCCAGCGGCATCAGGCTATTGTCTGAGAACAGCAGATACATGTACTTGAGCGTCTCGGCCTATCCCTCCGTGTTAGCTATGTGATATCCACGTCGTAAGCACAGGTGCGTTGACTTACCAGCCAGAAGCTCTCCATGTTATCCCTCACGCGCGGCGGAATCACATTGGCATCGTCCAGGCTTGTGAAGCCGCCCTGCTCCTCCACAGCCGTGTAGTTCATAAACGAGGTAAACATATCCCAGCCCCACTCGCGGTACTTGGGGTCGCCCGTGATGCGCCACATGTAAAACAGGCTCTCGACCGTCTCGGGGCGTTGCAGGTTGTGCGCGTCGTTGCTCTTGACATTAAAGTCCTGACGCCAGCGCGCGTCGGGGTCACTGTCAAACTCGGCGGGCGGCTGGTGGTGCGGGGCGTCTGGCGCGGCGGGCGGGTTGGCCGTGTTGAAAAAGGTGATTTCGGCCGACAGGCCCGTGGCCATATATTTGTACATGCCCCAGCAGGTCTGCATCAGCTCGCGTGCAAACTGCATATCTGCATCGTGCTGCGCCGTCCACGTCGGCAACTTGCGCGCCTCGGCCTCAGTCAGGCCCTCGGTGGCGGCGAGCGCAATGGTGCCCGGCAGGAAGCAGACGAGGTGGTCCATCTTGGGCAGCAAATCGCCCTCGAGGCCGTTGGGACGCTCGCCGACAATGGTGAAGCCTGAGGGCTCGCTGTGGGTCAACAGGTGCTTGCGAATACCGGCCATGGATTCCTTCCACATTTCAAGATAGACAGTTTCCTTCTTGTTGGTTTGCAGATACTGTTTGATCAGGTACTCGTAGTACGAGTCGCCTCGGCTGCCGAGACGGATATTTTCACCGCGAAACTCGCCGTTGGCGGGGTAAATGTAAATGGGCATCAGACCGTCAGGCATGTTGTTGTCGTCGATAACGGCCATGACCTTTTCGACAATTTCCCAGTAGTTGGGCTCGCCCGTCAATTTGGCGAGGTACTTGAATTCGAGCTGGAGCGTCGTCGCCTCTGCGGTGGAGCTGGCGCCCATGTCGCCATGCGACGGGATGCCCTTGGAGTCGTCCAGCTGGACGCTGGCATAGGGAATGCCAGAGGGCGTGTCGAATGCGCCCAAGAGGCGGCCGGCCAAGTCGGCAGCCTTTTCGAGGTACAGGTCCTCGCCTGGTTTGCCAGGGTCGTCTTCTTTGATGGGCGCAAGCTCGGGGAACTCTGTCGAGAGGTAGTGGGCGGAGAGCAGCCCACCCAGCATTCGAATTGTCGTCTCAAATGTGTTGACGTCCTGGTGCTGGTCCCACGTTAACGAATTTGATATCCATTCTCGGGCGTGCTCGAGGCGTGACGTCAGGTTCATGAGCATCAGTGTGTCGAGAGAGTCGACAATGATCCAGCCCATGCCGTTGGGCGCCATGTATTTTCCGGATTTCGAGATGGGGTGGAATTCGTCATAGCCTGTTCCCGACATGATTAGCCTTCGCCTGTATGCGAACAGTGCGCCGCGACATACCCCATGCGTGGCGCTCGTAGGCGTCCCAGCTGAGCTGGAACGCTTCCACCACTTGCGCCCGTCTGTGATCCCAGTCGACGACCTCGTTTTTGGAGATGCCCAGGAAGCCCCACGCAGACTTGCCGCGCGCCCCTTTGGGCCGCGACGACTGCCAGGGCAGCCAGCCGAGGATGTGGAAGAGGATCACGAGGGCGAGGGTGAGCGAGCCGACCACGCGCTTCTTGCGATACCATCGCCGGCGACGGCCGCTGCCACCGTGGTAGTACGGCTTGTCCTTGTACATGGGCAGCTCGTCCGATTCAAAGAGCCCATTGACGCGGTGCTGGACGTCAGACAGCAGGCCGCTGCCGCGCCCCGAGACCTTGGACCATGCCTTGTCCTCGAGGCGGCGGTGGGGGTCCTCAAAGTTGGGGACATTTTTGGGAATCGAAAAGGGCATCTTCAGCGCATTGGTACCGACCTGGGCTGCCGTGTCTCGTATATTTTCGGCAGCACGCCGTGCTGTGACTTGGAAGAGGTTCTTGCGGTGGATGTCGAACGGGTCGCGAATCATCTGGCCTAGAGGCTCCGGCCGCTAGTGGGATCTGGTTGTCGACGTTGTGGTGGCTTCCCCTGTGTGCTGTATGCGAGACGAAACGTGGCGAGCGCCCGACGGACGGTATTGTACAAATTACAAGATGGCAAGAAAGTCCAAAGAATAAAGAAAATCCTCAGTGAATCAAAGATGACGTTTCTGAAAGAGGGAAATAAATTCACCCGTTGAGCATCAAACCTTGCCAGTACTCAAATGAGCTTCCTACACATCGTTGCCGGTGGAGCGGCCCTCGAAAGAGGCCATGTCGCCTCTTTCCTCGTCGGCCCAAGCAAAATCTTAAACTCTTAGCGTGATCAAGCCTAACCACTTACTCCACTACAGAGCCACTGTCGCTGCATGATTGAAAGCCCAATATGCCCAACATTTCGACAAATAAAAACATCCAAAATATTTGCACAAGACCGAGACCTTGGAGGCTCGTCCACCCAGTCTGAGGCGAAGGCTAGCCGAGCGTTGACAGCAACGGCGCAGAAATACATATCCGCCACCAACAGCGAGGGGTTAGCTACTATGACGGACCTCGACCATTTCCCCAACCTCGACCAGGCTGAATTCACGGAAGCTTGTCATCTACTAGATAGCAGATATCGCCAGGCTATACTCGGGCCGCTGCGGCGAAGATGGAAGCTCAACGTCTTCACGGCGCTGGACATGTCGTTTTCGGACGACAACGAGGGTTACATTGCCTATGTCCAAATCGTTCGACCGCTGGAAGATGAAATTGACCTGCCATTTGATCTGGGGGCCTTTTCAATATCTGGAAATGCTACGGAGCACTTGACGAGTACGCAGGACGCGGAGATGATGGAAACGGAAGAATCAGATACGGTACGACAATGAACGCCTTGTTATATTCCTTCTCGCCCGTTTACATGTTGTTCGTCCCGTCTCTAACTGGGTATATAGCAAGTTATCCCAACGCAAAACGCCGATCCAGATATTGGTTGCGTCATATATGAGATTCACTTCCATCCCACATATCGCGTGCCATGCCTGTGGTTTACTCTGCATGGGCTGCCCGAGTCCGAGCCGGCCTTCCACATTGACACCGTCTTCCGCCGGTTGGTCCCTGAGAGCCTTAAAGCGAGCCTTCGCGCAGGTATGGGCATCGGCGCCATATCAACAGATGTGCGTATCAATAGCCTGGAGCTCCATAAAACCCCTACCAGCTAACCACAGGAGTACAGCACCATCCCATCACTGGGCTACCATCCTTTTTTATCCACCCGTGCCAGATAGCTGATGCCATGGCGCCGTTTCCATGTATGAAGCGGGATTATTTGATCATGTGGCTCGGAATCGTCGGCGGTTGCGTCAGCCTATGGGTACCCAACGAACTGATGGTACAGTGAGCTTCACTCCTCACTCATAGCAATGCCAAACAAAAATAACAATATTCAAAACACCACACATTTATTCGTCGTCGCTGTCCTCGTCCATTGCCATGTCCTCGCCACTATCTTCAGGTTCGCTTTCTTCGTCTCGGTTGCGCTTCTGCCCACGGCTTTCGGGCGAGCCGCCGACATCCTTCATGGCATGGTCCACGGCGCTGGGAGGCGGCTTGGCCGGTGTTTCTGTCGTTGCGGTGCCAGCCGGGGGTGCGTTGAAGATGCTCTGTTGCAGCTCCGTCTGCTCAGGAGCAGCGGCGCCCTTGGTGGGCAGCGTGAGGGTGCCGTCAATCTTGCTGACAAAATGGGACTTGGACTTGGCGTATTGAATTTTCTAGGGCCACAATCGTTAGCATCGCTGTCGGTCGTGCAAACGGGACGCTGACCGCTTACCATGGCTCTCCCCAGGAATTCTTCCCCATCCAACGTGCGCATGGCTTGCGTAGCGGCTTGGATATCTCGAAAGACAATATGTGCTTGCCCACGCATGGACATGGTCTTGAGGGCGACGATGTCGAGGACGGGTCCAAAGGTCGAAAAGAGCATGTAGAGTGCTGTTCGCAGATCGTCTTTTTGTATTTTGGCGGAAGGCAGGTTTGTGATGTAAATTCTGCACGAGCCATCGTCAGCATCTTGACCACGAGCCTCTTTGCGCTGCGCGGGGTAAAGACTCACGTTTGGTTTGGCGGTATGCTCTGGACCTTGGCGGGGAGGGAAGAATTGGGCTGCAGCCCGCGTGACGCTATCGTTGCCATGGTACTGGGGGTATTGACTGTTGAATTGTACGGTATATTCTTGCAGAAATTCGATTATCTGACTGCGATTGCGCTCACTACGCCGAGGCCGTGGTTCGTTGGGGGTATGTGTTTGCTGGTCGTTGAAGATGAAGCTGTGGAGATTTTCGCGCCGAAGCATCCTCGCTAGAAAAGGCTGCCTCCAAGTGGGCCAAAGGTTGTGAGCTCACACCGCACGACAACACGACGTATATTATTACTAGCTACTTCCTAAACATTACGTCGCGCCTATGGTATCCGCATAATGAATCTTAGCTGCATTTGCATCCTGCTGTAGTTAGAAAGACAAACGTACCTCGATGCACGTGAAATGAACAAGGCCGCGGCTCACCAACGTGACGTAGCCCCGTTCGGCGCGCCCTTACGAGCCGTCAACAAAAACCGTGAAGCACGACAACGCTTTGCCGATACCTTCAACCGTTTCCAAAAGTGAACACGTGTTCCAACCATCAGAATTAATTGTATTTCCGGTCACGTTTACGCAGGAAGCCAACAACTGTCCACTTCCGCCGCCACTCAGCTTTGCCCCCCTGTGGTGTCCTGTGGTGTTTGCCCCGAAAACCCTGAACGAGCACACTGCCACGCCGCACGACTACAACAGGGAGGCCATCTGAACAGCACGCACCAGAAAACCGCGACCATGGGCCACGGCCATCACAATATCCGCTTCGATGGCGATCCGCACGCTCTGTCGGGCGCCTGGAGCCCGCCGACGAGCCGAGCAAAGTGAGTCGCTCATTTCACCCCGCGGGGAACCAATGCGGGCTCGAATACTGACGTGTCCTGCAGCTTCTGCGAGGAAGACTACGGCTTGACTTTTTACGTGGCCGAATTCATCAATTCAGTGACAAATATTGCCTACGGTACGTGCGATGGGACCTAGCACTCCAATTCCCAGCGATAGAACGCCGGCTAACGTTTGGGCGCGCCTCACAGTGTACTATGCGTTGAAATACATGTACGGCCCAGGAAGCCGCGGCCTGTGGCGGCCCAACCTCGACTTCATGTCCGTCACCCTCTTCATCCTCGGCATCGGCTCCTTTCTCTTCCACGCCAGCCTGCGCCAGACGCTCGAGTTCGTCGACGAGCTCTCCATGATGGGGCTCATCTGGTCGATGCTGCAGGCAACCCTCACCGTGCGCCAGACGCCCGCCGCCGCCCGACTCATCTCCGCCGGCCTGGCCGTCTTCTTCGTCTCGTTTACCGTCTTTTACCTGCGCTCCCCGCTCATCATCTACCAGGTCGTGGCCTTTCTCAGCGGCGTCGGCGTCCTGATCTTGCGCGTGCTCTACCTCTTTCACTGGATGCAGCCGGCGTTCCCCGAGGCCAAGAGGCGCGCCTGGCGCAACACTTCCATCGTGTCGCTGCTCATCTGCGTCGCCGGCTACGCCATCTGGAACGTCGACCTCGAGTACTGCCAGATGCTGCGGGACATTCGCCAGCAGGTCGGCCTGCCGTGGGCCTGGCTCTTTGAGTTTCACGGATGGTGGCATGTCCTCACAGCCATTGGTGCCGCAAAGTTCATCACGGTCGCGAGGGAAGTGCGTGAGGAGGTCAGGCGCGAACAAAAGAAGGAGTAAGTAAGTACAGCTTCTGTCCATACATATGGAAATTTTCTTGTCTAGATGAGACTCGTATAATACAGGTTGGAAATGTCAAAGAAGACTAAATAGCAGCTCGAGCTAGAGCCATAGAGCAGACCACGAACAATAATCAGACAATACGCAATGACGAATCAACACACACACCCTAATCATCTATCCTCACCGTGAACGCTGACCCACGACTGTGCAGAGAGCTCGTCTCGTCGTCCTCTCTGCGACGCCGCATGTCACTGTACCGGTCATAGCCCTCCTCCGGGATCATGGAGACGACACGCGCCCTGCCCTCCATCTCATTTCTCGGCGCCGGTTTGCTATCCGACCTGGCCGGCCAGGGCGGCAGCGGCGGCTCGAGGCGCGGGAACGCACGGTACAGGCTGGAGATGCTACCCCCCGGCGAGTTGGGCGATGTCGGCCGGTTCTTGCTGCTGCTGCTCCTGCCCCCGCCCGACGCGGCACGCGATGCGGCGTCGCTGCCGAAAAACCTGGAGGCCCCCCCGACTGCCTGGGGCAAGAAGCTGCGCGGCGCGCGCTGCGCGCTCGACGCGTGCTGGTTGTGAATCGCCTGCGTGGAGCCGCCGGCCTCCATCGGCGGCGGCAGGTTGAACTCGGAGCGCAGGTAGCCGAGCGTCTCGGAGGACCGCCGGGGGCGCGTCTCCGTGCGCGCGGACCCAGTCTCCCGCGTCTCGCCCACGGCAAACGACAGCCCGGAGATGGCGGTCCCCGGCGCGGACATGGCCGAGTCTGGGCGGCGCGGCAGCGGCTGGGACGGGGCGGGCACGGGCGGTGCCACGACGCCGAACCGGCGCGCGTGCCACTCCTCGTCGTCGACAATGACAATCATCCACACGCCGACGGTGCTGTTGGACCCGCTCAGCGGCGTGCAGTGCAGCCAGCGCGCGCGTCCGGCGGGCTCGAGCTCGGGCACGGTGTCGACGTCGTCGTCGGCCTCGAGGTGCGCCTCGAGCGGGTGGTTGTTGGCGGTGGCGGCGGTGGCCTTTTTCCGGGCCGGCCGGCTCGTCCGCCCGCCGCCGCCGCTCCGCCGCGCGTTGAGCCACCGCACCTTGGCCGTCACGCCCTGGCCGGCGGCCAGCGCGTCCACCAGCTGCTCGCGCACGCGCGCCGAGCCCCCGATGCGGTCTAGCAGCGGCGACTGCAGGATGCCCGGCACACGCATCGAGGGACTGGCGAACAGGATCCGCAGCGACGGGTACGGCCGCACGAGGAGGTAGTGCTCGTACACGCCTGTGAGGCGGCCGTTGTGGCGCAGAGACGGCGAGAACCCGGTGGGTAGCGATGTGCGTGACGGACCGCCGCCGCCGCCGCCGGAAAGATGCAGATTCTCGTCGGAGCTGCTTTCTTGGATAATGACGCGCTCTTTGGTGCCGCGTCGGTGGTGGCTGGGCTCGTACTCCTTCTTCTCGGGCTGAGAGCTGGGAGCTTGCGTCTTGTCAGACGACTTGGGCTCTGTGTCTACTTGTAGAGGCAGGCGGTGCATGCTCCCGCCGTGGGTGTTTATCGTATCGAGCTCCTTTGGCGTCAGGATCTCTGCGAATTGGGTGATTTCGTCTTTTTGGCTTTTCCGGACCGGCTCCTCGGCCTTGAGATCGGCGTCCTCTTCCACCAGCTCACGGAGCGCGTCCAGGTCGTAAGAGCTCATGGCCAGTCCTGATACGTCGACCTGCGCGCCTATAAAGTATCGAATCGTTCCTCGGCTATCGTACAAGGGTGCAAGCTATCGATTACATGTTAGAGAAGCAGCGCTTATACGGTCGGGCTTGAGACGTACCATGACAAGATTCATAAACGGCGTTCCATCGCGTCTGTAATTGAGAAATGTTTCATAATGTTCGATTCCGGCCTCGAGCTTCTCACGAATGCGCTTCACGCTGAAAGGATTCGTACAGGGCCCTTGCAGGAAGCGGCAGTTGCGGCCAATGACGTAGTCGACGCCATACTGCGTTGTGCGGTTGAACTGCTCGGACATGAAGACGATTGGGTTATCGGGACGGGACGGATCTGTCAGACAAAAAACTTCGGCCAGGCCCTCGGAGGAGTCGGAGCTGGTGCCCATGACCCGATGGCGGATCGAGACGGAGACGGTCTGGATCCAGACATGGGTGATGTAGGCGGGCAAGTCCTCCCTGGTCAGCACCTCGAATGCGCTCTCGGCCTTTTCCTCGAGCTCCTGGTTAGCCGTGTCGAGGGCCTGTGGAAAGGTGTGGGTGAAGCCAAAGTCCTGCAGCGAGTGCAGCTGGCGGAGGACGGCGTTGCTGTAGCGGATGGCGCGGAGCGCCTTGAGCGCGGAGAGGTAGTAGTTGAGCAGCACGACGGAGGACGGGCGGTACTTGTAGACAAAGTTAGTGAAGCGGTGCAGGTGCGCCGAGTCCTCAAAGATGGCGTGCAGGTGGTGCTGCGAGAAGAGCAGCTCGGACCGCTGCTCGAGCTTGTGCTTGCTCGCAGGCGCGGTGGCCGCGGCGTCCTGATCGCCGGGCGTGACCAGATCGAAGCTGCCCGGGTCCAGGTCCTCCTCGCCGAGGGGATCGAGGCCGTCGGGGTCGCCGTTGGCGACCTGCAGCGCGGGCAGTCCCGCGCTGCCCACCGGCAAGGGCTTGCCCGGAAAGGCGTCCTGGATGGGCAGTATTCGTAGCGAGTGGGTGGAGGAGGCGGCGTGTGCGTCGACCTCGTTGAAGCTGCGGCTGCTCTGGCTGGGGGAACAGGTTTGCGTGTGTGAGCCAAGAGATCTTGGGGAGGAGTACTTTTGTTCATCGGTTTTTCTTGGTGCATACCTGGAAACGGGAGAGAGCGGCGGCACCGCGTCAAGGCCGATTGTCTGATCCATCTTGTGCAACAGCTGAGACTGGGCGAAACTTTCTTTCCCGGATGCCGAGGTGGAACGGATCAGTTTGCGTATTGGTTCGGGAGCTGTGTGACTCGGTCGTGCAAAGGCGGATATAGAATTGCGAGGAGAGCGCGCCCAGTATCATCAACACTTGCAAGGATTCAAGATGAGATTTCAGGAACTAGAGGATTCTTTATATACACTTTGTTCTCCTATTAGCTTGCAATAACGCCTCCCAGGCGCGCTTGCCTCTGCAACGCAGCTGACATTTGCCACGAGACGATGGAGGCATCGGATGCGATCTTAATTCTCGTACAAGGGTATTGGAATCGGACAACACGGCTAGTTATCGACTTGTCGACTGTATGTACTTTGGCAAAGAGATCGGACCCCTCTCCGGCTACAGCCGCAGAAGGGTTTTCCAAGGCTGGCTGCCACGGGGAACTCATGCGCTGCATTAGGTGCGTTGGACCCTTGCTTTTTTTTTTCTTTCGATGAGCCACATGGACAAGGGCAAGCAAGGCACGTCGTCTGTGAACTTTTGCTTGCTTCGATGGGCTGCGGTGGCGGCGGTCACTGTAATTACTCCGCGAGAGTAGCACGAGTGTCTCACTCTTATGCACCTGTCAACAATGACAGTGAGGTTGACTGGCACATCATGGCGGCCGCACTAGCACGCTTCGGCCGCCCATCTTGAGACTCGGAGGATTCTTTCTGAAAGAGTTGATGATGCTAGAAGATGATAAGGCTGAAAGAGGGGGCGAAACCGAGAAAGAGGCAGGGGCATGTAGTGAGTTTGTTGTCTTCGGTATAGTTGACTGGTAAACTATCTCCAAGGTTATATTCGATTTCCTTTCAATATCCCTTGTTGCTTAACCGTCTCTTGCGCCAAAAAAGTTGCGCCCGCTGCTGAGTTTGCCAAGCTTCCGTCGAGTTCATCCCTGTACTCGGTGAAAATCGAGTATCCCTGTACCTCGCGAAAAGAGAAAACTAATTGGGCAAAAAAAAGCAATGATGTCTTTGTACAACAGTAAAACGTTGACCCGGTGGCGTACCGGATAACCTGTTCAGTGTTGACCTGTCAGGTCGGTTAGCAAGACAAGATGGCGGTTTGAAAAAAGCAAAAGTCACAAGAGGTAATAACGGAAAGTCCCAAAACCATTTCGGTTCCACTCACACGGGATGCCAGTCCCTTTCCTCTCTTATCCTTTCTTTTCGCATCGTCCAAGCACCAGCCGCAGTTCATTGCTCTCGCATGCTCCTCATCTCCTGCTCCAGCTCGTGCCGCAGCCGTTCCGGCGCTGCTGCACCGCCCCCAGCCAGTTCGTCGTCGTCGTCGTCCGACACGATGCCGCAGCCTCCCCTTCGCGGCCGGTACGAAGCGTCGCCCAGCCGTCGTCTCTTTTTCCTGCGCGGCATCCTCATCACATCGACGCCGCTTCCTGACAGCCCATCGTCCGACGAAGTGTCCGTTTCGTAGCAGTAGCTTGCATCTGCACCCCTTTTCTTGGCAGATCCTGCACACCCCGATCGCGCGGCAGCAGGGCCCTCTTCCGAACCCTCGGGTACGGGCGGCAGGCGGCGATCCACGTGCGGCGGCCACGGCAGGGCCCAGTGCGGGCTATTACTGGCGTTGTTGGGGTCGGACCGCCACAGATTGCGCGCGTCGGATGGCAGCACTGGATACAGGGTGGGCGCGTACGCCGGATGCGTGGCCAGGAACCTGGCCTTGAGCAGGTCTAGGTTGAGCCTCTCGGCTTCTGCCGCAGGAATCCAGCCGCTGCGGTTGGGCAAATTGTGCGCGCAGCCTATGCCGTGGCGGATGCGACAGCACCGGTCTTGGGCCATGTGGAACTGGGAACAGGTTTAGCAGGGAGGTTCGGAAAAAGGGAAACGGAGTTGTCTTCTCTATCCGTACCTTGTACTCGTTTTCAACGGCGGACACTTGCTTGGCAGTGTGTCGACGGTTGGCTTCTGGAACTCTTCGTAGACATCTTGAGCAGAAGTAGCCGTGGTCAGGCACGAACGATGGGTCTGGCTCGCCAAGAACCACGTTCCAGTCTGGAGAAGCTGGTCGTCTCCTGAAGGGGCTTGGACCCTTTGCTTTTTGTCTTTCTACGGGGCTCTGGCGCTTTCGTGAGCGCCCCCTTTCGCAGTCGACAAGTGTCGCGTCTGGCAGATCCTCTTTCAAGCTGCATGGAAGCGGTTCCGGCGGTAAAGGAGCAGAGTCTTCGAGCGTCAACTGATCGAGACTATCAGAGAGCAGATTGTGTCTTGGCGTCTGCTTATACTGCACTGGATGGGCGTCGATCCATGCCCTAACTTCGCTCGTGTCGTCGCTCAGCCAGAGACGATCGCTAGAATCTGGTCGGTTGGTGAAAGCAAGACCTTGGACCGGTCCCTCTACGGGACCATCTTGGGATTCAGTTTCAACCGTCCAGCTACCGTTGTGTGCTGGTGGCTCCGAAGCCGTCTTGGCTGCGCTGCGCGGCGGACTTTCGAGGTCTTTCACGCCTAGGGTAGCGAGTAGCCTGTCTCGCACAGCCTTGAGAGCCTGAAGTAAGCTGACCTGCTCTTGTGCCTTGAGAATAAGGTCTGTCGTCACGATAATGTGAGAAGCTTGTTCTTGAGGCAAGTCATCTATTTCCATTCCATCTGTAGGTGGTTCTTCTCTTTCCTCGTCGTCGCCAGACGTTGGAGCTGCCAAGCATTAGTAATGTTGGTTATGTTAGCGGAAAGTTCGTAACTTACCCGTTGTAGGGATTGAAGTTCGGTTCAACTCATCGCTCGCCAATAATTTCGACTCCAATGAAGGAACATGAACGTCCATTTCTGCAGGCGCAGTCGATGCAGAACCTTCGCAAGTAGTCTCCATTGACTCAGCCGGCAATGCAAAGTACATCGTAGCAAGCTTGGTAGCACGCGCTCGAGCCAATCTGGAGCTGCAGTGCTAATTTTAAAAGCCTTTCGTTCTATGTAGTCTTGTTGTTGATAGCGTCTGATAGATTGCCGAATTTACTGGTTTGTGGAAATGGTTGTAGTATATTCGGGTCTATGTCAAAGTGCGCGTGAGGATTTCCAAGATACCATGAAGCTTCTTCCAAAAATGTTCGGAAGAGATACATTGAACGTAATTGTCCAAGCTTCGTGTGTCTTCTTGGGTATTTTATAGGTAAAATGTCATGTAGGAGGATGCAGGGAGCCGACGTTTGGCTGGCCAAGGCACAGCAAACATGCCTGAAGCCTGGTTGCAGATGAAAGAAAATAGATTGCTCGTATGGTCAAAAATCCGAGCCTAAGAATTTGATATTTACCAGGCTGTGAAGGGCACGGTTGACTGTGGGAATCATGCCCTGGTTCCCGACAAAGAAGCGCCATTGTGCCTGTTGGAAGCCGCGGCAGCCGCCATGAAAGGCGCTCCAAAAGGCCAGTCAGACTTTTATCGATGGTTTCCCACCATTGCCTCAAATTCTTCTTGAAAGTCGGAAAAGTGGTTTATAGTGTATGATTGTGCTGTGACTGGTCCCGAACCCGCTTCGCGCAAACGTCAACCTCCGGGCGCTTTCATCGTTGACAACTTCTTTCAAGTCATCTACTACGTGTAGGGCAATATCGTTGTAATTTTTGAAAATACTTGGAGAGGAGTCTTGCCAGGAATCGACCGGCGTTGTGGCGAGCTCCTCTAACAGCGGCGCAGAGATGGTAGGTAATGTGCTGCACGCACGCCGGCCAGTCGCATCACCTTGTTCATGGAAGTGAGCGAAACGGCCGGTATCTGCCTATTTGCCTGCATCTTCTTGTGGTAGTTTTGTGCCTCGGCGCAGAATCAAACGCTTCGTGTTCGTCAACAAAGCTAGGTGCGTTGTTTAGCATGCGTGCTTGCTTGGTTGCTTTGGTTGCGCAAACGACAAAGGCGGTGCAGTTGCGGTGAAACGCTCCGCCATCTCTGGATAGCTTAAAGTAGGCGATTGCCTAGATGTATATATCAGTGGTGAAACCCCCGCATGGTCTATTGGTGGCAATCTTGATTTGATGTGCAATCTACAAACGGGCTAAGTGACTTGCGACTGCTTCTTGTTAGAGGGTGCTGGTTATCACTGTTTGAGAAAATACCTTGTACGTCCATCGTATGGCAGTCTACCTGAGTGCTCTGGCGCAGAATCTCCCATAAAGTCGCCATTTTCCCTGGAATAAAGACTCCCGGATGATGGCTTGTAAAGTGCAAGCTGGTGCCATGAGGATCCCGCTTTTGCTGCTGTGTGACATCGGACGATCAGTCTACTATAAATTCCGAAAAAGAAAAAGAAATGTAAATGAATATTCGGTAAAATGAATGATTATCCTAAGATTATTTAAACAATTATGACATATTTATGACTGTTACATCGGCCCCAAGGCGGCGACAGTTACAAATTAGTTAGACCTTCAATCTTGGTGTCAGTACCCAACCGAACCTACATCACACACCACAATTACACATGACAAATAAAACAATTTCAAGTTCAAAAAAGATCCCGCATAATACAAAATTCATCATTTCTTCTTCTTCAACCATTTCCCGTCCTCAACTTGCTCCGTTTGGCTCACCCACAACAGGCGGGCCGAGTCACATGACGGAAACGGCCAGCACTTGCCAGCCAAGCGTCAAAAAAAAAAGTACATGCAATACGTAGAGATGCTTCACCTTGGCGACACCATCATTCATCTCGGATCCGATACTCGCGCCCGACCACCCCTCGCTCTGGCGGTTTCCACACGCATTGGGCTTCTCGTGGTCGCGTCATGACCCGAGGACGACGAAAATGCGGTCTTTGCACATATTAAAGCACGCATCTCGACGACAATGCTGCGCTGCGGCCACGCAGGGAGCAGCCCCCGTACCGGCCAGATGGCTATCCTCGGCGACATCGAGCGCTCATATACCACGCGTCTCGGCGGCCTCGGTACCGGTTGGCGGCGCGGCTTTCTTCCTCTCGAATCGCCTATTTGAACGCTCACGGTGCCTCGACTTCCTCCTCTTCACCGGCAGCGCACGCGCGACATCCACCACGACGCCCGCATCTCATACCGACGCAGCATCTTCACAGCCGGCTCACGAAAGCCAATCCCTCCAACAACTACCACCGCATCGCCGAAGACAGCTCCGGAAGCAACAGCAGCAATTGACCCAAAATAGCGGCTCCGAGGAAGCCCCCCTCCCGCCCGACGCCTCGTCTCTCCTGACGACGCAGGCCGCCGCCCAGCCCGCGCAGTCCCTTCGCCGCACCCTGGCCACATTTCTCTCGCTCTCCAAGCCGCGGCTCACGGTGCTCGTCGTGCTTACCGCAATGGTGCCCTACGCGCTCTACCCTGTGCCCGAGATGCTGACGCCGTCCATGACGGACACGACGAGCCTGAGCCCGCTTACCCTGCTGTTCCTCACCACCGGCACGGCGCTATGCTCGGCCAGCGCAAACGCCCTCAACATGCTCTACGAGCCCGACACAGACGCCAAGATGACGCGCACGCGCAACCGGCCGCTCGTGCGGCGGCTCATCGCCACGCGCAGCGCTGTGCTCTTTGCCATTCTGGCCGGCGCCGTCGGCGCAGGCGGCCTCTACTTTGGCGTCAACCCGACCGTCTCCTTTCTTGGCGTCGCCAACATTGTCTTGTATGCGGGCGTCTACACGCCGCTGAAGCGCGTGACGGCGTTTAATACATGGGTCGGCGCACTCGTCGGCGGCATCCCCCCGCTGATGGGCTGGGCGGCGGCGGCGGGCGAGACAGCCACCCGGGACGGCTCCTGGCGGGAGCTGCTGCTTGCCACTGACGGCTCCTCGCTCGGAGGCTGGCTTATGGCCGGCCTGCTCTTTGCCTGGCAGTTCCCGCACTTCATGGCCCTCAGCTGGCCGATCCGCGACGAGTACAAGGCCGCGGGCCTGCGCATGCTAGCGTGGACCAACTCGGCGCGCAACGGGCGCGTGGCGCTGCGCTACAGCCTCGTCTTCATCCCGCTGTGCGTGTCGCTGTGCGCCGCGGGCGTGACCGAGTGGTCCTTTGCGGTGACAAGCCTGCCGGTGAATCTCTGGCTGGCGCGCGAGGCGGTGCGCTTTTGGAAGCATGACGGGCACCAGGGCAGCGCAAGGGGTCTGTTCTGGGCGAGCGTCTGGCATCTGCCGGCGGTGCTCATGCTGGCCATGCTGCAGAAAAAAGACCTGTGGAGCAGAGCATGGCGTGGTCTGTTTGGCGAGGCCGCAGATGAGGAGGGACTCTGGGAAGAGCAGGAGCTCGAGGAGATGGCGGGCATGACGGCGGACCGCGTCAAGGAGGCGGCCAAGGCGCTTGATCTCCCGCGCAGGTAATGGCACCATGTAATGGCATGCATTGCCATTTGCCATGATGCCTACTGTACAAATTATACGACTTTTCTCACATCTTGTTTTATTACGGACGTCTACGCGGGAGCATTACGCTGCGCATTGGATTGCGGAGGCGACCTGGCACTGCGGAGGGCATGCAGGTCCTGTACAGGATGTATACAAATCATGGCATGGATAGAACATTATTACTTTCTTTTGGTCGATTGTGGGTGTTTATTTTGAGTGAATGATGCATTAATACAGTATCCGTCAATCTATCCAACGATGCGATGCGTATGCTAAAATGCACAGCAGAGAGAACAGGCTAATTCCAAACATTCTTTTCAAACCACATTTCGAAACAGGTTTGCAGCAGACAGGCGCGCAAAAGAAAAGGTCAGTCAGTCATGACGGGTCGTGACGAGGAATGCTAACAGATAAAAGCAACAGAAATGGACAAGATGAAACGCCTAGACGCCAAACCCCGATTATACCATGACTCGGAAACTCTCAACGGACAGCCCGCCAGCACAAAGGAGATTAAAGGAGTGACTAAGAAGAGGAAAAGGAAAGACTCTTGGACAGAGCTCGACGAAGGGAACAAAGGAGTGATGTGAGGTGGCAGTGACTGGTGAGTAGGCCGGAAAAGAAAAACACAGGCAAGAAGCAGAAGAAAATAAAGAGCAAATACTAAAACAGCGCAAAAATAGGATCGAGCTCGCTCTTCCAACCATATCAAGCACTCTCATTCCCCCGCCGCGGAACATAGCCCGGGTGCAGACTGCCCTCGGAGCTGATGCTCGACGAGTACGCGTGCTGCGGGTGGTACTGGGCGGCGGCGGCGCCGCCGTACATGAGCGTGGTGTAGGCCGCCGGGTGCAGATGCGCCTGCGCGAGCGTGTGCGGGTGCGCCAGATACGTGGTCGTCGTCGTGTTGGACGCAAAGGACTGCGCGGCATTGGTCATCATCTCGTCGCTGCTGCTGCCGCTGCCGCCATGCTGGTGGTGGTGGTGTTGGTGGTTGTGGCTCGGGCTCGGCGGGACAGGGCTGCTGCTGCTACCGTACGCCAGGGTGGCACCGCCGCCGCCCGCTGCTGCCTCGTCTACGGGCGTCAGGCCGATGCCAGAAACGCCGCTGTCGTCGTCATACCCGGCGGCCGCGGCCGCGGCGGCCATGGCGTTGGCGGCCATGGTGGCGGCGTTGGGGTGGTCAAAGGCGGCGCGCTGACGGCGGCTGGCAGCGCGGGCGGCGCCCTGCAAGTTTTTGAGGCCATACGAGAGGCACTGTGTGTCCAAGAAAAAAAGTCAGTTCATGTCCTCCCCGAATAGCCAGAGACAAAGGATTCTTACCGTTCGTTCCACAAACGCCCACTTCTCACCCGTCTGGTCCGCCAGCGGGCGCCACAGGCGCTCGCGCATCTGCACGTACTCGGTGGCGATGCGCTCCATGCGCGCGGCCTCGTCGCCGCCGCCGCCGCGGCCCTTGCTGTCAATCAGCCGCTCGTGGCGCTTGCGGCACGCGTTGGACGACTTGCCCGGGAAGAACTGCTCCTGGATCTGGCTCCAGTTGAGGCCGTCGCTGCGCGCCATGATGAGCCGCTCGTCGTCGTGCACCGTCCACGCCCCGCTGCTGGGCCGGTGCCGCGCTCCCAGGAGCGCCTTGGCCTCGGCCTGCTTGAGGAGCCGCTGCTGCTGCTTCTGCGGCGGCGGCGGCGGCGGCGCCGGTTGCTGGTACTGCGCCTGTGCCTGCTGCTCGTCTGGCAGCGACCAGCTGCCGCTGCGGCGCGACAGCTCCGCTTGCGGTGGCTGCCCGTATTGGGAGTACTGCTGCTGCTGCTGGGGCAGGACAGAGGTGCTGGCGTGGTACGCTTCGTAGACGTCCTGCTCGGCGGTGCCGGGCATGGCGTAGTACGTCGCGGCCGCGCTGCTGTGGGAGAGCCGCTGCTGGTAGGCCTGCGCCTGCGCGATTGTGTTGCGGGTTTGTGCTTCGCGCCGCCGGGACGTGGTGGCCGAGTCGCTCGGCTGCCGCGAGTGCTTGGAGGCCTTCATGGTCTCACAAGTTTTTTTGTTGTGAAGTGGGTTGTTTGAAAGGGGTGTGGTTGCAGTGTGTGACCCTTTTGTCACATCAAAGGGTTTTGTGTAAAGACCGAGGAAAATTAGAGATTATTGGCGTGGTGAGAGAGAAGATGCAAAGAAAGGTCGCGGCCCGGTGGAGAGATGAATCCGTCACGGCCGTGTAAGAGGTTTGATGGATCGAGTATGAAACCCCGGAAAGAGGCCAAAAAGGATGCAATAGAAGCCCAAGACGAAACGATGATGCTTGCGAGTTGACAATGGGAGACAAGAGAAGACCCAAGGAAAATGAAGACTCTAGGAAATCGAAAACAAGGAAAATAAAAAACACAACCGGTCTAGGAATGTTTGACGATAGGAAACAACTGTTAAAAACAAGAAACTAAGGATTCAAGAAGACCAGTATTACAAGATCCGGACCATGTCTGTTACTTAACAACTCGAGGTTGGACCAAGGTGCGACGACCCCCCCCCCCCCCCCCCCACTCCGTCTGAACCCGTTTGACGATTTTTGCGTCAAGAGAAATCTCTAGCAGGGCGCTTGCCATGAAACAAGAGCAGGTCAGGGCAAGGAGGTTCCCCAAAATGGCAATGAAACAAATTCCATGTATCCGAATGAGCCAGACGACGGCGAATGCGGCGCCGGTATTGGCTGGCCGGGGCAAAACGATGCTAAGGCACAGGATCTGGGGTGGGGGGAGGAGGGGAGGGCATCGCAGTGTGGGCGGGCGGCTACGGGAGTAACCGCCAGTGTGGGTGCGTTTGTGCTGTCTGTACCTGCGTCTGGATCAAATACAGTTGATTGTGAACATCTTGCTAAGAAAAGGAACTTGGGGACAAGGTGGGATTGTGGATGTGGTGTTCGATCAAGCGCCCAGTTTGGTGAACGGAAGGGGGGGTGCCCGATGGAGGGGCAAGAGAGCTCGGATGGGCTGCATAGTGCTGGGGAGCAACACCGGGATGGACCGGCTAACCCCCGCTCTTGGGAAATGAGAGGGGGGTCACTGCCTTGCAGCCAACATGAAGGGGTGAAGATGTGTGTGTTGTGTGTTCTCATTGTGGAAGCGCCGTGCGATTATAGTCCACCATGGTGGGAGGTGACGGGAGACTATGCCCAACAGAGCTCTAGGGCACCGAATTCCCGGGAAATGATGCTAAAATTGAAGTCATCAAATGTCACTCGGACTTTTTTTTTTCATCATGATAGTTTCTTTCAGAGGAAACTAGACCTAGAAGAGAGGACCTTGACTGTCATGGTTTGGCTGTTGTGTAAGTCGGTCGTCTCCACTGCGGCGAACCGGATTGGTCGCTCTGCAAGCGCGCGCCTCTTTGGAGAACCATTCTGACAGGGGCATGGGGGGGGGGTAGTTCGACAGTGTGGGGGGGCGCCTTTCAAGGAGAAAAAGGAAATAGACGGGGAAGAAAGATCTATTTCTGGTCATCAGCCTTGTTTCGAGATGCTGCAATGCAGCCGCGCACGATTGGCTCGCCGAGGACGGCTTCATCTACTCGACTGCCCACTTTTCCCAGGAACAAGAAGTATGGTGGCGTGGTTGCATGTAAGAATGACGATGGAGCTTGGTTTTTTTTTACTTTTGCACGCTCTGGTTATGTATTTAGCTTTGATTTGCATTGTTTTTCGGTGCCCACCTGAAGCCGGGCTAGAGATTAGAGCGCCCAGAACCCTGGCGCGTAGTGAGACTTGATACGTCCTGCTGGACAAGCAGGATCGACGGCTGCTTGGGGGTAAGCCCTTGCGGTTTCAAGAGGAAAATGGACTCGGTATGGTTGTTGTTTCAAGTGAGGGCAGTTCGAAATAAAGTGTAGGTATGGAATCGTAGAGGAGACGGAAACGAGGGCGGTCGGCAGATACGGTTCGCGCCGGCCTGGTCGACCGCCCCCGGCCTGTGACCAGAGCGCTTTTAGCCGACGCAGCCATTTCATGGTATTCAAAAGCAAAGTATCGCTGCAATAAAGTAGATCTATCTTAAATAAGTGAATTCGTATACTATTATCAACATGCAATTGTATAAGATAAATGCAAGCAACTTCATCCAGGGCACTACCCGGCACCATATTCCCAGGTCTCGGCCCACAATCGCTAGACTAATGCATCCGGGGTCTCATTCTAAATTCCAGTAAAAAAAAAATCTTGTCCTTTTCCTCTCAACTCAGTCTTTGCATTTACAGGTGCGAATTAGGAGGCTGCTTTTCCACGCAGCAGCTGTTTGCGCTGCCGTTGCCCGCATTCTGAAAGGCGGTGCGCGAGCTCAGGTCCTTGACGACCGTCGACGGCGGCACCCAGAGCGCCGGATTGCGCGCGAAAAAGTTGGACGCGCGAATCATGACCATGACGGGCTCGGCCGGCATCAGCGGAAAGTCCTCGCAGCGCGGAAAGTGCGTCAGGCCAAACTGCACGTAGCAGACAATGTCCGTGTTTTCGATATTCTCGTCGCGCTCGACCCAGTCGGTGATGACGGACGAGTCCTGGTGGCCGGGCCGGCCGGTGGACTGGCAGACGTAGTCGCCGGCGGGGAACAGCTCGTAGTCCTTGTACGGCAGCACGAAGAGGCTCTTGCGCGCGAACCCGGCCCGGTTGCCGACCATGCTGCCGGGCTTGGCGAGCAGCGCCGGGCACTGCGTGTTGACAATCTTGTACCCGACGGGCTTGTGGCAGACGTCATTGATGACGTTGGGGTTGACAATGTCCCAGTTGCGGCCCGTCTCGTGCTGGTACGAGACGGCGCCCTGCTTGGCCGTCCGCAGCGGCGTCTTCTTGCAGTAGAAGCCGTTGCCGTACGGGTTCTCGGCGGACCCGAGCGGCGCCTCCGACATGACGGCATCGTTTTGGATGACGGTGTTGTTGGTGCCGTCAATCTCGGGATCGACGCGCAGCGAGAAGATGTGCTGGTGGTTGTGGGCGTTGACGCCGCGGGCCACCTCGGTGCCGTAGGGCGCGGCTGTCTCCGACGGGTGCATGCAGTACGAGTTGAGGATGCCGGTGAGCTTGATCTCGAGCTTGTAGGTGCCGTCGAGGGTAAAGGTGTGGTAAAAGGCGTACTCGTAGTTGGCGGCGGTGATGATTTGGGAGATGATGAGCTTGCGGTCGCGCGCGAGGACGGTGCTGGCGTCGCGGTAGTCCATGTGCTTGTAGAGGATGCCATTGTCCTCTTCGTGGATACAAATGGCGTTTTTGAGGACGGCGGGGAGACCGCTCGAGGTGGACATGATACCGTCCATGTAGTGGATGGCGCCCTTGCAGTCGCACCCTAGCTTGAGAGAGTTGGTCATGAGACCAGTCCCGTACTCGCCCACGTCAAAGGCGTGCTTTCTGTGGTGAGGGGGTTCGGGGTTGCCGTACGGCACCACCATTTCGACCACGCTGATGCGGTTGAAGAGAGTACGCTCGCGGCCCTCGTACGGGTCATCGATGCGGACATCCGAGATGACGATGCCCTCGCGGTAGTTGAAGCCAATGTGCATCTTGTAGCCAGCCCACGAGAGCTCGTTGCCGCGGATCTGAAAGGACACGCCCTCGGGCTGGGTAATGTCGAGCGGCTTGAGCCTGGTGGTGTTGTACCCCTGCTCGATGAACTCGGGCAGGAAGTTGTGCGAGTCCAGCGGCGGCAGCGTGCGCTCGCCGTTGACGTACCGGATGTCGACGCTGAGCACCTCTTCGGTCTCGGTGTCGGCGACGACACAGAAATCCAGCGGGTGCGCGTACTGGTTGTCGCTGGGCGAGTGGCGATAGTACGCCAGTCCCTGCTGCAGGCGGCGGCTAAAGTCCCAGCGGTCGTCGAAGCCGACGGCCCAACCGTCGAGGTACACCTTGGACATGTCGGTGATGCCAATCTCCTCGCAGGCGCGGATGACGCGCGGATCCTTGCGCGAGACGCGCTCCATGACGTCGAGGTCCTCGAGCGTCAGCGTCGGAGCTACCTCGCTGACGGGCTTCCACTGCGTAATGGTGGATTCGGTCAGGTTGACAATGACCTCGGCGCAGGTGTTGCTGCCGCGCTGGATGACAATGGCAAAGGCCTTGCGCTCCGGGCGGGGGCCGGCGCCGGCCTTGAAGGCGGCGTACTCGGCCTTGAGCGGCTCGCGGAGGGTGACGCAGTTGAACTTGAGCTCGACGGGGCTCGCCTTGTCGCGAATCAGCTTGACCGCGTGGGAGATTTCCTGCATTGACAGCTGGTCGAGGGGATGTGTCTGGTGGCGGAGGCTGGCCGCCGTCTTGGGGCAGTAGTCCTGCTCCGGGTAGACCTCATAGCCAGCTATGACATCTAGATCTGGTTGTAACGCGGGATTAGCCATGGTGGCGACTGCTTCTCCAGGCTGGGGCTTAGAGCTAGGTGTCTGAAAGAAATGAGAGGAAATGGGAGGGAAACGTGTGTCAACGGTGTGGTGCGTGAGACGACAGGTATTGAAGTCGTCGAGAAGGTATGTGGCAAGAACAATGAGACGAGGAATGATGAGACACAACTGGCAAACTCTGTAGTGTTATATGTACAGTAGGGGACCCGACTGAGACTTGGCAACACAGAAATGGATTTTATGAGGCCACGAGGTCTGGCGTGATTAGGCTTAGTTTTAGTCTGGGGGGTGGAATAAGATCCATCCGCACCGCTTCGGCCGCCGAGCAGCTGGACCACCCCGAAGGCGCAACTAGTGTGGTCCTCGTCGGGGCGGTCGAGAGACGGCGCGGCGTCGCTGCGGGTTGGGTACGCCGGTAAGCATTCTGGTTGGCTGGCTGAGATTTCACGTAACTAGATGAAATGTATGATATCAACGGCACTCCGCGGGACGGATGTATTACACCTCGAGGATGTGATTAGACTGGGAACGACAGGCAGCAAAGCGGCGGAGCGGATCAAACTCGTAAACTGTACTGGGAATAATTATTAATACCAGTAGAATTCTCCATATGCGATTGGGCGGGGGAGGAGTGTTTGCTGTATCTGGGGCGAGACCGAGCGGGCTGCATGGATCTGGTCAGCGGGGGAATAAGTGTAACAACTTGCAGGATTTGAGGAGTAGATTTGCGACAGGCTGGCCAGTTTGGCCACCCAGATTGGACAGGCAGCTAGTCATGTGGTAATGCATGCATCTTGGACAACGCGGCGGCGCGATCCCCACCTAACAGACAAGACGGCGGGCGCGGTGCGTCGGGGACGTGATTTGCGGGCACGACCACAACAGACTGGCAAATGCCGGCCAATGGGTTTTGGGGTTTCGGTTTGCCGGCCGGCTGACCATTGGCGTCAGCCAGGAACTCGTCGCATAAAGATAGAGCCGCTTTTTTTCTGGAAGAAAAAGAAGGATATTACCACCTGCCGGCCGGGCCCCCCAGCACGGCGCCGTGATTGTGGCGGGTCCGGCGTCCGCGGGCATGCGCGCCCCATTTCTCGTCTCAAATTCTAGGGCGGCGCCTCACAAGCGACAGCGAATTGGCTGCACGCCTGGAACGCAATATGTGGGGTTCGGATATCTGGACAACCTGGGGTCGTTGATTGTGGCAGATTGGGAGATGATTAGGAGATGCTTGTGGGAATTAGTTGGGTTCGCATGTGGATGTTCGTTGTCCGCGAGCCGCGACGAGGGGCAAAAGGGAGTTTGTGGCAACGGAAGCTACGGAATGATTAGGACCAACGATGCAAGACGACAAATGGCTTTCCTTGACAAACCTCCGAGACGGCGCCCGTGGCTATTTTCTGTGGGTGGCCGAGAGTCCGTGCTATTGTGGCCGCAAAACGAGGTTTCATCGTCTGAAGTGGGATAAAAACTTGTTTCTTGACCTTGTTAGGCGGGGGCTTCGTTGCAACACTATAAAGTAACGACCAGCCGAAGCGTGCAGCGACGGTCGTGTTTTGTTGAAGATGGTGAAATGGGAAGAAAAGATGGAAGCAGAAGATTCGAGGTGTTGTTTGCAGTGTAGCAATATCTAGATTTGGACTGGGATGGGTGCGTTTGCGCGAGGAGGCTCTGACGGGCCGCAAGAATGTTGCAGCTGGCGGCTGGCAGCTGACAGCTGGTCCGCGAGGTACCTACAGAGTACTTGTCAACCCAAGGTGGCATTCTCCAACACAACCAAGGCACGGTGATACCACGATATTACTACATGTACCGCCTAGTTACGGAGTTGACTCGGGGTTATTAGTAGCGCAGTTTTATACCGGAGGAGCGGTTCAATCTAGCTGCAAATAGTGACTCGCCGGTGACGTTAGTGACTACCTAAATCGAGCCGTTCACGAGCCACCAACATCGGTGACAAACCAGCAGGTGCGCGATGTCAACTATTGCATCCTCATGACATCCCGAATTCCATGTCACCCCTGTAATTAACTCGGATATATTATCAACACACACACTGCCTCGTGTCCCCATTTGCCCTCCCCCGCGAAGATGTGCGATAACGAGTCCACTTTTGCGCTGGGGCGTCAACTACGTATCTGTCTATCTTATCACCTTGATACACCTACATAGTTGCAGTTGGTCCATGCCATTGTGTTATCTCGTGGAGGGCAGGCTGATATGAGCAGAGTTTTCGCAATGCTTCCGTGTGCCTACTCTGTGGTGAAGATAGGCAACTACACGCTCCCGATAGCAACCGTTTGGCGGCGAGCCGCACAGGTACCTCGCAGGTATCTCAGCCCTTCCTTGTCTTGCTCCAAACGAGGTCTACTCCACTTGGGCTTTCGCTCGCCCCCCATGTCTCTTTATAGTTATCCCCAGATTTTTTCCTTCTTCCTCATTTCTTACTTGGACGTCTGCGCTTCACCAACGCCCTTGGACATCTCTGAGGCGGCTCTTCTCATCGCCACACAGACTGACATCCTGCGCCACCAAAGCAACGCCTTGTCCACTTCTCCAACTCTTTGATACCTCACGCTGCGCTCTCCGAAACCCGGCCTCCAAGCCCCCTTTGCTGGCTACCCCGGCACGCGACAAGAGGCGCTAGGGTTTTCCCCAGGATTACGTTCCTCGCCTGTTCCGAAAAGGTCCCCCGTTCCCCTCCTCTCTACTCTCACACCAGTTGGCCCGTCTCTTGATAGCATTACATGGCGCTCGTCAACTAGGGTCTCCTGGCCATAGGGCGCAGTCCGACCCCATCTGGCATTCACTCACCCTCCTCCTCCTCACTCATCAGCCCGCCAGACCACACACACACCACGCACCCCCCAGGGCCTCTCCAGCTTCGATCGCCCAGCCCCAATGGATGAGCTCGTCGCAGAGGCGCCCCTCAGCAGTCTTTGGTCCTATACTTAGGGCGGTGCGATCCTCACAGAGTCGCAAGGTGCTGTCCCAGTATCTGCACGTTCCTCCTGTCACCAATCCTACCATACATATCCCGCAACTTCGAATCAACTTACACGCCCCCGGCTCTTTGTAGCATTTATCATCATTGGCATCTCCTCTGCCATCAATCTCATCCAAGCCTACCCGGAATTTATCGTCCGGCTCCTTTTCCCGCTGAAACGCCGCTTCTGCAACCACTAATACACATACAACGCCTGCAACCAAACCGCGCCGTGCTCGTCTTTCCCGTCGTCGTACGGTATATCCTCCGCTAGAGAATGAAAGGGAACTACACGCAAGCCAAGAAGAAACCATATTACAATGGACCGCGGCAAGGCACACATCGACGAGCTCGACCAGGCTGCCCTGGATGCGGGCGATCTTGCCGCGCTTGGCCATGCTGAGACGCTCACCCGCAAGTTTGACGTCTGGAGCATGCTTGCTCTCTCCTTTTGCATTCTCGGCACCTGGAGCACCTGTGCCCAGAACCTGGCCAGCGGTCTCCTCAACGGCGGCCCCGTCACCATCCTCTGGGGTCTCGTCTTCGTCTTCGGCTGCAACCTCTGCGTCGCCATCTCGCTCGGCGAGCTCTGCAGCAGCATGCCCACAGCCCTCGGCCAGGCCTTTTGGATCTCGCGCCTGTGGGAAACGCCTTGGGGTCGTCGCTCCTCGTACATGTGTGCCTGGATCAACACCTTTGGCTGGTGGACCCTCACAGCCTCCCAGAATGCCTTCATGACCCAGTTCCTCCTTGGCATGAAGCTCATGTTTGACCCCGAGTGGGAGGGCGCCAACAAAGGCTGGGTCAAGCTCCTCGTCTACGTCGGCATCACTGTGGCCTTTAGTGCCTTCAATCACGTTGCCTGCCGGAATGAGAAAATCCTGCCTGGCTTCAACAATTTCGTCGCCGTGGGCTTCGTTGCACTCTTCTTCGCCCTCGCCATTGGCCTCCCCATTGCCGTGGGCACCCATCATGAGCTGCATTTCCAAAACGCCAAGTTTGTCTTTGGCACCTGGATCAACAGCACCGGCTGGAATTCCGGCGTTACCTGGTTCCTCGGCCTCGTCCAGTCGGCCTATGGTCTCACCGCCTTTGACTCGGTCATCCACATGGTGGAAGAGATCCCCAACCCGCGCAAGCAGACGCCCATGACCATGTACATGTCCGTCATCTGTGGCGCCGTCTCCGGCTGGATCTTCCTCTGCGCGTGCCTCTTCTGTGTCCAAGACTTCAAGAACCTGCAGGAACCCACCTCCGGGCAGCCCTTTATCCAGCTGATCCAGGACGTCGTCGGCGTCAAAGGCGCCGCCGTCTTCGTCGCTCTCTTCATCTTTAACGGCATGGGCCAGGGCATCAGCATCATGACGTCGGCCTCGCGCCTCACCTGGAGCTTTGCCCGCGACGGCGGCATCCCCTTTGCGCGCTACTTTGCCCACGTCGACACGTACTGGCTCATGCCCGTGCGCGCCCTCTGGCTGCAGGCCGGCATCACGGCTGTCGTCGGCCTCCTCTACCTCTTTGCCGACACGGTCCTGCAGGCCATCCTGAGCGTCAGCACCATTGCCCTCACCATTTCGTACGCCATGCCCATTGCCGCCCTCATGCTGGCCGGCCGCGAACGCCTCCCGCCCGGCGGCACGCTGCACCTCGGCCGGTGGGGCCCGCTCCTCAACTGGATCTCGCTCGTCTACTGCACCGTGTCGACCGTCTTCTTCTTCTTCCCGTCGGCGCCCAACCCGGGCATCGCCGACATGAACTGGGCTATTGCCGTCTTTGGCATCATGCTCGTCGTCTCCGTCAGCTTCTGGTTCCTGCAGGGCCAGCGCACCTACATGGAGCCGCAGTACCTGCCGGAGAACATCCTGTACGCAGACGCCGCCCAACCTTCCCCCACTACGGCGCACTCTATGGCCAGCGTTCCTGACGATAAGAAACCGATCTAGGGTCGACGACCCCGCCGTCTCGGAGACGTACGGCACGTTTGCGGATGACTCATTGGAGTCGTCGTTTGCTGGACCGTCGTCGGCCAGTTAGTCCATTGCCTTATAATGAGGCGTGCGGCGGACATAGGTAAGATGGTGTCGAGCCTAACGTATAACAAGTAAGTAGACTCTCAATAGCAAGGCTAGTCAGAGAAGAAGGAAGCGCATGGGTGTGCAAGACGAGAGGATATACTTGCCATTGTTCGTCGACAGAACGTTTCGTCACTTGTCGGTTTAGTGAGCTTTACCCATTTTTGAATATATATCTGCAAATGTACATGCCAAACATGTCTAGTTTGTGTAGAAAAGAAACAGAGTGAACAAGTGTAGGCATTTTAGGAAAAAGAAAAATCCCTTTGCGAGGCAGCTCGTAAAGCTTTCAGGTGGCGTGTTGAATGGACTAAATGATGCGAGCCTGGCCACTTTTTCCTGCCCGGGGCGGACCCCGAGTCGCCCGAGGCGGCCCAAATGCGTCCAATATTCCCGAGCCAGAGAAATTTGCCAAGTCTGTGGGAAGCAATAACTAGATGGATATACTTTACAGGCTTTGAGATGGGCGGAGACACTATTAATTGGTTATTGGAGAGAGTATTCCTACGTACCTACAGACATGAAGCTATTTGTCTTCCCACTCTAGGAAAGCCATGGCTGTAGCAGCTACAACAGAAGGTCACCACTGCGCAGCATATCGGTGGAGGACTTGCATGCTGCTCATCGGCCGACTATATTTAAAGGCTATCTAGTTAGTCCATCTTTATAAGAAATCTTTTCCATTCATGGGTTGTGCAAGAGAGCCAGCAATAGAGAACATGCTACACAAGTGCAATGACGGGATTCACCTATCTGGTATGATATAGGAGCGATGCATTCATTAAATACACACCTAGCTTGTTAGATATACTATGTTACTATTTTGCGAGTTAGTTTATTTTACAACTTGGAGCCCAGGTTGACGTGGACGGCCTTGGTCTCGAGGTACGAGTGCAGGCCCGCCTCGCCGAGCTCGCGACCGATACCGCTCTGCTTGACGCCGCCAAAAGGCACGGCGGGATCGCTATCATTGGACGAGTTGATCCAGACCATGCCGGCCTCGAGGCGCTCGGCGACCTTGTGGGCGCGCTCAATGTTCTGGCTAAAGACGGCGGCGGCGAGGCCGTACTGCGAGTTGTTGGCGAGCTTGAGCGCCTCCCCCTCCGTCTTGAACGGCGTCACGGCGGCGACGGGGCCAAAGACCTCCTCTTGGAAAATGGTCATGTCCTTGGTGACGTTGCTGATGACGGTGGGCTCAATGTAGAAGCCCTTGCCGGCGCCGGCGGTGGCCTGGGCCGATGCGCCGCCCAGCTCTACCTTGCCGCCTTCCTTCTTGGCGCCCTCGATAAAGGCCAGGATCTTGTCGTACTGTACCTGCGAGACTTGCGGGCCGTGTGTGGTGGTCTCGGAGAAGGGGTTGCCGGTGACGGCGGTGTTTTTGATCTCAGTCTTGAAGTATTCGAGGAACTTGGGCAGGACGGATTCTTGGACAATGAGACGTGAGGTTGCCGTGCAGACCTGGCCCTGGTTGCTGAGAATGCCGATGTAGGCCCACTTGGCGGCCTGCTCGAGGTCGGCGTCGTCAAAAACGACAAGGGGCGACTTGCCGCCGGTCTCGAGAGTGATGTTCTTGAGGGTGCCGCTGGCCATCTTCATGATTTCGCGACCAGTGGCCGTGGAGCCGGTGAAGGCGACCTTGTTGACGTTGGGGTGGGTGACGAGGGCAGTTCCCGTCTCGCGGCCGTAGCCGTTGACGATGTTGAGAACACCAGGCGGGAAGCCGGCCTCCTTGACGAGCGTAGCAAAGTAGAGGATGGAGAGCGGGGTCTGCTCGGCGGGCTTGAGAACGATGGTGTTGCCAGTGGCGAGGGCCGGGCCGAGCTTCCAGGCAGCCATGGCGAGGGGGTAGTTCCAGGGGATGATTTGGGCGCAGACACCGACGGGCTGGCGCAGTGTGTATGCGAATTTGGCGCGCGTCGTGGGGATGGTCTGGCCGTGGATCTTGTCGGCCCAGCCGGCGTAGTAGCGGAGGGTGTAGATGACCTCCTGCAGATCCTCGTTGAGCGAAACGGTGTAGGGCTTGCCGTTGTCCCAGGTCTCGATGGTGGCGAGGACGTTGGCGTGCTGTTCGACGAGGTCGGCCAGCTTGTGCATGAGGACGCTGCGCTCGCGGCCGGCGCAGTCGGCCCACGAGGGGTCCTCAAAGGCGGCGCGGGCGGCCTTGACGGCCGTGTCTACGTCCTGGGCCGATGCGGCCTCGACGGAGCAGATTTCGCTGCCATCACTGAGAAACCATGTGAGTCCATGAAGAGAGCAGGAGTGAGGGGGATGTCATACGCGGGGCTGACGCTGGTAATCTTGGTGCCGGAGCTGGAGGCGACAAACTCGTTGTTGATGAAGAGCCCGGTGGGAAGGGTGATGTCGAGGCCGTTGGGGGCCTTGAGCTTGGTCTGGAGAGCCATGTTGTGTGTGAAGCGGGGGCGGAAGATGAAGTCAAGAGGCTACCTAGGGAGTTTAGAAGGCGAGCTTGAAGAGATGAAGATTGCAGCGGGAGAGAAAAAAAAATTGAAGCAGAAAGAGAAGGCAAGCTTGGGGAGTAGGTAGGTAGCTGGTAAGCTGCGCAGTGGTGGACGGACGCTACCCCAACGCGGAGGCGGGGCAAAACGCGGGAAAGCAGCAAACGGCGACGGCGTAGACGGACGAGGTTTTGCGACTCAAGCTTGAACCACACACTGCATGCACGTCGCTGCAACTTGATATACCGGCGGGGGCCACTGTACAGTAAAGGATGGGGAACGTGAACACCGTGAGGCTGCACGAACCTTGGGATAGCTGCGTCGGGGGGAGACCACAAGCCGAGACAGGCGTGCCGCCGTGCAACCAGCACGCATCGCGGGGGATTGTTTTGGAGGGGTGTATGTACAATCGATATCGCAGCTCCAAAAGATGTCGGAGTAAACTAACTGCACCGTCCGTCCATCACGGTGGTGGCTGATGGAGCTTGAAAGCTTGGAAGCTTGAGGCGCGCCACAGGCCGGCTGTCCGCGGCCCCGAGCCCACTTATTACTACACCGATGGGGCCAGGGGGGTGTCTCGACAATCGCAATGCATAGAGGTACATTGATTGGTTGATAGAGCATTATCTTGGCCCACTCCTACCCCCCGGCTTTCTCGGTCGCCCGCGTAGCCCGCACTTGGTGGCGTGCGGAACCGAACTTCCTGACTTCATCTATCTGGCAGCCCGGAGCCAACGCCAACATTACAAATGCGATTGTAATAGGGGTCTGAATTGCCGTATTGAGACACCGGCGGTCCTGTATCGGACCACGACGTCCCGCTTACAATGTTTCCTCTTCTGCGCCGGACTCTTTCAGATGTACGGCAACGGTCTCACCCGTCGTCTGGTGGGTGATCTGACTAGAATGAAGGGTGAATTGGCCAGCTTAACACCCTGAGAATTATGTATACACATGCATGGGCACAGTAGAGGACCAGTTCATGCCGGCGCACCCCTTCGGGCAGGCCCGCGACTACCAGGCTGAACGGCTCGCGATTTCGACTGCGCAAGGTTACGCGGATCCTTATGAAAGCTGTATCTGAAAATAGAAAAGAAAAAACGTCGTATTTTTCGAATCGTTCGATTCTTGAACCGATCCATAGGCAATTTGCCGTCAAGGCTACCAGATACCATGGAGGCCATGATGATCAGTGAATGCGATCAACGTTCGTCACACGGCGGATGTTTGTTTCAAACTCCAAACATCCCAGTTTATTGCTTATCCTCTACATTGGTTATTTGATTCATTTCTATACATGAGATAGTAATGCTGGCCTAACAATGCCCACGAGCCCTTTTAAACTGTTTCCGACACTGGTACTTTTATCACATCAATGCCAGGTATCAACCATCCATCCCGTTCGCGTCCTCGGGCACCATCCCAGTCTCCTCGCGATCCATCACCAGCCCGCTCGCAAACTCCCGCACCAGCGCGAGCAGCGTGTCCAGCACGCCGGGCTCGGCCCAAAAGTGGCCAGCCGCGGGCACTTCGATACCGCGGAACCGGGAGCCAGCCGCGCCCGCGAGCCGGGCGACCCACTCGCGCGCCTTGTACGGCAGAACAAACAGGTCAGCGCCGCCATGCACCGCCAGCGTCGGGCGCCGCACGAGCTTGGCCTCGGCCGGGTCGTCCTCGGGCCGCCGCGCGCGCGACAGCGCCCCGGGCAGCACCCGCAGCGTCACCAGGTGCGAGGCAAGGCCCGGGATCGGCGAGAGCAGCAGGTACGCGGGCCGGGGCGCCGCAAACGCCGGGAGCCGGGGGAGTCGACCTTGCGCCGGCCCGTCGTTGGTGCTTTCTTCGGGCACCTTGTCCAGTGCGCTCGTCTCGGAGGGGACGTGTCGGTGGGGGCGCGGCGCAGCGGCGGCGAGGCTCGCCTTGGTCTTGGCGGCGAGCTCGTGGAGCTTCTCCTCGAGCTCCCGGGACACGCTCCGGCTGCGGCCGCCTGCGGAGGTGCTGCGGCGTGGGCTCAGAGCACCCTCGTCGCCGCCACCGACGCGGACGCCGCGCTTGGAGGGACTCTTCTTGGGGCTGCTGCTCTCGCGCAGTGCGTCCCGCGCGCGCCTGATGATCGTGTTTTGCTGCTCGGCAAGGCTCGCTGCGCGGAGGCGTATCTGCGCCTCGTGGGAGGCGCTCGACGGGGCGGCAAACGGCTCCAGAATCGTCTCGAGCGGTGGGAGCTGGGCTGTGATGAGTGACCCGTACGAGTAGCCGCCAATGACGAGCACGGGTCGCTCACAGGCCGTCGTCGTGTCGGTCGGCGCTCCGTTGGCGACGCCGTCGAGGGTCGTGGGCGGCTCGTCGCGGTCCGAGGACGCGCCCTGGACCGGATCCAGGTGGTGTATGTAGTACGACAGAAACGCAACAACGCTCTGAAAATCGAGGCGCTCTGGTTTGGCCGTCCACGATGTTTTGCCTGCTGAATGGCCCGCTCCTCTGCAGTCAAAAAATCGTCAACCAGACGCGTCCGCCCAACGGCCATGCTCCCCCCATTCTTACCGAAAATTAAACGTGCACAGCAGGTAGCCCTCTTTGAGAAGCGTGGCCCCGACAACATCCACCACCGGGTCGTCAAAGCTGCCGCCCAGCGGCGCGTACGGGTGCGCGAGCACGGCCGCGTGTCGTCGCGTCCACGGGGCCGTTTGCGAGCTCGCCCGCAGCGGCGCGGGGTGGTAGACGCGACAGTCGAGAGGCAGCCCGTCGTGGACGCTGGGAACGGTACATGTCAGCGCGGGCTCGGGCAGCATTTTGACAGAGGCATTGTGCGGGCGGTGTGGCCGTGGCGGGAGTGCAGAAGGGGAAGGGCAAGGAAGGCTATGGCGACTGGGGTGCGTTTGGACTTGCGGAATCGTCATCGCCAAATCGGCCACCCCACTACGTCATGAACGGGCAAGCCACTATGAACTTTTAATAAATTCTATCAATCAGGAAAAAATGACATTAACATCTTGAAGGAATTTTGCGAATTCAATACAGCGCCAGTTTTTGCTCTGGCGAACTTTTTCCTGTGCAGTCACAAACAAGCCGAAGATGGCTTCATGGCCGCTCATTAAGCTGTGTAAATGCCCAGCATACCAAAAAAGGGCCTGCTCACTCCAATCACAGAGCAGAAAACCTATATCCATTAGATACAGGCTCGTCTTGATCAGAGTATGCCGTGAGGAAACACTCAACTGAATCAGTATACCCGTGCAGCGCATCCAAGCAAACCCCATCCAATGAGAAAATCTGGAGTGTCGCGCGAGAATGTTGACCGTCCCTATATCTCGAAAGGCCTAGACGAGTCTAATGCACAGGCATAGAAACTGTGCTACCTGTCAGGCTACACCAGGAAGCAATCGGCGCAGTGTGTTCGTCTTGTATTGGTGTATAGCCATGTGTAGGTAAGAATCGGATTGCACATCTACACACCTCGCACGCAGGCAGCCCGTCTATGTATTTGGCAAGACATGCATGTAGAGGGGCAGTACTGTCAAGAATACAAGGGCTAAAGTCTGTGATATGCTTGCAGCCTCTTGTGCGAGCATGGAGGAGTGCCGGGAAACGTGCATAAATAGTTTCTTTTACCACCAGTGTATCGGACCAGTCACTTTCTCGCTGTAATCTTTACACCATTCAAATCTCAATACAGTCGATCTAAACACATTTCTAACAATATCTTGATTGAGGTAGTCTTGTCAACGTCATGGTCAGGTTTCTTGCCGTCGCGGCGGCTCTTGCAGCTGTTGCGGCCCCAGTCGCAGCCAAGAACTGCGTATCAGGTCTCTACTACTGCGGCAAAGGCCTTCTTGCAAAAGGTATAGCGAAATAAACCCGACATCTTTCCAAAGATTCTCATTGACACATGGATAGGGGCGTACCTTGACCAGATTTACGAGTCGCTCATTAACGTCGGAGTGCCCTTCACCCCTGAATATATTTACCGGTCCCTGTTCTTCTGTCAGTTCGGAGATAAGGGCGAGATATATTTTATTGCCTTGTGCAACGGCGTTTGCAAGATTGCTGGGGGCGGGGAGAGCGATTCCTGCCAAGCATCATGAGAGTGTTGGCCCACGACCGAGGCGCTACTGTTGTCGGCGAGCTCCCGTGCTGTGACTAGTCAAGCGGAAGATGGGATACAGCAATACAGTCAGTATACTATTTCCACGCTAGTTATAAATGCTTTTCAAACGACAAAAAAGTTTTGCTGTTGCTCTTCTCGTGCGTAGCTGTAGAATGCATGGCCCAACCTTGAGACCCTGCTCATGGGCGGAAAGGTTCAACGGGTTGGGCGAGAGCCGGAGCGAGTGTGGGACAAGGATATTGGGAATAAGAAACTGTTTCTACCGGTCAAACTGCTACAGAGTGTGCTTGAATTGGAGTCAAGAGGTGAAGCACGACGGCCATACTGCAGTGCTTCACAACCAACAGCAGACGACGGGCACGTGGTCAGTCAACCCAACGGCCGAACAAGGAGATTGGAAATCGCTGGCCATCAAACGACCCGCATCAGTGACAAGTATCGGGGCACCAGTCGTTGTGGCTGTGTTGGGCGGCTCATCTTCATATGCTCGTCCGTGTAATACTACGCGCCGCCAGTCGAAGACATGTCAATATACATGCCGAAGCCAGCTTCCGAGTCGCTGTGTCGACACCAAGGGCAGATCATGTACATATTCATTTTACTTTCAGCATACCCCAGTTCGCGCTTTGTTGCGCACTCCCTTGTAAGCTCTGAGCAGTTCTGTTTTCCCGCCTGCCTCTCGAGCTCGTGCCTGGCCGCCATCCATCACATGCCGCATTCTCGCATATCTGATATATGACAGCACAAAGCCAAATTTTCTTAGTAGCGGCGTGTGTACCTCGAAACAGTCCGATGTTGCATACCAAGTTGCGGCATTTCATTCGTCAGCAACTCATCCGAGGCTATGCGGTTCCGCCAACGCCGTTGTGACATGAGAGGGGCAACGGCGACAACGACGAGGTAAAATGACCATTCAACTGATTGATGCAAGGGTAGCGAGTTGGGTAGACTCGGCATGCGACCAAAAGAGGGTATAACAAATGGGCAGCGGAGCTTGGCCTGTAATATGCCCGCCGCTGGAGGAACAGTTCGTCACCTCAGCCAGCCACCAACGGGGGGCCACTTGCCCAGCCGCGGTCCCTTGAATAGACCGCGAGCGAGAAACGATGTATGTTCCAAGCTGCTTTGAGACGCCGAGTCCTCCGAGTCCAGACCAGTTGTTGCCGAAGCAGAAGGGAAGGGGAGAACGACCACATGGTACGGGGCTACGCGCCGGCTTGGCCCGGTAAGGATGACATCCCATCAAGTATATAAAGAAGTGAATGTATCGCTCAACTGCAACCTCCCCTTGTCAATCTTCAGCTTGATCTGCTTTTCTCTCTCTCTTCTTTTTCAGCGAATAAGTGTAGCATACACGTCTACCGATTCACGTTGCCATGTGAGTTCTCTCTCTCCCCCATGTGCTCGCCGCGTTCCTTCCCTGCTCAACACCCAGCAGGCTTCTCACGCGTGCCGCCATTCTCGCGGGGTTGTCGACCCTTGCCGCAGCATGGCCCCATATTGATGCGTGCCGCAATGCCTGGCCCGGTATGTAGTAACTCTTCCTACTGCTGTTGTGTCCAACACGCAACGCCTCAACTGATGCAATATACAGCCGAGCCGTGCGCCTATGTCGCCGGCCGCTCGCTCGTCATCGGCACCTGCGAGAGCCAGTGCGAGAGCGATAACTGCCCGAACGCGCTCGTCTGCCGACCGCGTCGCTGGGCGCGCGCCTGCGATGGCTGCGGCGGCGGCGACACCCGCGGTCCCGGCGAGTACAGCCCGTACTCCCTCTAAGGCTCCGCGACCGCTTCACAAGCATTCGCCGTTTCGGGGAAGCGCCGTACAGGACCCAAGACAGGTTGGGAGAGGAGGACAATAGTTTAGCGCAAGGCTTGAGAGCGATGAACTAACCTCCCATGTTCGTGAATAGATGTGGCATGGCCTTGATTCTATACCTACATCATACAATGGTAGCACCGCGTTAATTTGATACTATGCCTATATCATAATAGTAGCGCCGTGGTAATTTGATTTCATAACAAAAAGCACGTTTCTCACTAGTCCTCCCCATTCCAGACAGTTACTGCGTTGGGTGTCATGAAATGGTCGTGTTGCAATTTTTTTTTCTGTCTTAATCTTAACATAATCTATAACCGTCGCTATTGTGCCTTTTTCTCCTTTGCTTCCTCTGCCCTCTTCTTGCGCCTCGCGATCCAATTCTTCAGCTCCGATATCAGGCCCATGACGAGCGGCACGGAAATGGGTCCGAGCAGGGGCAGGTAGACGGCAATCTTGTGCTCGTCGGGAAAGTACAGCTGGCCGACCATGCTCTTTTCGAAAAATGCGCGCTCCACCTCCTGCTCGGCGATGCGGGCGTGCGTCAGGCCCTGGACGCCGCCGAGGTTGGCGCAGGCCTGCTCGAGGTGGCGCAGCGTCGTCTCGACGCCGTCGGCGACGCTCTGCGGGATGGCAATCGACGGCAGCTTCTCCGTGAGACGCGCCAGCGAGCCGAGCGACGACGACGCGCGCAGCAGCAGGTCGGTGGACCGGATGCGCGTCAGCGAGGAGAGGCGCACCGGCAGCGAGCCCGACACGGGCGTGCCGAGCAGCGAGAGCAGGTGCCCGCCAAAGGTGAGCATGGGCTGCTTGAGCGTGGCCAGCGACACGTGGGCGTCGGCCCTGGGCAGGGGCAGGAGGTAGACGGTGCCCCACTGCGGGATCATCCACGACTGCGCCGTGTTGGTGCTGTCGTCGCCGTCGAGCTGGATGGTCTGGTTCCCGACGTAGAGCAAGAAGTTGACCGTGGGCGCGCCGCCGATAAAGGGCGACAGCGGCCACTCGGCGGCGTTGATAAACGACGACAGAGCCTCTTTGGTGAGCACCTCGGCCTGCTGGGCGCCGCCGGGCGTGGCGTAGAGCTGGACCTGCGTGTCCACGGTGAAGTTGTGAATCGGCTTGAGCACCTCGAGCAGGGGCCGGATGTACTCTTCGAGCGCGGCCTCAATGTCCCACGCGTTTGGCAGGCCGCGGTCGGTGAAGAGGGAAAAGGTGAGGTGGTACGTGGGCGAGTAGCGCAGGGAGCGCGTCGTGCGTCTGGACAGCGCCTCGGCGACCTCGGGCGCGAGGCTCGGCGGCCGCGCGCCGGCAGCGGCCATGGAGGACGTCGACAGCAAGTAGGCGATGATGGACTGCTCCTCGGCAAACGTGGCGCGCAGCTCGTTGGTGATGTACGTGGCGAGCGGGGACGACGAGGCGGAGGTGAGCTGCGGCGCGGCGCCGGGCGGGTAGGTGATGTCGAGGCGCGGCTCCTCCGGGCTCAGCGAGGACGTGGCGGCGGTGCCAGGCCGGCAGTGAATGGTCAGGGCGGGTTCGGGGTCGTCGGGGGCGGCGCGCGCGCCGTTCTTCGGGGCGAGTTGCAGGCGCAGGTGGTGGCCGGAGAACTCGTTGAGGTCGTCGAGGGCGTGCTGGGTCAGGCGCACGAGGTGCTGCGCTTCGGCCTCCTGGAGCGCGTCGGCGCGAATCTCGATTTGCAGCGGGAAGACGGGACGGCAAGCCTGCACCAACGGGTGGCCAATGTCAGTAGGGGCCCTTCAGGCATCCAGCCCATCACGTTCTTGTGCTGACCTTGCCATCGGCCCATTGCATCATGCCATCCAGCGGCAGGCTGGCGCGGTGAATGGCCGTCGTCTGCCACCAGATCGGGAGGCCGAGGAAGACGACGATGAGCCAGTACGACCAGACAATGTAGCTCCGTCGTCGCGTGTCGGAGGGCTTCTCGGCGGGAGGAGGTGTGTAGCCTTGAGCTTGTTCGGCCGCGGCGGGCGAGGCAGGCGCCTCTGCGGACGCCGTGCTGGCCATGGTTCAATGACGATTTTCTTCTGGGGCGGGGAAGCTGTCGAGGAGCCCCTTGGCGGGCAGCTGCTAGATGCGTGATCGAGGCGCAAGGCGTGTCATCGTGGCCGGGTTTGGCGCCAGATCACGTGCAGTGATTATGCACGATTTATGCGAGATATGAACAGGTCCGGCCAGACGGTACTGGGGCAATTTTTAAAAATTGACTAAGTATGATGATGACGACCAACTCGGTAAAGGGCATCTCACATTTAACATTGTTTTTGTATTTCGAAGCTTATAGCCAGGGCAGCAGCTGTCGATGGTGTCAACCCAGCAGGTCATACACGGAGCTTGCATAACTAACCGGTATACTAACTAACCCAAGGTATCACTAGCATACTGCATACTATTACATACTATTACAGTGTACGGGTCGGCGGCAAAAAAGTCTCCGCTCCCTCTGGGCCATGATCTCTGATTTCCGGGGTAAGCCAAGGAGATTGGTGGGCTAGGTGAGTGACAAATGCCATCGGGTCCGGGCTGGTTACGATCCAACAACGCCGGACCAGTCAAACAAGTCCCAGTTTCAGTTGGGTGCAGAACAGGGTTCGGCGTCTTTTTCCCTTTGCAGATACGTCACCTTTCGTCGCCTCGGTTAGGCGTGGCTACTTACCTCCTAGGTCACTAGAGTCCGCGCTACAGCAATGGAGATTCCGCGGACTCCAGAATGGCAGCCCGGCGGCTTATTCGCGGTGCGTGTACCATTTGCAGTGCAATATCGGGCTAGAAGCCAAAAAGCACGCATAGTCAGCTCGCTTGGACCTCTGAATCCCGGACAGCCTGGCAAGAGTAGAGATTTGAAGAAAAAAAAACTTGGGAATAAAATATGCGGAAAATGTTTGCAAAAAGAGCATCATCAGGCCAGCTTCATCTAGAGATCGGGGTATTCGCTATTCGCGGACCCGCGGCAACAAACGTTATTATTAGCTCGCCCGCCCTTTTCGCCCACAACTTTTTTTGTTTTGATAACCACCTAGAACCGAGGGGACCGAGGCTGGCGTCACAGCTTCGGCGGGCCGGCATTGACGAGCGTCCACCGGAGAGTGACAGGCTGGCTGCATTGCTTCCGGCATTCTTGCGGTCAGAGCGGCGCGCCAACTCACTTTTGTTCTTGCACAGCTTCACTTTTCCGTCTTTTGCTATTGACATTGTTCTCCCGCCTATTCCCCTCCCCCCCCCCTTCTCTTCTTCTTCTTGCAGCAATCGTAACAGCGCCAAAACAAGCTACGGGCACATCACCTAGGAACCTTTTGCCTCAGCCGCAAATCCCGGTTCCCTCCAACTCCGCACCCGCCCAAGCAGCAAGGAACAATATCTCGCAGCGGAAAATGCCCGGTACGAAAGGACAACTTCCAAACATCCCAAACCGTCCCCAGCCACTAACATGCCCGCAACCCGGCCAGTGCCTCTTGCCGTCGCGGCCCCGGCCGTCCTCGCCGCCGGCGCGTACCTCAACGCCAAGTCCGGTCTGTGGTACGACCTGACACTGCAGAAGATCGGCCTCGTCACCATGTTCCGGCTGCTGCGCAGCGTGCGGCAGGACCGCGTCAGCCTGTTCTACACGCTCGAGCAGTGGGCGACGAGCAAGTCGCACGCCGACCGCGCCGCGCTGCTCTTCGAGGACCGCCGCTACACCTACGCCCAGTTCTACGACCAGGTCCTGCGCCACGGCACCTGGCTGCGCGCCCACCACGGCGTCCGCCCCGGCGACATTGTCGCCGTCGACTACCAAAACTCGGACACCTTCCTCTTCCTCTGGTGGGGGCTCTGGGCCATTGGCGCCAAGCCCGCCTTCATCAACTACAACCTGACCGGCAAGCCCCTCGCCCACTGCGTCGCCGCCGCCACCGCCCGCCTCTGCATCGTCGACCCGGCCGTCGCGCACAGCGTCACGGCCGAGGTGCGCGCCGCGCTGCCCGACGTCGAGTTTGTCGAGTTCACGCCCGCGATCGAGGCCGTCGCGCGCGGCATCACGCCCATTCGCTTCCCGGACAGCGACCGCTCCGAGGCCGAGTTCTCCAACATGGCCATCCTCATCTACACCTCGGGCACGACGGGCTTGCCCAAGGCCGCCATCGTGTCCTGGTCCAAGTGCATCGGCGGCGGCAGCATCGCGTCCATGCTGCTCGGCCGCGGCGGCCGCTCCCGCGACGTCATGTACACGTCGATGCCGCTGTACCACAGCTCCGCCGCCGTGCTGTCCTTTTGCGCCACCATTGTCGCCGGCAGCACCCAGGCCCTCGGCCGCCGCTTCTCCACCAAGACCTTTTGGCACGACGTCCGCCGCCACCGCGCCACCGGCATCCAGTACGTCGGCGAGACCCTGCGGTACCTGCTGGCCGCGCCCCCGCAGATCGACCCCGTCACCGGCGAGAACCTGGACCGCAAGCACCACGTCACCGTCGCCGTCGGCAACGGCCTGCGCCCGGACATTTGGAACAAGTTCAAAGACCGCTTCGGCATCACCCATATTGCCGAGTTTTACGCCTCGACCGAAGGCGCCGGCTCGACCTGGAACCTGTCCGCCAACGACCTGTTCGCCGGCGCCGTCGGCCGCATGGGCTGGCTGCGCCGCTTCCTGCTGCGCAACGACATGGCCTTTTTGGAGTACGACCACGACCAGGACCGGCCCTATCGCGACCCGACCACCGGGTTCTGCCGGCGCGTGCCCAGCGGCGAGCCCGGCGAGCTCATCACCCGCGTCGACCCGGCGGACCTCAAGCGGCTCTTCCAGGGCTACTTCAACAACGAAAAGGCCACCGAGGCCAAGATCCTGCGCGACGTGTTCGCCAAGGGCGACGCCTGGTACCGCACCGGCGACATCATGAGCCTGGACAGCGAGGGCCGCTACGCCTTCAACGACCGCATCGGGGACACGTTTCGCTGGAAGTCGGAGAATGTCTCGACAAACGAGGTCGCGCACGCCGTCGGCACCTACGCCGCCGTGCGCGAGGCCAACGTCTACGGCGTGCAGCTTCCCCACCATGACGGCCGCGCCGGCTGTGTCGCCGTCAACTTTACCCAAGACCCGCCCGACGCCGACACCCTCACCGGCCTCGCCGCCCACGTTCGCGCGAATCTGCCCAAGTACGCCGTGCCGCTCTTCCTGCGCGTCGTCAAGGATATTGCCGGCCCGCAGACGACCGGCACCAACAAGCAGCAAAAGTCTGTTCTGCGCAACGCCGGTGTGAAACCGGACGCGCTGGACGACGGTGCCGCGTTGTACTGGCTTCGTGGGGACACCTATGTCCCCTTTGGGCAGAAGGAGTGGCAGGAACTGCAAGGTGGCCGCGTCAAGCTCTAGAAGCGAATGACAGAAGTGACTATGGCGGCTTGGCTGTAGAGCAGCAACAATAGCTTGTGCACAGCAGACACTGATGAAGCGCTGCATGTTTGTCTTTCCATTTCAATGCTCATGGCTAGTACTTTCTCCGTTTTTCGAGAGCAGACATGAAAGAGCCTTTAGAGTACAATCAACCTGTAAATATACAGAGAATATCATCTAATTTGAATCGACTGGCTTTTGTCAGCTGTGAAGCTCCTCAAACTTTCTTCATCTATAATGCCATCATTCCAAGTCCTACATATACGGCCGTTCATTATTTCCCACACATGTTCCCGTATATACACATGTCTCCTAAACATCATAAACATTGAGTGGACACCCATCAGCTTAGGAGCTTCCTATACCAAGTCCGACTCGCTGTCCACCCTGATGGTACTGGCCGTTTGCATTCGCAGCCGCCAGTATAGCAGCGCCACCTGTACCCGTCCTCTCGCGCAGTCTTCGGCCCTCCATAAGGCCCCGAAGACCACGCTTTTGAAGACCAATGACGCTGCTCAATTCGCCATTCCAAATAGCAATGCCTTCTCTATCGCTGCCATCTATCTCCGAGCCCCATTCGGAGCCACTTGCACTGGCCGAAGCCGATAACTCACCACTACCGGGGCGGGCAGCTGGTCCGCCAGAGTTGACGCCGAGGGTGGTTGTTCGTGAAGCCATATCCGACGAAAAGGAGCCGTTGGCGGTGGTTCCTCCCAGTGTAAAGTCTCCCGAAGCAGTGGGCGAGCCAACAGGATCAAGGTTGTCCACGAAATAGTTGGGATTCAAGGTGCCGTCGATACCACGTCCGCCACCAGCAGCCATCGCAGTGGCGTTAAAGACAGCAGCAGCATTGCGACTATCCAGCAGTGAAT